TTTGATGAGATTGAATGGAGACCTTTACCACCTTTATCAAGCGCCGAATCAGGTTTGAGTATGAATGGGAAAGAAGTCAAAAAAGGAGATCTTGTGGAAGGTATAGAGGATAGGGATATGAGAGAAGATGGAATAGATGAGTCGAGTGGGAATGGGAATGGGAAGGGTAGAGGGATGGGAGATGAAGAAAGGGATATAAATGGTTGGAGTAGGGAAGAGGGAAGAGAGGCGGTTTTGGAAATGGAAGAAATGTTAAAAGAAGGGGATGAAGAAAGAAGAAGAAGAATGAGAGAAGAAGAAAGAAGAAATTCAACGAGAAGTTCTATCACTGTCGTTGCTAGTAGACAAGCAAGTGGGGATGAGAAAAAGGTGAGTCAAAGTTGTTGTTTTTTCATGAAACATCTCACTTTCCAATTTTTGATTCTGACTTGTGATTTGTTCGCGTTTCTCTTTATCACTTTGGTTCTGCCCAGCTTTGATTCGTCTTCTCGATCGGTTGGTCTGTTAGGTCACTTTTTTTCATTAGTGGCTTTTGTATTCGAATCCAAAGCGCGGCCATGATGTACTCGGAGGACGCGTAGCTAACGGTTAGAACGTGTGATCTGTCATGGATGGTTGTCGACACATTTATTGGTTTAATGTATGGACCACGAAAAGGTAGTTATTTATGAATTGCTGTGTCTTGTCAATCGGCCTGAACAACGCGACACAGATCATCCACGAGGGAGTCTGGTGTTAGGTATCTCAATTACAGTCAGCTCGATGAGTATGTCAGTCAAACTACCATTGTTATGGTAAGGTAGGAAGATCAGTCTGAGAGAAACGACACAGATCATACACATCTAACAACAAAAATCCAACATCATCATCGTAAACTTCCTCCCGCGATTTTCTGCATGTCAGCTTGTTCCATCCCTGCCCGATAAAGCTAGTCAAAATGGATAGGGCACATTTGTGAAGGAGAGAGAGAAGCAACTCACTTCTATCTCATCGGCCGAGATGGGACAATCGAACGTGGCGCTACTACTTATGGTCGGATGAACGTTGATCCCCAACACTGAGAGTTTCATGTGGAGATCATAGTCGATAGTGATGTCAGATGTTGTGCCTCCTGTAACTCCGCATTTGCCTGATTGTCAATCATGTTCATACGGAGCAAAGCGCTTTTCAAAAAAAATCAGACAAAAGTGTTATGGGACAAAGAAAGAACTTACTTATGAGATCATTCAGAATAACTTTATTCGGATCCAGAGCTAAAGAGTAGCTAGATGTCAGCTATTGCCCCAAATTTTGTGCTTCAAGATATTCGAGGAATATGACGACTCACTTGAAAGTAAATGGGAAATCAAATGTCGAATCGGTATAACCTTTAAAGTCTACATTATTCAATGTACCTCCTCCTAAAGAAGTTTTATCCGACCCTGGATAATGGGCCACAGCTTGGATTTGTTTGAAATTGACACTGAACCAATTTGGGTTTGCCACGCTATTTTGTCAATTCTACTTTATTTGGTAACCAGAATATCACTCACCTGATGCTTAATGAGAAACTGACAGAGAGTCCATCGGAAGTGAGAGAGACAGGTGATGAGCCGAGGTTTATATCATTCAATGCTACACTTGGTGGTCGAACATACTGCCATAAGTTTTCTTACTATTTGGAGTAATCAGCTTACCAATGCTATGGCAAGAACTACGCTGACGAAGATTATAAGGGTCACAGTGAAGAAACAACAACAAAATCTCCAGGTATTTCCTATCGCTCCGTGCTTGCATGTCAGCTTTTTTTCATCTATGCAAACTTCTAAACAAAATAAATGTGAATCTTCATCAGACTGACTTCGATTCAAGTTATATTGTAGGGAGGGAGGGAGGGAGGTCAAAGAAAACCCACCTTGGCCCATTGATTCCCCCTCTCATCCTTTCTCCATTCTCTCAGAATTCCAGTTTCCCGAGGAGGTAAACCCATCTCAGCAATGCTTTTAGCAGGTCCTAGACCTTGACGACCTGGTACAGCACGCGCCGTATCCATCGGCGCTCTGTAAACATCCTCATCTTTGTTATTCACAATCTTTTCAGTACTCGATTGAGGTATGTAAGGGGCTGGTTCATCGTTACCATATTGAAGTGTCGAGTCGTATGATGGTGCTGGGGTGGTGTGATACGGTTGTGGTTCAGGTTCTATCTGAGGTTGATTTGAGTAACTCAAGTTGTTTCCATATGGATCTGGATAGTTGAGATGATTTTGGTTATATTGAGCCATGTTGAGAGAAAGTAAGGATGGTGAGTAATAGAAGGAGGGTTAATGGAGGACAGACGAGGCTTGAACACCGCTTTGGTGGGTGCATGTTGAATTGCGCAGGGCGGCGCGCTTGGCTGCGCGTTCGTTCTGAAGCAACGTTGCGGGGTCCCGCACTCATTCCGCTCAACCTAAACTCGTCGAAGCTGTTGACTATGACTACTGACTTTTGATATCATCGTCATTATGGACATCACTCAAGCATTCAAAGAGGCATGTACTGGTCAGTCATTTGAGCTCTGACCATACTCGACCATACTGACATCAGCCTTGCCCACCTCGGCTCGGGTGGTGAAAAAGCCCACTACGACATATCTTGAATTGATGAATGCTCTCCTTGTACGTCCTATCTCCTGATAACTTTACAACTCTGATTATCAGATATTCGCCCCTCGTACGGACACAGGATCCTCCATAATTTTTCAAGATGAGTGTAACTTCGAACCATCCCCTGACCACACACCTCAGGAAGTATGTGCCATCATCGATCGTCTTCTCGTCCTAGAAGTGAGTGCTTCCTCTCCAATAACCTCCATGATACTGGACTGATCAAGGTCAGATGGCATGGTGGAGAGGTTCAACCCTATCTCAAACTATATATACCAATTTACATTTCTTCTATCCTGAAACTTTGGGAGAATCATCTTCTCCTGTCGTATCTATCGCCTTGAGAATTTACGTCGTTGCTTTTGTCAAAACTGTTGAATTGGTTTGGAATGAAATCAGTAAGAAACATGTGAATGATTCAGAAGACATGTGGATGGATCATTATGGTATTCCTATTTCTTTGACTGATCCAGTGGAAGATATAGTGAATTACATGCAATTTGCTTTAAGCGAATTGAACAGAGGAGATCCATGGGAAGAAGACGTACATGTGAGGTTGGAGGATAGGATGGTATGTCACCTTTCCAAATTTTACTTCTAATACAAAATTGAAAAGATTAGTATTTTGCTGATAGTAGACTCTCCTTTTATGTTTGCATGTATATGCACAAGGAAAAATTCCACACTCTACTTTGGACCATATGAGAGAGCTTCTGGATCGACCTTTACATCTTCAAACCGATTATCCAAAAGAAGGTTTTGAGGATAATATGCCAAGTTACATCCGACAGAGTATGCCATTATTACCCGTCCACTTACCCAGTGTAGAGGAGAGTTATCAAGAGTTATTTTATATGACACATGACCTCATGAGATTGAGTCAAATCGTTCTTAATCCACATGGTCTCTCCCAGGTGAATCCCAATCTTTGGAAAAAATGGTCTTTAACTGACTTCGAGATAATGTTTGGTTTATCACTCGAACCTAGACCATTACCCTTAGTATTGTCCCTTTATAAGGTAAATTCCAACTTCTGTCTGTACAAATACTGAAGTCAAGTCCACGATAGAGAAACACGTCGACGGGAATATCATCATCGATTCACTCATCGCTGAAGAAACTGGTCTACCCATGTCTATCATTCATCAACTAGAACTACCTCCCAACTCTGCCAAGCAGTTGATAGTCTGGCGTGATCTTGTCCGTGGTGTGAGTCCCTCATACATTCCTCGACATACTTCGACCTTGAAGTTACAGAGCGAAGGCTGACGCTGAGCTCGCATTCTCAACTCAGATGGTACCTATCATGAATCCTTGTAGACAACGGCGGGCGCATTCTTCCATCTCTTTCTCATGGTATCAACGTGCAGCCTTCGCCGAGATGTTCCCTCTTGATCCCACTTTCCGTAAACTCTCCCAATTCCTTCATTGCATGCGTCTCGACTGTCTTTTAAATGCTGCATTAGCCGCTTGGGACCTGGACTTGATCACTCCTCGGGAAGAACGATGCGCTTGGTGGTGGGTCGAACAAGTGACACGCGAGAGGAGTGCATTATCCCTCCGACCAACCTGGAGATCGGTTTGGGCGCAAGTATGGTTGAATATCTCGCGAGCTATGCAGGCAGTGAGTCACCGATCACTGACAGCAATTCGTTGTCATACTGAAATTCAGCTGCTGTCACTACCTTCCCTCACGACAACGAAGGAATTATCGCTGGAAGAATTCTGTTTAAGATACAAATGGGCACGTAAACGACCCTTGACTGTCACCGGAGTTAAGGTCTATTCAGGACTCTTTCCGCGTTACCGATCATGGCAAGGAAGCAAGCGACAATGGGATAGTTTTTCTGAGGTACGTCAAAGATCAGGTTTAAGAGCTGAAAGTCAGATGGAAGTCAGGCAGATGGCAATTGAGAACTTTGGGGATGCACTGCGAGCTCTCGAAACATTGTTGAGGCAACTTCAGGGATCAGCCATCGTAAGTTCAGTTACGATCCTTTGTGAGGTATTAGCAATGACAGTTGACGCTAGTCGGCGCTGCATGATCTACGCGAAGATATTGTCAACAACATGAAGGCCCTGTATCAAGAAAAGTTGTCGTGGGCGGATCGCAGGAGGTGGATGTCGAGGTTGCAAGTGTGACTTAGAATTTCATCCTCCATTCATCGCTGCCTCCTCGTCTAACTCTTCCGCTAGAGCATGGCCTGAATCACCCGTTGTGATCATGGAATGAGATGAACACCTCACTATCTTCTCCTCACTTCCATGCTTCTCAACGTCGGCTTGTCCCACTCCGACTTCACATCCATTCACCTTGACTTCCGGCTCAACCACCGTCGGCTCGTCCACCACAACCCCCATCCTCTCAGCCTCGGTTCTCTTCAACCAGATGTTATAATCATCCCTTTCTTCTATCATGGCCCTGATCTCGGCTACTACCTCTTTACCTCTCCCAAGTGGTATGCCAAGCTTCTCTGCTGCCTGCTCAACCGATTTGCTCTGGCTGATGGCCTCGGACGCCAACTTTTTCTCCGCTTTTGTCATATTTGACACAGGTGGTGAGGATGGTTTGAACTGGCTCAACAGAAATTTTGTATTCCCCCATGGATTCGCAGTATACTGAGCGATGTTCAACAAACGGGGCACGACTTCTTCCAGATTACCCACGGGTCCTTCGACTCTGAAAATAGAAGGATTCTTCTCGGCCGCTCGAGCCAACATCACACTATCCGCTCCTGTTTCTTGACGTATTCTTTCCCAATTGCTCCATCCCTCGCCATCCCCGTTACATATTATCGACACATCCCGTCTTCGACCGAGATTGACGACATCCGCCAAACGTTCCCACATCGCTCTTTCACCGGATCGCATGTTGCGTGTTCGACAATGTACGGTCAGGTTGCGTATACCCGTTCGAAGGATCTGGGCAGCGAGGACGAGAGTGGACGGTTGAGTGGGTAGTAATCGAATTTTGCATGAGATGGGAAGAGGGATGTTTTGTAGAAGTGAACGGAGGATATCAAGAAGTAGGTCGGGGGTGGACAGTAAAGCGGCACCCATACCTGAATGTGTACTGTTGGTCAATATGAAGATTCCTCAAGGTTGAGTGAATGAAGGAGGACGTACGAGAAAGGTTTGGGACAACCGCAGTTGAGATCTATTCCAGAGACGTCTTGTTGGACGGTTTGAGCCGCTTTCACAGCGAGAGCTGGGTTGGAGGAACCGATCTGGAATATTACTGTGGGTGAGTAAGGATTCTGGGCGGTGTTGGATTGAAGATGAATGTAGAAGACCCGATGAGGTAGTGTCTCGGTGATCTCAGTGAATGCAGACTCTGAGGGGGGTCGACAAGTGTCAGAGCAATGAGGAAGTGGAGTAAACGTACGATATGGTTTTTCCATAGGGTGAGTAGAGAATATGGGTCCTTGACCTTTGGTATATGTTATAACGCCTGTCACAGCTGTTGGTCAATTTGATGCACTTTTTCAACCCCTTATAATTGGTCCTTCAAGATAACAGACGCGAAGAGAAAAAGAACTTGTTCCGAAAATTTGCCAAGTGACTACACCATTCTGAGGACAATTCAAGGGGACATATCAGGGAGAATGTAACAATCATAAAGGAGAAAACTCACGATCCACAATCCTCTCAGACCCAATGATAGCTCTATCCACAACTTCAGGTGACCAAACTAATCCCGCGCCATAATAAAGTGATAATAATCTAGTAGGAACTATCCACATCAGCTCACTCAAGTTTCCACATAAGTGAGAGGACATACGAGAACCAGTACGGACCATAGGAGCAAGAACGAGTTTATTCCTATAATCTAGTTCGTGTATGTATGTACGTGGATGTTCAATAGGTGATGACATGATTTTCTCTATCATCTCTGAAATAACTTCTTCCTCCGGAGGTTTCTCAGTTGGAAGGATCTCAACTCCATTCGTAGATTTGTCTTCCGCCGTGATGTTTCCCTCCATGGTGGGAGTAGAAGACGACTCTGGAGATTCTACGGTGGATTGATCGGTGAGTGGTCGGATAGGTACGTTTACGGATACATGAGTCGTTGTTGTTTGAGAAGGTTTGTCGAAGGTAATGCGAATTCTTGATACGTTTGAGGGGTCGATCGGTTTCCGACATGGAGGATGAAGAAGGGATAGCTATAGGCATGATTCGTTTGAAAGGTGATAGTTGGGATAGATGGGAGATGAAGGGTCGAAGCATGGACTTGAGGTTGAAATGTACCAAGGGAAGCGAGGGGGGCAGAAGAAGGAAAGGAATTTTTCAAAAAGTGGCTCTTCTTTCTCGTAAATCGTAGATTTTACAATCCGATATGTCAGGATCATGTACAATAAAGATATAATGCATGCTGTGCAAAATCTTTTGAACAAACAGTGAGAATCCCGCTTACTTACACCATGCACCATATATGAGCACACTAAAGTCAAGAAATACACATTTTTCCCTAACATGAGATTGTTGCGGTATTGCCATGCTGCTTTGCCAGTGTGACATCACCAGCACTTGTGTACCTGATCAGTGTGGAAACACAGTAGTACCATCCGGCACTGTTCGACTCACCACAAGGGCCCGGTCGCATTGGCTAGGCTACCAGCAACGTAGCTTGCCGTCTCGGCCACATGACTCGCTACTTCACACCCCAAATGACTGGCCTCGCTTGCCAGCGCACTCGCCATCCCGCTCAGCGTGTTCACCAAGTGATCCGCGTAAGCGCTCTGCGCCACCTCAGTGGCGGCTGCGAAGGTGCGACGAACCGCCCAGTTTGACACGACAGCTGCAACGTAGACCGTAGCAGCTGTGCAGCAGCCCAAGAACAAGAGTTCCGGACCCCAACGGTCAGCCCCTATTGGCGGACCTTGATATGGGCGTACTCCCCAATAATAGTTGACGCGGGCCTCTCCATCCCTCGATGTCAGCCTATGTCGCTGCCCTCAATACTGATAGGGAAGTACTGACCGTTGGCGGGCGTCTGAAGACGGGGCGGCGGACTTGCTCTTGACCTTGATCGATTTACGAGGGCCAGAGGATTTGGAAGATTCTCCATGATGGAGTGAAGCCTCTTCGCTATTGAGACTTGTAGGCTTTGCGGTATTCCTCCAGGTGATGGCATTTTTGGTGGGAGCGGCAGACGACTTGGCTAGCCTGTCAGCGTCCGCAAGTACCTCAAGATCCCCCAGACGTACTAGGTTCCGCTGAAGCAGCGACTGACATCTTGGTCTTCGTGGACTTGATGAGAGTGTGATACTGATCGTTGAGTGTTATTAGATGCGGCGGTTTGTTGATGGCGGTGAGACAAGAGTCAAGTGAAGAGACGGTGGGGGATTGCGAATCATCAGCAACCGTATTTAAGTTCTCAAATCAACGAGCACCGCTTGGTCCATGAAAGGATACGCCGAAGGCGTTGCATGTCAGGGATTTGAGATATGGAAGGAGAGCTTCGGGCTATATGGGCAGAGGCGATACTCGTTCTGAAAGGGGATCGACGTGGTGATTGAATCATTCCCCGTCCGTCATCGTCTCGGCCGACGTCATAGCCATGTCGTCCGTTTGAGTCGTGGTCGGCAATTGAGGTCGAACTCTGAGGGTAGGGGCATGAACGGAACATGTCGCGGATCGGTCATATCAGTACGATGAGTGGTAGTTGAAAAGACATGAACGAAGCTACGTCTGGCAGGTAAACATGAGCTTAAAGTACGGAGTACTAAGTAGTGAAGATGGATCATATATGTGTTGCAGGACGGAGACTTGTTGGTACATGTATTCCCGCGAGTGTGGCGTGTGGCGGACCGTCTTCGTGGCGGAATCCTCCTCGTCGGTTGGCAGGACGATGAAGCGTATTGGTGAGCACGACCAATCATGAAGGGAGAAGGTATTGGTTTACAGTAGAAATACACGGTGCTCTCAGCTGCACCGGCGATGTAAGTGCTGGAAATAGTCACCGTGGTTCCACTATATAAAACATGACCGGAGTTATTGGGCGACCAGATAGACCGTGCGCACCACTTAAACCCCAGTATGGCAATGTAGTGATTCATTCACCAGCGGGCGACATCAAGTAAGTGGTGATGCATGTCCACTCACACAACTCACGAGAAGTCCACATGGGTGAGGAAGTTTAGTGTCTCAAATAAACGCTTAGCGCTATATATCACAGTATTCATCGACAATGTATGTATGTATGAGCAGCACCAACGTAGAAAGACGAACGCGATCAGCGCTTCATCCCTTCGCTCAGGCCTTCTTGATAAGCTATGTTCTTGACCCAATCAACATATCCGCCGACCGGAACCTGGAGCCTAGATCCCCTAGGTGTCAGCGGAACCCGTTGAATGTCAAACATGAGAAGCAAGAATGGTTGACTCACAACCTAGAACATTTCTCATCAAGTTTTCTTAACTTTTCATCCGCTTCCCTACTTTCTTCGGTGTACCCTTGTAGAACCTGTGAGACATAGCAGCCGTCTGGATCATGGTTTGAATGATCATCAATATACATTGATAATGGTAGTTTGGAACCTTCCTCTTCATGATGGGCCCTGTGAAAGGCAAGAATTCTTTGAGCCCCAAGATCATTTGCGGAAAGTTCATGAATATGAGTGGTATTTGCTTCACCCTGCTCTGTTGTGTTCTCAAGCTTGGAGTTCGAATCAGCCCTTTGAGATCCCTCTGACTTGACCTTCTCCTCGTCTTCATCAGAGTTATCCGAGCCATCCCATCCCGAGAGGGCGTCATAATCATCATCACCGGTGGATGACCTGTTGTCATTCTTGCTTTGTTCTGCGGTCGAAGTTGGATTCGTATCCTTTGAAAGAAGAGTCTCACTATCTGATTCATTAGTGAGAACTCTACGTATATCAACACTCTACCTACCTTCAGATCTTCCCGTATTCAGATTGACAGCTGTCATCTTGTTGAACCTGTGCCTTTGGTTTTATAAGTAAGTGAACGATACGGAAATACGATTAAGAGTGTGTGGAGTGTTAGATATGAGCAGCTAGCCAGTGGATAGAGATTGTATACTGTAGGACATGAAGATATATTTGAACCACCTTATATATCTATTGATTTATCTATCAGTCCTGTTTTGTTGAAAGGACCGAGCATGTGGTATCTCACCCCGCAACCGAACAGAACAAAAGGAGGTTAAACGAGTCTGGTTGTCGACTGAGCACGTCCTGGCATGTGAGAGGATCTCTAGTGTCAGAGATGAACGCCCGTTATTGAGGGAAGGTATGTACATACATGTTTCATCACTTCCATTCAAGCTTGGAAGGACCAAGACAAGGGACTTAGTGATGTTTCACGTAAATTCATTGAATAGCTGTTTCTAGGCCTAATACCATTCTAAGCGACGTACTGTTCTCAGAGGAGGAGATTTCAAATATGTTCCGGACAAAGATGACAAGAATGCATTGAATTCACATGAATGTCCAACTATCCAACAGGGATTGAAAACATAGTAACCATGATCTCAACCGCTCAGATAACTCTTAACGCCATAGGCTACAGTCGCAGCCACGGCGGCATGAGCTGCACCAGCGTAGAATGAAGATGAGGAACTATGTTTACTACTACCATCTTTCAGACCTTGGCGATAAGCTTGTTGGCGGATAGAATCAACATGTGTTCCTCGTCCAAATGGTGAGGTTCGACCCCTACCTGTCAGATCCATGCGTTCCAATTGTGACACAAGCTTTCACTCACAGGAGAGATGCAGTCGTTTCCAATGCGCACACAACGTCATCGACTGTCTTGGTCAGTGAATCAAGCTCCCTGACGACTCGGGCCATTGGGTCTATTTCCTCATCGGTGTTCCGGGCATTGCTTGCAAAGCCACAAATTGCGGGGTCGCAAGTCGAATGATCCGCATCGGGATCCAATGGAATTGAGAATCGGAATGAGAAACCAGAGTTAGGTGCTGAGTTTCTTTCCGGATGTGCTTCATCCTCCCAATCATCATCATCATCATTGTCAACTTTCTCCTCCTTGGGAGAAGTTTTTGTGGGATCAGCAAAGGTCTTGGTATCCGTATCAACATTGACTTGTCCACCAGGAAGAGTGGATTGTTTCTCTTTCACATTGTCATGGAGGTCTTCGTTGTCTCCATCATCATCATCAACCCATGCTTGATACCCTGACTTATCGGTATTGGTATCCGTAACAGACGGGGGGTATTCCGTGTCATTTTTGAGGAAAGTTTTCTCGTCTATATGGTCAACATGACAATGACTGTGTCAAATATCGCTCACCAGAAGATCTTCCGGTAGTCAAATCGTTGTTGCTCATCCTGCCAAATCCTGTCAATGGTTAGTATAATCCGGGATGATATGAGTGAAAAAATATAATGTTATGCAAAGAGTTGTGTTGTATGTTTGATGGAAAGGGAAGAACTGTGAGATGAGAAAGATGTACGGGCGACAGATTAAGTACTCGCGATGTGAGATCGCAGATGATTTTGTCAAAGGAGATTTGATGAGATGATGCATGTCTCATCTGTCCGGAATGAAAGGAAAGATCACGATGTCGTTAGGACGATATCATATTCAATATCCGCCGTCCTTCTTAACACACGTTTGAAGTGTTCATGATAAGGCAGGGTGATGGAAAAAACGGAAGTTGATACATGTTTCATTATTCCGTGTGTCAACGTCAAGTCAGCTTCTTGAATACCCGATTAAGAAAGGATCTGATGATATGGACGAATTGTTTGACCGTGATCAACATGACATATGTCGCCCAAAGAGATGACCTGTGTAAATGTACCAAGACGAATATTATTCACATCAGAATTAGTGAATTGTACACATACGCGAATAAAGCACTACGGGTAAGATACTGCAGGGAGGGAGTAGGGAGGTGAGAGAAGAGATCAAGTGTGAGAATTATGAGATTCCGTCAGATATCTCAGACCCATCATAGCAGTCGAGACCCCTGCACTGATCAGTGTGGCATGAATGACTCCCCGAAGATATCCTCTCCTATCTGATTCCAGTAACCCCAGTTGATAACCTAACACTACTGCCCCTTTAGCTATCTCGTTTCGTTCCCCATCCACATAACCCTCTGTTGGAGTACGGATATTGCTTCCTCTGTCCATTAGTTGAGACAATCTCCCTACCCTCGCTTTTCCATACGGCCTGATAAGCATTGAGGATGGATTGGGTGGACTTACAACATTTTCGCTTCTTCATCCAAAGCTTGAAGTCTACTGTCTAATTTTGAAGCCGCATCATTGAGATTGTTCAAATAAATCTGTCGACAAGTTAGACAATTGATCAGATGACTCCTGATGTTGTTTGTGGTACTGGCACCAGTTTCAGTCTCACGTACTTCAGCTTCCGAAGTGGAAGGGATGAAGTGGGTGGAGTGATCTGAACATTCATGCTTTTGATTATCTTGATCTTCAGATTCATGGGTATAATTGTCATCATCGAAGTCTCTAAGCTCGACACCCGGCTGAGAAGTAGTGGTGACATCATCGGCTTGAGTGTCTTGGATGGCGGATTCGTGAACGGTGGAAGGGTTCACGTTGGTTTCATTGTCTTCGTCTATAACTTGGGGGTATTGATACCCAGTAGTAAAGGCCGTGTCCTCTAAGCAATCAGTGAAGATCATTTTGGAGTTTCGTAGGTGATCACTCACGGTCAGAGGGTACAACAGATGCTAGATGAGTAGACATGTTTCCGGATATGGCTTATTAAGTAATTAAGTAGAATCAGTTCTGTGAGTGTGGAGAGTGATGTTGTCTGGATGGAGTGGTTGATAGTGGTGTGGAGAATAGATGATGAGCAGCTGATTCATATATAGCTGCCAACGAATAGCGGAGTATTGAGGAAGAATGGAATCTTCGATAGAAGATATAAAGGAAGGAGATTGAAACGTGATTGAAACGAATTGTCAAGCGAAGCCTTCGACCTGGAAAGGACCGTTCCACAACATAGTCAACTGTCGTGACTGCCCGTTGCGGAGATACTTATATTGAAATGGTGGCGGAAGAGCGAGAAAAATATGGATTTGAGAAAGTCAGGGGAGTCAGTACGGTTCAGTTGAAATGTCACTGAGCATGATTATTCGTTATATTCCCTAAGTGGTAAAATCATTATAAAATTCACACTCTAAAGAGCATGTGGTGAACCTTCCAAGCCAAATGGAGGACTTCTTAACCTGTCCACAACCCTGACAAATCAGCAACCTGTCCATATGACAAACATAATTCGACTCACTCGATCACAACTCTACCAACTTCTCTGTCTTGTCTCGGTTGATAACCATAAGCCATAGGATCCGATCTTCTTTTATCCATTGGCATTTTCTCAATAATCACCACAGTCATAACTTCCCCTGCATGTTTCAAAGCTGGTACTCCCCATAATTCTAATTCCCTAGCATCGAAATGTAACCAAGTCGGTAAAGGACCACCACCTTCTAATTCCGCACGATAAGTCGATGGTGGATTAGATGACCAAGTAACAGCTGAAAGTGAAACGCTTGGAGGTGGATGTATAGGAGGATGTATTGAGAATGTTTCATTTGATGCTGCGTATAATCTTCCATCGGTAGATATAGGTCTAGAACCTGAAGCATGTCTTCTATGTCTTACGAAAGAACCAACTTGTGGTAAAGGTGGTGAAAGTGGCGTTTCATGTTGAGGTACTAAATGAACAGTTGAAATTCTTCTATTTTCAGGTTGAAAAGAAGATCTTTCATTTGTCATTGGTGAACCAAACATGATTTCAGAGTTCGGATAACCTAAAGCTGAAGCATCGGTATACATAGATCGACGAGCTTCTTCAGCATCATCAAAAGCTCCATCGATGGCGATAGATTTCCTTGATCCACTTTGTTCGGGCGAAGCGATTTTCTCAACACTAGGTCGTAGTCTAGGAGTTGAAGAAGCGATAGGTTGACGAGTTTCGAACGATTGTCTTTCTGCCATTGCTACTACTGCATCTTCACCAGAAGTTTCATCTTCTTCATCGATACTTTGAAAACCTGATCCTCCAAAACGAGAAGCTGCAGGTCCAGCGAATGAGGATAAGGAACCAGATTGGAATGTCGTTCCTTCTTCTGAAGAATGAAATTCGCTGAATTCTGGTGAGCCGAGGGTATGTTGTGAAGCGAGTTGAGCTAATCTCGTTGGTGAGCTATTTCGAGGATACCGAGGGGTGAAATCCGCTCTTGGTCTAGGGACGGAAGGAGTTGATAATCGTTTATCACTCATGGACCATTGAAAACTTTCCCTACTTTCCCAACTAGCTCTCGAACCGGATGAAAAGGATTGAGTGAATGAAGAGGCATCTTGTGAAGGTCTTTCGATAGGGTCGGAAATCCCAATCACCACACCTGATCCGGCAAAGGAACTAGCATTGTCTACTTCTTCCACGGGTTTCTTCTCGGGCTTCTCGGACCATCCAAATATCCCTTTCAACCCCTCCATCCGTGATGGTCGATCGGGAGAACGAGGCTCAGGGTGGTGGAATAGAGAGATCTTGGCGATCTCACCCAGTATGTTACGAGGAGGTTCGAGGGTGTTACTTCGTCTGAAAGGGTCGGTAATGGGAGATGCGGCGACAAAAGAAGCGTCATCTTTCTCTTCTCGTTCTTCCTGGTGAGCCTTTCGTCTACGGAAGCAGCAGAAAAGGAGTAAAAGTAATAAGATTAGAGCTAGAAGACCGAAGATAACCCCTAGAGCTATCTTGCCCGCCTTGGAAAGACCGCGATGCGAGCCAGAACCCAAGTTGGTGCTACTATCGGTAGGGGTGGACGAACCTGAAGTGGTGGAAACTACAGCACCTGGAGTCTCAATCTTGAGGGTTGACGTGGAAGTGAGATCGCCGAGAGTAGCAGAAAAGACGACATTGATAACGTTGTTAAAATCTTTCGGTACAGTCCCGCTGACGGTTGTACCCGAGAAGGTAAGCCACGAGGCTGTGCTATTGGCACTGATGGTCGCTGTTGAATTTGCAACATATGGTGAAATATCGAACGAGAACTTTTCCCCCGGTGCGACTGTTGCGTCTGGGAGGTTGTATGCGGTGAAGAAGTAAGGGATAATATTCATACCCACCCAAGTGGTCAGGGTGAGGGTACTTGATGAGTTGGATGAAGCGATAGTGAGTGGAAGGAAGAGTGATGTGATGGTTCCATTTTGATATTTGTCCGGTGTGATACCGGAAATCATACCGGATGAACTTTTATTAACATTGTCATGTATATTATTGAATGAACTCACCTGTCAATCTTCAACCAAGGAAAATCAACATCATCAATGGAGAAGACAACATCTTTTGCAGGTGCTCCTCCAACAACCAAATCACTCACGTCAACCTTATAATCTACATTATCTCTAGCCATAGTAGTGATAGCTGTAAAATTCTTCCCTTTGATCAATTCTATCCCATCTCCAACTCCCACTTCAATCACGAAACTCGTTTGAGCGCCTGTATAACCCCAAAAGTCGGTACCGGTAGCGACGATTGTATAACTTCCATTGGCAGGTGCGACACCATCGAAAGTGAATGTTTCATTATTGAAATTTAGCCAATCAGGTAAACCGATAGTACCTCTTTGATGAGCTGAAAAATATAATTCTCCATTATTTGGATCGTTTCTAGAAACCCGAAATGTGTCATATTGAAAACCTAAAGAGAATGACCAATGAGGTGGGATTGAAACACCAGTTTCATCGGGTAAAGTGGTGGCGGAAGAGATTTTTGCCAGATTGGTAGATGCTAATTGAGTTGTGAAAGCCGCGTGTACAGCTGGTGTAGAATATTTCGTGACGATAAGTTTGAAAGAATCTTTTGTTGAACCGTCGTCATCCGTAGCTGTTAAAGTTATAGTTTGTTCTCCTACATCGACGGCTGAAGGTGTTCCATGAAATGTTTCGACCTCAGGACTGAAACTGAGCCATGAGGGTAAAGTCGAAGTTGTATATGTGATATTAGTGGTGGAAGTGAAAGAAGAAGGGAAAAGGTCGAATGTGAAAGGTTGTCCTATTCTCGCTACGAAAGGCATTTGATCCATCATAGGATAATTGAGTATCGGTTTAGCGGTCGTCATGGCAGCTAGGACGAGTACTAAAGCTATCATCTTGTTTCGTGATGTCTTCATCATATCCTCGATTGTTTTGTTTTTGAGATCCTCGATTAGGTAGGTAGCTGCTTTGATGATGGTTGATATTGGAGGACGAGATCTATGTGAGGAAAAGAATGATGGCTAGTCAATAGCCGCGCTATCAAAGCGCTTCGAGTCGTCTTGCGACTGATAATGAAATGAAGGTCAGCCGAAATCAAGTGAGAAAGAGAAGAGTGAGTAAGAGTAGGAGTACCAGTGATGAGTGTGCATGCTGGAGGGGATGGGCGAGGGCAAGGGAAGGGAATCGCGTCAATAGACAAAGTTGGCACGTAAGATAGAGGGAAAAGCACAAAGTACGCGCACATGGGTAGGGAACATGGCACCATAGGACGCGTCATCCAAGTGCCACTTTGGGTACCTTAAGAAACGCACGCGTGGTGGTGAATTTGACGCCAGCAAGGAGCTAACTATGTACATACGAGTAGCATGGGCAGAGCAATTACACGCAGGGAATCATCAACTAGCAACATAAATAGCTCCTCCCGAATCCTCTCGTCGAGGTTCACAGCCCGTCGTCCAGTCACTTTCCAAGTCAAACCCGAGTGTGCAGGCCACACTTCTGGCTGTACCGTCAGCTAAGTACCTTGAACCTCTCGAGTTGTCTGTATCTTGCAGATGTCGATGTTCAACGAGACACTCACATTGAGCCCACACGACCTCGTGACCTCTACCTTCCAGATCCGCCGCGACATCTTCTGATATACCCAGCAATCGGTCCCCCCTCCTATCACTAGACCGTTCCAATTCCGTGGCGGAGGGTTGGAGTTGACTATGTATTCTACCTGCTGCTAAAGCTTGGTCTATCCATCAGCAACTGAACAAACTTGCAAATGTACAAACTCACCTGGACTCATGCCATATTCCAATACGTTTCGGACGATTTGTATGTTGGTGGAAATGATCGTACTTCCTCCTGCACATCCTCCGGCAAGTACGGCCTTTCCATCAAGTTCCACGATATACGGACACATGGAGCTCAGAGAGCGTTTACCAGGCTGGACTGGGAAGATGTCAACTCAACACCCATCACCCTCAAACCATTATACCCAATGCCCAACTCCCAGGATATCCCAGAGCGGGGGATGACTCCTTCGACGTGTCAAAGTCCATATTGTAGTTGAAAAGGGGATATATTCGTGAAGAATGGAAAAGAAAACTACTGACCGTAATTCGCAGGAGACGGTGTGTATCCAGAAGAATTCACCCTTCCCTCTACTGAAAAGTCGTCCATGGAATCATTCAGTACCATCCCAGCCGCAACTACCCTACTACCGAAAACATGACCGATAGTAGTGGTTAAACTGACTATCAATCCCGTCGAGTCCGCCGTGATGATATGAGAGGTTCCATGATCATTTTTGATCTCGACACTTGGGGGTGAGCATAGATTCATGCCGTCGTAAATCCAGTCAAGTCGAATGAATCATAGAAAGGAACTACCACAGTTCATGGTATGAGTCGATCAAGTAGGGTGATAGGAGAGAGGTTGTTTGACATACGTCTCAGGAAGATAATATTCCATTTCATGAGCCTTCTTATCGATCTTATTCGCTCTTTTTTGAATTCCCTCGGGGGATAACCAATCTCGTTGCAGTTTTTCTGCCGAGGGTACAAAATCGGGGTCTCCCAACAATGTCCTTTGAGCGTAGGCCAACTATCGGTCAGTCTATCAATTCTGAGAAGCTGCAATTCGTATCACAGGGTTTTACCGCTTTTCTCTATCCAATTACCTTGTCCTTGTTAATTACGGTAGGAAACGAAACTACTCAAATGATGCACTGAGTTAAGAGATGTATGGATGAAGAGCGGATGGCCTACCTTTTGAACTTCCACCATCCTATGAGCGTCTTCCTTCTTTCCCTCTGTTCGATCTGAAGGAAAACTTCCCAAGACTCCTAGAGCAGAAAGAAACACCGCCCCGCTTCCTGGAGCAGGTATCGAATAAACGTCCCATTTTCTGTATTTCCCTTTCAAAGCTTTTCTCCAAATCGGTTTGTAATCCATTCGTCAATTCCCACTCTAATCATTTGACCCAACAACTTTCATTTGATACGAATGGAGAAAGTGTCGGATGAATCGATTCTCGTAGACGACAAACCGGTAAGATGATAGATAGGTTGTGAAGAGGTAACTTACTTGATAAGTCAGAAAGAATCATTAAACCTCCTGAACCCCTAACACATCTCACGATCTCTTGTCCTATCTCACCATTATAAAACACATCTGAACCTCGTTCCGCAATCTTACGAAGGGTTTGACCTAAGATAGGTCGTCGGAGGATTGATCCGGGAGATAAAAGTTGATCATCTTGGAAAAAGATTTCAGCTAGGTCGGAATGTTCAGGTCGGGATAACCATCCAGATAATGTGGTTGGTGTTAAAGGGTCTAGAGCTTGAGAGAGGTACTACTTGATTAGTTTGTGAACTGGTAATTTTATTTCTTTTCTTCTCCGACGTCTCTTTCCTTTAAAGCGTTTGAAACGATGGATTCGCAGTAGTATGTGGAACAGCGGAACATGTAGATAGCTTATACTCGATTCATATCAGGACGGATCCTATATTGACGGTGCACATAGAATATGATATTTTGGAAAGAGGGGTTAAGGTGCAGATGACTTAGGGAAAAGAGAGGGAGAGGGAGTGGGACAGAGAGAAAACTGACACGATATAAATCCCCACCCATTTGATAACCCTCACATAATTTGATGACCGGTTCCAAAACTTTTTCCCATTCCAATTGTCCATATTTTTGATGTAATTCTTCAAAACCAGCTATTTCTCCTGGAACACAAACTGATGTACCTCCTATAGAAGTTGATGCTCCATTTCTATACATTTCACTTGTCGCTGCGGCCTATTACACATAATCAGTCCATCACCCAATGGTCACAGAATTATCTGATGTTGATATCAATTTCCATCACTTACCCCTTCTCATACCTACAAATCGTTATGCGGAAGGAAAAAGCTGATATTAAAGAAGTCTGAACAGGGAGAAGTAAATGAGTGGGATGAATAGGAGGAGAGAGAGAGGAGAGGAGCAGGGAGAGAAGAGATAATCATTGACTGAACTTACAGGCGATACATGTCGGAAATCTAAAACTGTATGTTCTCCATTAGGTAAACGAAGTAAAGCGAAACCACCACCACCAATATCCGAATTAAAAGGATTCAATACTCCCACAGAGAGAGAAGTAGCGATTATTGCGTCTACTGCATTTCCACCTTGAGCGAAAATGTTTTTACCGATCTCAGAAGCGATGGAATGTTCAGAGCAAATCGCTCCTCCCTTAACCACCATGATATGTGTTTATATGAGGTTTAACTGTGATCACACCGTTGATCCGTTGAGGAAGACTTGTATTCACGAGAAAAGGCTTGAGGTGTCCAGCACCTTTACAACAGGTGCTTTGTACAGTATGTATATACACAAGTCAATAAATCGAATTGGGCAGAGAAAGTAGAAGACGAATCAGCTAGTGTGGTGGGACATAGTTCGGAGCTTATCTGCCAAGTGGCTCGGAGTTGACCGAAAAGATAAAAACTACCTCATCTCATTCATCTAAGATGCTACATTCTACAATATGTCATTTTCTCATTCAGTACATACCTCCCGCACTCTGAGAAGTACCTTTAGGGGAGATGACCTTGATCCAATTACGTTCGAATTTAGTGAACAAACCACCATAGCAGATGAGCAATGAACGGACGTATGAACGAAGGAGGAAATGGTCGAATCTGTCATTGGCGGCGATAGCGGCCTGATTGTCAGCAATTCCACAACTTCAATAATGACCAAAAGAAAGATTTACCGGATAGTCCTGCAAAGTCAGCAAAGTCCTTCAAAAATATTTAGTAGAAACATATGACCCATTTAGAAAAATCGGCTTCGGTTAGGTGGTGGGAGATGATTCAGCAGGACGGTCAACAACTGAGTACTCACCATCAAGTTAGGATATCTAGCCCACTCTTGCGCCAATTTAAGGCGATCGGTAAAGTGAGCACGACAGCCATTCTGCATAGCGTTGGTCTTTTTGTACGTCTCATTCAATTCTCGTATGATGTGACCTTGAACGTCGGCACCTATTGATTAGCATCTTGACATATCTCTTCATGTGGGTTCGAGGTCCATGTGGATGTCCACACGAATCGAAGTCGAAGAATTGAGATATGAGACATGGCTAAAGTCACTCACCAAAACTGTTTCCATCTTCCATTAGGGGAATTTCCATTTCTAGCCAAATCTTAAGATCTTGGCATATGAAGTGAAGATCTTCTTGCTCTCTGTTATCAAGTCAGTACCAAAATCCGTTCGTCGTTGAGTCCGGGTAAGAAAAAGTGAAAAGTACGAAAACGATGAACTCACTGGATAACGATTTGGCACAACTCGCGTTGCACTTCATTCCCTGGCATAACCTCAAACCAATGAATACCTTTCTTAATCCCTTTGTTTTGATCCTCATCATCAGAACCATCTCCTTCTGCAGCTTCTACAATCTCGCTCTCCATGTCGACGTCCTTTATTTGTATACCGTTGGCAACATCAGTAGACAAAGTGATCTTTCCCAATTTCATCTTCTTCAGTGCGGGATCATCTGGTTGATAGAGCTTTGGCTTGTAAGTCTCCGTATCGACATGACCGATCCAGAAACATGAAGTCTCGTCTTGCTCCCCCTCTAGCAACTTGGTGAGGTGGTTAATCTTCCCTGGAAGCTCTTTCTGAAGGATATCGACTGCACGCTTTCGATAACGCGCCATCATCGCCTACGACACGAAGTGAGCGGAGTTTGAAATCTATAAACAAACTGACTTACATCTCTAACCTCTAAATTGGGGTGGTTCTTAAATACATTGGTCATATCCGGCGCGGCATCTCCGTCGACACCATTGGTTCCATTGGGTTTAGCAAAGCTGGGCATGTTGTTTATTGTTACTTCGAGGTTGTTGTGGACGAGAAAAGACAGTCATATCAGTATTAATGGTCTTCACCGCATTGCTTCAAGCACAACGGATCCATCCGTCTTCGAAGACACAAAGGATGTGATCACAAAGGAGGATTAACCGCCCGCTCTTGTCAAAGACTTCTATTCTCAAAGTCAGTATTCCAACGAAAAACGCACCCTTCAAGTCAGGGGAGAAGGAGATATCCCTGACATATACAACGGAAGTCACCAATCGAACTATACAAATCCCCTCCTTTCTACTTTCATCCGCGCAGTTTTGACCAGAGAACAAGGATGATCAGAATCACCAAAACGGCTATGATGGCTGCAGAGAGAAATTTCTGCTGATACATTCTGAGCTATAAGCTTTGATCAAATGCTCCAAGATCTGCAAGCTGACTTACTTGAAGATCATCTTCTTCAATGTTCCTGCCGCCCTATCGATGGAAGAGTCAGCCTGTGTCAACTGATTGTCAATCTCAATTTCGAATGAGAGAAAAGATTAATCACGGTATCTCGAGTATGTTCAATTTGTTCCCTCTGGCCTCTTAAATTTCTCAGGATATCCGCACCGACATCTTCTGTCTCCATCGCTATTCGCTGAGCATTTTTGAGTCTATCCGTACCATCGGCAATTCGCTCGGTACCTGCTAAAAGACGTGTGCGGGCGGAGTAACTATCGGGGTCGTCTGTATATGGGTCATCGGCATTCGGAAATCCTGGACCTGATAAAAGTTCGGCTCTTTGACCTTCATTTCGTACGTCACGCTAGAGCTCAGAATCTGTACTCTGGTGAAAGAACGAAAAACCCACCAAGACCTTTTTGACTTTATCCAATGCTTGTTTCGAAGTTTGAAGACGTTGATGATAAGTCTGTCGGATGGAGGTAGGCATGGACGGTAGTTCGACCTCCATCTGCGCAACCTTCACGGTGAGCTTCATAGAGGGGATAGAGACCGCAGCTCACAATCTCTTCGGCCTCGTCCAGCTCATCTGATACCTTCTTCAACGCAGCTTTACGCTGTTCTAATAACTCAGCAACACTCCAAAGAGATGATCACAAATCTTACCCCCTTTCAACTGCTTGACATCCCCCTCGAGCTTACCCTTGAGACTCGCCAAGAGCTGTTTGAAATCCTCATCGTAGTTCTCAAACAAGGCTCTGGAATGACGAAGTGTATGACAGCGAGAAACGTCGAGAGTGTTGAAATGATGGATCGCATCAGCTCATGTCATTTCAAACCTTGAATAGTCAATACTCACGTGGGAGAATTATCCATGTTGAGGAAGGATAGATGTCAAAAGATCAAAGAGGAGGTCGCGAAAGCGGTGTGAAAGCCAACGTCTCAATGTCTAATTTATTACGTAATATATATCGCCTCCCCTGCGCGTTCAGATATGAAACAACGTCACTCGCTCGTCCACATTAAAACTACAATACCAACTTTGTTCCCCTTCCGATACGTAAACTCTCATAACACCTTCCCCACTCCGGCAGGTTGTTTAGAATACTACTCACCTCGTCGTGTACGTCTATCAACTTTGTCTCTTGTTTGGATGCCTCTTTCAGACCTTTCCCATCAACTCATCCTCCACACCTGACTCGCATTCCTTTCGCCCAACGCACCTCGAACGAGGCATGAATTTCTTCAGTCGGCAGAAGACGAGGACGCCCCAGGAGACGGTGAGAAGTTTGAAGGAGAACATTGTTCGACTTGATCAGAGCTCTTCTGGTGAAACAAAGAAACGAGTGAGTATGAGTTTAGTCTTCCCTCCACAGTTCTTTCCATCCTTCCTCTATGTCGCTTCCCGATCACCAAGACGTGATGGATGACCGATCATGGGTAATGAGCAAAGGCCTAGTAGACTGAGATTTCTAGATCAACGAAGAAGTGTCAAGATTATTATCAAGTATAAAAACATCTTTGATAGGAGATGAAATTGCCGAACCTTCCCCCGACGTCGTAGCACAGATCGCCAATGAAATATACGCACAGGACTTATTAAGCTTGATGGTGATACATCTCGCTAAATTTGAATTCGAGGTTTGTCTTTCATCCTGTATCTAGAAGATATGCTAAAATGGAACAGGCAAGGAAAGATGTTTGTAGTATCTACAGCGCACTTCTTCGGAGACAAATCGGATCACGTTCACCTACCGTGGAGTATATCTCAAGTCGACCAGATATCATCTTCCACACTTTGAAAGGGTGAGTGTGGTTCCTTTTTACCTCTTACCAACTTTCGTAAACCATACTGATTGACATAGATATGGAAATGCCGAAATAGCTTTAAATACAGGTTTGATCCTCAAAGAGATGGTACGATACGAGGCCTTGGCTCATATACTGCTGTACTCTGATCAGTCAGTGCCTTTTTTTGCTTTTCGACGGTGAAGTCGACTGATATGATAGATTTTACACTTTCCCCAATTATATCGAAAACACTACCTTTGGAATCTCATGTGACGCTTTCGCCAATATGAAAGATTGTTTAACGAAACATAAACCCATGGTGGCTCAATTTCTCGATGTCAACTATGATCGAGTGAGTTGACATTACCATCTTTTCTCTTCTCCGCCACCTCTTTACATCTTGACCCCGGACCCACTCTCAACTGCTGGATCCAGATTGTTGGTTTAAAACTCAGTGGAATCACCTGGTGTGATTTTGTGGGTGGTAGGACTGATTGTTAGTTCTTCAACATGTACACTACCCTCATATTATCCACTAATTACGTGACCAAGAGACAATCTTTAAAACTTCTCGGAGAAATACTATTAGATCGTACAAACTACGCAATCATGACACGATACATCGCCAACGAGGCCAATTTAAAGATGATGATGAATTTTCTCAGAGACAAAAGTCGGAATATACAATTCGAAGCGTTTCACGTTTTCAAGGTAAGTCAACATTCCTTCTTTCATAATTCTTCCCAAAATCATAATCAAATACTCGACTACCTAACCTCTGGACCATTTGACCACTGACCCACCTCACTTCATCAATATCATTTGTTTGGACCGCAGTGCAGAACATCCGGGGGCTAGATACCAGCTATGGTATGTCAGTCAATTCAAAAGCTGACTCGTAAGGTGTTCGTTGCCAACCCGACGAAACCACCTCAAATCCAAAGTATTCTTCGAAGGAATAAAGATAAACTTCTCTCTTTCCTCAAAGAATTCCATAATGACAAAGACGATGAACAATTCAATGTGAGTTTCCTTTTATTTTCCAAAGTCGTGACTGACTTGAATAGGACGAGAAACAATTTCTCATTGTGCAAAGTCAGCTTCTTAAGTCAATCAAGATTATCTCTGAGCTGACGTCGCAGTTGAACGAATATAGTATGATCATTTCCCTTGTGTTCTTATTGTTGTAATGCCCCGCCCCGCACCTGTGCTTATGACATGGACGTATCAAGCAGTGTTCATCAGTTGTGCATCTCGTACCCGTTCACTGACTTTGTCCCGAGTCACTTCCTTGTCATCTTCGCATACATCATATATGAGTCTTGGGTTTCTGACAAAGATGCTCAAGATACATGCAATATGCTATTGACACAATGAAATAAACTAATAGTCCTTCTGTGGACTACTAGATGATGATGGTGATTTCCTTCTCTCGGCCTCTGTGGCCATACGTTTGAGATTTTTGAACTCTGTCTTTCCTGTCGCCTTACATAGCTGAACATTAGAAACCTCCTTAACAGTAAACAGTGATGGTGTCTGCTCACGGCATAGAAACGGGATTTCGGATTCCTCAATAACTCAGCAGGACTGGAAAACTCTACTAATCTTCCTTTATCCATGACGAGTACTTTATCAAAATCGATCTATTCGTCAGTATCATCTTTGTCACAAACACGGCCGTGAAGTCTGGAAGAGGAATTCCGAAGGAAAGTGAAAATCTCAGAAACTCACAATGGTATGGATCCGATGGGCAATGGTGAGGATGGTGGAATCGTGGAATTCTTCTCTAATAGTTTTTGAGACTGAAAGTCAGCTGATAACCGCCAGATGGACTCAGCGACTCACTCAGTTCGTCAGTCTCGTCTGATCATCAACATGTTATTCCGCACTTTAGAAGATAATACGTACAATCTATAGAAGCAGTAGCTTCATCCATGAATAAAACTCTATTGCGTCGTAATATTGCTCTTGCCATACAAATGAGTTGTTTCTCTCCACTTGAAAAGTTATCTCCTCCCTCGCTGAAAGATCAGCTTTGTCTCGCTTCCCTAACGACAGTGTTTGGAACTCTGTCTCCCTGGCGGAATGTTGACGAAAGACTAACCTGACAGGATTGGAAAGATCCTTGAATACATTCTTATTCCTGATCTCATCACCTGACGACGTTTCAGAATCTTCCTCCAGTAAATGCACGCGTTTCAAAGCCGCATAAATGTCGGCATCGTCGTATTCGTCAAACACGTCCAGGGTGGATCTTAATGTGCCAGAGAGAATGGTTGGGTCTTGAGGAATTATAGTGACCCTGGTTCGAAGATCCGTCAAACCGATCTGAGAGATATCTACGAAATTCAGCAGTATCCCTTGTGATAAAGAGAGTGACATACCAATGCCATCAATGATGATTTTTCCTGCATGTGCTTCAACAAAGCGGAAGAAACTCAATGCTAAGGTGGACTTTCCACAACCTGTGGAACCTACAATCCCGATCTTTTCTCTGGGTGCTACTTCGAACGCTATAGAATGAAGAACATCAGGTAGATCTGGCTGATACGTCAGCTAAACCAGTGGTTGGGGCAGTAAGCTGAGGACTGACGGCATATCGAATAGTCAGATTTTCTACTGATATGGCTCCTGCTTCTGGCCAAGATGCAGGAGGTCTACGGTCCCCGAATTCTGGTGCTTCTCGGGGTAGCTCAGAGTATCTAGGCATAAGTGTTGGATGAATGACGAGATAAGACACACTCTTTGATTCTCTCCAGGGCGACCATACTTTGTTCGAGTTGAACGAAGCGACGCACCTGCTCATCAGCGAAACTATGGATGTGGGCGAGATGAACCTACCACAAAGAGTAGATCGTGAGTGATGGTGTTTGCGAATGCCAGGGCAAACCCTGCCATGGCGGCTGTGGTACCTGGTGAGACAAGAACCATGACGGCCGTCAAGCCGACGACGAAGGAAGATAGGACATTGAAACGCGCTGATAGCCATCGATTTACTGTCCACGTCCATGCAAATGCCAGTAGATTTGTATCTGCTAAACGCATCATTTGCTTGAGGGCGATGGTGCCTGTGAGTCAGCCTTGGCCCAGCAATGAACTCGACAGGGTGAAACGTGTGTAGAAGGGGGGCTCACTAGCTCCGAACGCCCGGATGACAGCCACTCCAGAGACGGTTTCGCCAAACAATGAATACAGTGGTGATCGAGTCACAGAATCCAATCTTCTCATATCCCTGGAAGTTTGACCGTAAATGGACCCGATCTGATAGTAGATGACCATCACGATACTTCTGATCAGTCTCTTTGACTTCCCAGGTGGAAGAAAAAAAACTTACCAACCAACAACGATGAAAGGAAGACCTCCTACATAAGTGATAGAGCATACAGTGACCGTAGCCGAAAGACCGTATGATATACTCCTGACGAAATTGTCCGCCATGCTCGAGTCTAAACCTTCGATGTCTTTACCAAATCGATTGAGAAGGCGACCTCTGCTGGTAGTATCGTGAAAACGCAATTTGGCAAATAAGACCGCCTCGAGCATAACGCCATGTAGCTTTTTGCTTGCCTTGAGCGAACCGTAGTACACAACGACATACTGGATGTTCTTGAGGAACACTCCGATGAGGGTAATTAGAGCGTAACCAATGACATAGTATTCTGCGGTATGAACCCCGGGTGATCCTGTCCAATACTCGACCCAGCCTCGCTCGGCCACAGGGACAATCATAGCAATCGTAATACCAAACACGAACATACACCACCACACAGGACCACCTAAAGATGTCAAATAGAGCTTCCATACCGACCAAGCAATTCGACCTTTGGCTCGTTTCTCGTCTTCGATCAATTTACGAGGAGGTTTGCTCTTGCCGCCGACCATTGAAGATGACGAAGACGCGAGGGTAATCTCATCATCCGGGGCGAGAGATGAAGTTTCCGAATTAGCTTCTGAGTGGTTTACTCCAGATAAACTGATGACGCTCTTGTGTCCTGGCTTACTGATCGATTCAGGTAGTTTAAGCTCCTTGTTCTCAGGGGCAGTCGGTTTGGCCTTCACATCCTCAGCTTCGAGCTCTTCCATCATCCCACAGGCTACAAAGTCGTCCCTGGTACCGGAAAATTTGACATCGCCATTCTCGAGAGCGACAATGTAAGCAGCGCCGGGTGAGACGAGCGTGGTATGATGAGAGACCATGAGAATAGTACGACCCGCTACGATATCTCCTTGCAAGCAGTTGTCCATGATCGCCTGAGCAGTGTGAGCATCTACCGCACTGAGTACTGTGGCGTTAGATTGTAGTCACAAAAGAACGACGAAAGCTCACCGTCGTCCAGAAATAGGAGAGAAGCACGACTGTACACCGCGCGTGCAAGTGACACTCGAGCCTTTTGCCCACCGCTAAGATTCAAGCCTTTCTCTCCGATCTCACTGAACGAATTAGCTCGTACACATTCCAAAATAACGACTCACGTCTCATCTCCGTCTTCCAAAACCTCCAGATCTGGGAGGAGGGAGCATGCTTCGATGACTGCTTGATATCGTGCCTCACTCCAAGGAGAGGAGAAGATGATGTTATCCTTTATGGAGGCATTCTGCAGCCAAGCTTGTTGTGGCACGAAAGCGACCATATTTGGGACGAGCCATTCTTGTTCTAAGATCGGATCCGGATGACCATTCATAGCATCAGGATGTGAACGTGGGCAAATAACCTGTCCGGCCACAAGATCCGCTTCACCTAGTAAACCGGCGAGAAGCAGAGTTTTGCCGGAGCCTAATCTACCACAGATTAGGGAGAGCTCTCCTCGAGGGAATTTGAGATTCAGGTCGGCAAGGGTGAACGCGTGTTTGGGTGTTGCGGGGACCGATCGTGGAGCTAGACCATTGACCGGCTTGTAGGCAGAGTCGTCCACTGGCCAGGTAAAAGTGGCGTTGGTGAGGATTATGTCGCCATCACCGACTTCATTCTTCACTGGGGCGACCTCGTCACGGGTGAGGTATGTCTCGATTCGTTTGCAAGATACGAACCCCTGAAGGGCCTGGATGAAAGTCTCAGGAAGGGCGTTGAGGGCGTATTCGAGCTCGGCGAAAACGGCGATTGATGTGAATGCAATGGACGGCGTCAGACGCTGATGGCTGACCAATGTGAAGTGCTAAGCTGTTAATTTTCGATCATCGTAGACGAAGAGCTCACCAAAAAAGAGACGACAGTGACAAGCACTGGGGTGAGGGCCCAGATGCAATTGAAAGATACTTCGATCTGGTAGTTTCGAGCTTGCCAGTGAAGCTCTTGCTTTCGTATATCGTTAATACGTTTCTCGAAGGAACGCTCCCAGGCCATGAATCTGAAGTCAGTCATAGCCCCGACAGCGGATAGAATGACGCACTTGAGCATTCTGATACCCTGCAGTATCTCATTCATCAGTGACGTGCGCTGATCTCGGGTCTTCATCAAGTTGTCTTGAGCCTTGACGACAATCTTGGAGGCAATATGATTCAATGGCAGGCAAACTGTGGGTAAGCCCAGTTCTTCCATGAGGAGCTACACTTTGTCTCACTGATGACTGTCAAGAGACCGAAGATTGCTGATGTTCCCAGCATGTTAACCAGGAAGACGGTTGCCCTACACCATCAGCCACAGGTTCTGCTCATATGGAAGGAACACATACACAATAATCTCTATAGGTGCATCGATCAAGCTGAATTCTGCACATTAGTCTGGTACGAGCGACAGCATTTCAACTAACCGTGAAAAACGAATTCCGTCACTCGGTCGACGTCGACCGTGAAGAGAGTCTTATAATTAGTTGAGCTTCTACTTATCACGACTGGACCAACCATGATCTGACTCTTCGAATTTACACCCTCTTCCTCGTCCTCGTCACCGCTGTCGTCATCATCGTCCTCGTCTTTGCCCCTGACCAACTTTTTCTCCTTGGCGAGCTGTTTTTTCGCTTCCTTGTTCGATGTGTCCGGAGCGGAAGAAGCAATATCTTTCTTCACTAAAGTTTTCTTGAACAGTAGGGAGTTGAGCTGCACCTTGATTCTGCCTTCGAGTATTACGGACGACAGGGACCACAAGACTCCAGAAGCGAGGTAAATGAGGGCATTGGAGACGAACAGGCAGAAGGCAAGGAACCAACCCCAGATGGGCTCTGAGCGCGATGGGTCGTTCTCAAGATACCTGATAAAAAGTCGCAGAACATAGTGAGGGAGATAGTAGAAGACGGCTGTTATGGCTGCTAGAAGGGATTCTTTTTCATCAGCCGACAGCGGACGGGTCCAAGGGAGACTCACGTGCGATGAGAGTACCTTTGTTGACCTTGGCTAACTGCCATAGAAGGTTAAAACCCTCCCAATTTCCTAAACGACGACTGCGCTGTCCATACTCTTTTTTCATCGCAGTGTAATTAGGTAATGTGCCTGTGAAGTGAGTCCTTCGTTTTGTATCTGATGGTGAAATAACGCACGCATATCAGAAGTGAGGATAGGTAGGTCCCATACATCCATAGACTCTGCGTAATAGCCCTTCCTGACGAGGTTCGTGGTATAGCTGAAGAGCAGCCATTCCGGGACAGTGACCTGAACTTCTTCAGATACGTTTGGTTTTGAGGGATCCAAAGACTCATGTAACGGAGGAACAGCTTCCAGAACTTTCGAAGGATACAGGGCATCCAAAGGTAAATGCAGAGGTGGACCACGTCGGATATAGCAGGCAATCAAAAGTGGGGGGAAATGTAATATGGGAAGCAGAGCTTGAAGAATGCCTATAGGAGTGAGTGAAGGTAGTCGTATAACGTCGAGCCGAGCGAAATTAGCCAGAAAACCTGACGGTTGAGAAGGTAGGGGTGTCGTAGGTAGCAAAGCAAGAGCAGATAAGACTAGAAAAGCAGAGAAGATGTTGATAGATTGTATGATGGTAGTTGGCCAATGTGTCGAGACGGTATGTTGAGATAAATGCCACCAGCCGATGAGCAATATGACGCAATGAGCAGGAATGAGTAAAGCTGGAATGACAATTTGACGATCTCGTTCTTGTGGTTCTACTCCACTCGCAGCCGTCAAGATCAACAATGTGATGTTGGAAATAAAAGGGAGGGACATCGTGATGAACAAGGCGAGTTTTCTTCTCCACATGCTGGCCCAAAATTTCTCTGGATCAACCGGTATCCCATCAATGCACACGACGGGGTCCACGATGTCGAATGGGTCTTTTTCCGTGGGTATAGAACCGTCCAGAGCTTCATCATGATGGATAGGGAGTCGAATGGGACGTCGTACGAGCTTGTGAATTGGGGAATCTGGATGTATTCCGAGATAGATGGAAAAAGAGACGAGGGTGGTGAGGGGTATTAGAGCGGTGGTAAGTGCGTGGATGTGATCTGACATGCTGATGTGACTATTTCCTCAATGATCAATGAGATAGGTGTATGCTTGATATTGTAAAGAGAGAACTGGTACCGGTGAGTGACAGTAATGATTAGATCGATGTCGAGTTGAGTTCAAGAATGAGAGATGGGAATAGTAGGGTGATAGGGAACAGAGGGATCTGCCCGGACAAGGTCAAGGTACCTTTGTGAGTTTCAAAGGCTTGGGTTTTTTTTTTGGCAAATCCTTCTGTATTCCCTTGGCCCTTGAGTAGAACAAAGAGGAAGGACATGAGTCGGGGGGATAGTAGTAGGATATGCGGACAAGGGGAAAAATCTAAGTACAAGAATAGTCAGTCCCATTTCACCCCCAAAACCCAAAAGTTGGTCACGTGGTGCATCGGAGACGGGACCTTTTCCAAGATCCCTTCCTGCTTCCTGGACCGACTGATGACGACCCCCGTCCGTCCCCTTTGGGACATTCATTTTCAACGTCTTCCATCATCAAATTCAACCTCTATTCCCTTCTACTTGACATCATCAAACATGTCTGTAGAATTACCAAAGGCTATACTCTACTCGTCAGACTGTCTTCTTGATCCTCCAGTCCGCCACTGACCATCAGATATGACCATTCCGTGTGGTCCACAGTGCCAAGATTGTGTCTGTACGAAAAGGGTTATGGCGATGATGAATACGTGGTCAAGCAGGTGGACATTTGTCAGTGATCTCAATGATATTCATCTCTCCAGTCTCTCATTGCGAAATGTTCGATACTGATATGTTTAGCCAAAGGAGAGGTGCGTAGTTGATCGACCGGAGAAGCGCACTAAATCACATCTTACAGAACTTTGCACCGTCATATCTCAAGTGAGCTTTCTGGCCGAGACAACACTTGTGCTAGCTGATGACGCAGGATCAACATGCATGGTCTGTATTACGTACTCTTGTCCTTGATCCCGATGAGGCTGACGGATCAAGGAACCGTCCCAACCCTCGTTGTGCCCATGCTCGAAACGACAGGAGCCGAAGTAGCAAGCAGATATCGTTCTTTACGCGACACTATTGTCCGTTATTTTCCCTCTGAATCCCTATACCCCTTCGTACTAACCTTTCCAGAGTATATGCGAATTTCTCGATCAAGCTCGAAGCCCTCATACTCACAATACGACCTCTGATCGTCCTGCTCCTGTTCTTTCTCCAGCTACCATAGAAGGTGAATCTCACTCTCTTTCTGTTCTCATCCCTCATTCTTCTTCCCTCATCACCCGTCTTTTAAAGGAACGAGAGATACTGATATGAAAGGTAAATCCGTATCGGATAGTTTGATCGCATTGTGTCATTTACCATCTGTGGATCCAAACTTTCTCGTCATTGCATGTCAATCTCCAGAGGAATTACGAACCAAAGCAGCCGGAAGCCAAGGAGCTATGTTGAGCGCCCGTCATGATGCTCTTCAAACGTATTTGAAAGAGGCCAAACAAATCGCTGCTGATAGTCCTTTGAGTAGTAGTAAAGATAAAGGTTTAACGTACGAACAAAAAACCGTGGTTTTCCTCGAAGAAAAAGCAACAGCGAATGAAGTAGTGTGGGAAATCTATAATGGTAAAGCTGGAGAAGAACGAGAAAAAGCATTTTTCGTCGCTAGTAAAAAAGTTTGGACCCATGGCATACCCGATGTTTTGAGAAAGATGGAATCTTATATTCGGGGACCTTATCTTTTGGGAGATCAAGTGGTGAGTCTTATTCAACCTCTCATCTCTCTGTCAAATTCATTTCCCTCTCTCTCCCACAATTGAACTGGCGAAATCATGGAACACTCTCACCCCTCCTGTCTATCTTTCGTGGTGAAATGATGTCACTGTCCTTTACACACATGGTTCGCCTGATCGAAGGTAAAATCTCTCTGTCGACGACGTTAAAAGAACAAGGTCCGACTGAATTATAGTGCCTGGCAGATCTTCACGTCATCGCTTGGCTCTCTCGAATCATCGAATTAAGCGGCGGTACGAAAACAGCAAGTGGTATCGAAGCTTTAGAATCCCTGACGGGTCATAAAGTCGGTCCGAAGATGAAGGCCTTTTGGGCGTTATGGATCGAGAGACCTAGTTTCAAATCGATGTGAGTTCGTTCGTTTATGGTGGAAGGTAATACGGGTACTGACAACAAAAAGTTACGCCACGGGACTTCACTGAAATCCGGGTGTCTTAAGATAAAGGAGAAGATCAAGTGAAGTGTAGGAAGAGCAGTTGAACAAGAAAACACCAGTGGAAGTAAGGGAAGGACGATTTAGGGGCGAACGTCACACATATATACAAATGTCCGAAACCAATGCAAAGCATTCATAAAATTACACGTGTATGATTTGCCTTAAATGTTGTAGGCACGGTTATGCTGTATGTTACTTCACTACTTCGACTTTGACTTTATGTTTGGGTCTTTCAAATAAGCCGAAGTTCCTTTTCCCCATTGACCAGCTTTTGTACCCCAACCATCTGCAACTCCCCAAATATGTTGTTCCCTTATGACAGGAGCTTTACCATCATCTCTCATGTTCTGTCCTGACAGTGAAGCCTCATGAGCGAAATCATCGTCTACCGTAACTCCCTCGGAGAGATTATTGTCGGACAATCGAGTATATTTGGTAGGGTTAGAGGAAATTTCCCATGATCTCACTTCGGAAGAAAGGGGTATCCAATCTTCTTGTTGATAATTGGGACTTTGTGTCATTTCTATCAATCTCGACACTGCTCGTTTCTCTCAATCAGCGTAGACTCTACAATGGTGTTGCGATTATCTCTTTTGATACTTCCCAGAGGGAGTCGACGAAATAAAAAATGCAGGATAGTAGTGAGAGACTGCAAAGTGGGAGATACCAAAGCTGGTAGATACAAGATGATGAGGGATGTACTTACATATGCGAACCTTTCATCCTCTCCAGTGAAAATACTCAAGACGCTAAAGCTACTGGAACGATCTTCCGCTTCTTTAACCAATGCTTCTCTTTGTCTGTTACTCAAAGTATTGTAAATTGATACATTAGGTCGAGTGGGGGCTTGTAATGTTTCAGAGAGAGATTCAGCAGTGAGAGAATCTGTATCTTCTGGTGTGGATAGGGCGTCGGGGAAGAAAAGAGAATGAACGGGTGAAGAAGCACGAATGTGAATTTGACATCTTGATTCGTCTACAATTAGCGAACGATTCAATTTTAAATCGTCAATCTTTGGTTTGTCTATGCCTTCCTGAGAAGGTGAGATTCAAACAGAAAGTGAGGCACTTGGAAGTGGTAAAGGGAATGATTCACTGACAAGACCGAGTGGGAGTAGAAGGGACAATGAATTGAGGGGGAGAGCAAGTTGATCACGAAAGAAGAGAAATGGGGACAAAGACTATAGAAATGAGATCATATGCAGAAGGGATATACAGTAGCAGCGTGTAAATAAAAGTTGGGGAGAACTTACAGAGAGCATCAATCAGATTTATAAACCTCCTAGCTTCATTCTTCATCTTCAATGGTAAGACCGGTACCTCATCAATGAAAAATATCCGAAATCTAGATGCTAGAGTTATATAGTCCGCAGGACCTAATGGCTATTCTATCAACTAGTAATCTCACAGGATTTGCAGGTATCTTACTCTTTCACATAATTCAGTAAAGGTGAACCGACAAGCTTGATCTGTACTTAGAGGTACATTCAAAGTCCGGCCATATACAGAGAGCTGGATAGATTTTGCTATGGCTCAGTTTGAGGTTCATAGTTATGACGAGTACTTACCGTTAACACCTCCCTCAGAGCTCCAGGCATGATCAAAACCTTGGTCGGAAGAAAGATACCAACTCGGACAAAATGTTCCATTTTGATCGGATTGAGTTCTCCAATCTCGACCACCGTCAACCTCCAGGACATCACAACGTGATTTCAAAGCTCCGAGAAATCCAGCCATACGTTCTTTTTGCACACCGTGGTGGTATAAATCTTCCGGAAGGCGATTCTGTAGTCAGTCTTATTTCCAAGCTCCGTCCAATAAGGTGTGTCACGGATATGAATGATGTCACGTTTGTTTTGAGGGAAACGGTGAGAGTAATATCGCTCCTAGTACAGAATCCTACGACTCACAGAACAAGAAATGACAATTCCACCAAGACGCCAATACCAAGACAAAACGTCTCTGAGCAACGCGGCTGAGGATGCGTCTAGAAGTTGCAACTCGTCAAAGCTATCATCAGAGAGCTGTATGCTTAAGCGTATGTGAAATTTCCCGACTCACTAGAGGATGTGATAATCTAGAATCATCTTCCTAGCAACTTATATCAATCCCCTGCACGTACATTTGTAAAAGACAGTCCGAGCTCACTAGCAAATGGGATAGTCTCTTCATCGATCTCCCTAGACCTCCCAGAATCGTCGTATTTACCTCCAGCAAAAATTGCTTTCCACCCTTTTCTCGCAGCGACGTCCATCCGTTGGTTTTGTATCGACAAAGTAATTCCATGTTTTCTTCTCTGCATTTCGACGAACACTTGAGAGTAGAGCCAAAGGGTGAAAGCGTGATAGTGCCATCGTCTTTTGTGTGAAGTGGGTAGGATGTCGAATAGGAGGGAAAGAAGGAAAGATTTGCCCGTTCCAGGAGGTCCAGTCAGAAGGACACCCTGTTGGTCAGACGATCAAAAAAGAGGTTCACGAGCTACTCTCAACCTGCTCAAGCCCCTGTCGCATACTTTCACGAGGATAATCCTTCCAAGAGGACGCCCAATTTCCTCTGTAAGGACATTCCTGAAGGAGGGATGCGGTAATGCAGAATTTGTTTGTAAGGGAAATTTGGTCAGAGCTGTATTTACAGTGAAGAGTCATGGGGGGAAAAGGGAAGAACTGACTTTTGGCGTTTGTAAAGCTTCCAATTCTTCTTCCCCACTTAACACCCTAACCAAAGCCTTTTCCTTTTCTCCCATCACTCCAAGCTCTGTAGTATCAATAGAAGGACCTGTCCATCTATGTCGTGTTGAAAGTGGAAAATCCGGAAGACGAGCTAAGAGTTCCAGTGGGGGTGAATATTCTTTGACATCGTTGAAAAAGTGTCGGAGCTAAAGATCAATGACCCACACCAAGGACATGGTCAATCAGTATGTTAGTGAGGAGCTAAGGGTTCAAACCGGTGTTACGAAGTCGTATTGAGGATGTGTAGAAGAAGGTATGAACGACCACGGAGGTTAGTGACTTTACTAGTAGGAAGAAGAGTAAAAGTGGAGATGGAGGAGAAACGAGAGGAAGAGAGAGGTATCACTCACTCGCATGGCACATCTCACTTGTTCATCATCCCATTTTATCTTCCCTCTCTCAACTTGTGTCCTATAAACCTCCAATAGATCTTTCTCTCCATCCGCTCCATCCTCTCCCTCTCCAGGTCCGACTTCCAACTCTTTGGTCAAGGATGAAACCTTCCCCGTCTTCTCTTCCCCATGTCCACCGTCATCGTGTACGCTGAGAGTAATTTTGTATCGTATCGATACGGTCTGAGAAATATGAGGCCAATAACTTATGATGAGCTGTCGTGTGAGATGTGTTCTCAATGGCGAGTGAGTCGAATGACGAAGAATGGATTTCATCTCCACGCTTAATCTTTCTTCTTCTGTCCTGAATGTAGGGTTTATGCAAATACAGTACTTATCCAGTCACGTTCGTTGATAGCTCACGCCAAGTACAGATGTTCACAAGGTATCGTTCGAGCTATGATCTTGTGGTCTTAAGGATCATGTCGGGCGCAGTTAGGTTCCAAGTGACAGGTGTTGGGACACGTTGGGTGGTCGTAACGTCATCCCAACATGCCCAGAAGATGAAAGCAGATTGGGAACTCGTCTGAAGATCTAGGGATAGCCATCCGATTGAAATTTGGAGCCCCGCATCATCATCGATCGTGAGTCACCTACTTAATGCTCTTGGATCGCTGTCAACCTGCCTGTCACATCTAACACATTTTCACCTACCCAACAACCAACTTTACCTCTCTCAACAATCCAATACTCGCCATATCCCTCTCAATGTTCTCTTTCAAACATCTTTCTCTTGTCCCCCTTACCCGGGACACTCACACTTTCAAACGCGTTCATATCGTTCTACCCCTTCTGATCACACGCACTATCACTTCATCCTCCGTCCGACGGACTCAAACGGGATATGGAGATCCTCAAGATGAGAAAATAGAGAATAATACTCCTTTACCTACCCACTCGAGGACTGATCATGAGGTTTCTAGCTCCAGCTCTCAGGGCACCAGCGATAGCGAGAAAGCTTCTGATTTCAAAAAAGGAGTAAGGGAGGGGGACGAAGGTGGGGAGAAGAAGGGGAAAGGGAAGGATGGCGGTAAGAGTAAGAATAAGAAGAATGAGGAGATGGTGAAGAAGGAGACGAAGAAAGTAGGGGAAGAACCTAAGAAAACTAAAGTTGGTGAGGCTGGACCTATCGGTGGTTAGTCAGGTGAGTTTTACGGTATTACAGTGATGCCATGAGTTCTTGGACTGAGAGCTGATGTTAGATGTTTTGACAAAAAAAGTACAGGCACACAGGAGCGGTCGGTCACTGGCAGACGGGGGATGAATTCACGGGCCCAGGATGAGGATAATATGCATGGATTCATGACAATGCAGGAAAAAGATGAAATGTATAAATTGGATGATGATGGTGATTTATTAGAAATTTTCGTTGTTACTGATTCGGATCACGAAGATTTTGAAGAGATTTGATTTCCCACGAAGACAGATAACTGCGAATGCTGACGTTTTGTTCTGTGACGATGAAGCAGGCGAGGTGAAAACTCGGGAGAGATGAATAGGTTGGAAGGACTTGTGGGGAAGGAAAATCGTCACGACTTCATAGCCTTGATAAAATCCGCAAAGGTCTTTCGGAAATCTTTACTCTGTTCCGTTCGGAGTTTCTCCACCAATTGATTAGCGATTTGAGGAGGACAATTGATTCCTGGTAAAAGGTCGTTTAAAAGAAATTGTACACCTTCCGGACCTCTAGCTTGAAGTACGTTCCTCAGTAACATTGCGATTTCGTGCAAGACCTGTGTATCGTCAATGCCTAGCGACTACGAAGCATTCAAAAGATTACTATTCGAGAAAGGAGGAAGGAGCAAGAGAAGTATGAAATAGAAGAAGAGAAGGTAAAAGTGGTATGATGTGACAAGAGACTCACCGGTTGACCAGATTTATGATTAAACCTATTATCCGCAGGTACTTGAAAACAAATTGGTAAAAGACTTTGATAGATGAAATTCTCGTAACCCGGTAAAGCCTGTGCTGCTCTTTCTTCCCTCGGAATAACATGTTGATTCGTAGGCATCGCTTCTCCTTTCGCTACAGCTCGACTACGTTGACTCATCGCACTATCGGCAAATACACTTGGGGAGGAAACGGCTTCTGGACTTGTTCCCCATGCTATAACACTTTTCGCGAAAAAGCTAAAAGCTAATCGTTGACCTTGTTGATCACCGAAATCAGATGTCATGGAGAGTAACGATTGAAGGACGTTTTCGAATTCTGGTTTGTTACGTGATGTGATAAAGACTCCATCCAGGTTGGCATTCATTAGAGATGTTATAAATGCTAAAAAGGCTTCTTTGAGTTTTCGATGAGTGAGGGCTTCGTCTGTCCCCGTAGGGGCTTTACCCAGGACGGCAAAGATACGCGAGAGAAGAGGTAAGAGGAGCATGTCCATAGTTTCGAATGTATTTTTCTGTTGCATCAGTTAATGAAACAAAATGATATGGGCGGAGAAAGAGGCCGGACTCACCTTGAGACGATGCATGAGTAAACCGAGAAAAGTCATGAAATCTACCAATTCTGCAGGTTGGAATTCAGTGACGACATGCGAGACAAATTGTGGTACCAATTCCGCCACGGCTTGACCAATGGCAGTAACAAATTGAGAGAAAGCGAAACGTGCCTTTTCGTCAGTCTAGTGTGTCTAAACCATTCGAGGGACTCACTGAATCTCTGACAATCTGTTGAGTTTTCATCGCTGCCAGGGCTTGTAGAAGGGCTTCCGTCATTTGCTTGAAAGGTGGTTGATAAGGCAAAGTGTCCAAATCTCTATCAGGAGCAGGAGGGAAACCTTTGGCGAAATTTCCAAGGGCCATGAGGTGATGATGTACGCTAAGAACAGCGAGTTCATCCTGAGGGTTGACACCGAAGGCTTGTAAACCAGAGCCTATGCCACCCATCAAAGGTCCAGCTATGGCCTCTAGCAGAGGAATTTGTCGGGTCGCATCGGATCGTGTATGGTACACCAACATGCCGGTAGCTTCGAACAAGTACATTTGGTCTGTAAAATACGACTTGCCAGTTGTCGCTTTGACGAGGATGTCGTCTTCTGGTGCTTCACGCTCAGGTAGCTCGGCTTTGATCACCAAAAGGTCCTGCTCATCAGCCTGAGTGACAAAAGAAGAAGCTACGACTCACATGCATTCCTTGTAAGACAGGTGGTACCATCTCCATATCCAGATCTCCTCGACATTCTTTGACAAACCGACTGAATAGGTAGAAACATCTTCGTCTCACCCCTTCATCTTGATTATGCACCCCTCTTTCTCCGAGCATGGCTTCAAAAAGTGGTGGTACTGCTTCTGGTTTCGACTTCCAGAATTCGGCATAACGCACGCCTATCTCAAAGTATTGCAGAGAGACACTGGGATGAGGAAAGGCAGATATACCAGAGGTCATGCACAACGTAAGAAGTTGTCCTAAGGGGGTGAGTGAGTACTGGGAGTAGTCGATTCGCTCTCGAGGGAACTGAGATCCATTGATTTTGGACAGATCTGTCGTGCTACCATTGGCCTGTTGAGCAGGTGTATTGGAACCGCTTGACATGGACATAGCATCTGTGCGGTTACTGAAGCTGTCTTTCCTGGTTGAGCGGACAAAGTTTGAGGCAATCTCGGGTGGTAACTCGTAAAACGCTGCACGGGTGTTAACTATCATTAGCTTAGCTCGAATACCTAAGCGTACACAACTCACCTTTCGTCATTTCCCCAAAGGTGTAAACCAGGTGCAATGCCAGCTCGGCATCTTGCCACTTGGCGGAGGAGGTACCATTGGTACGGATAGATTCTAGGGTCGTGACAGCGATATTGGCCACTACTTCGGTATGCATTGTCCGATCTATAGCAGCAATGGACTCGATGAATGATCGGCACATCTGGTGGTCAGCAGCAGTAACATTCCTCTTCTTCAGACTTACCACTCGGAGATATCGGAAACTGGACAGGTCATCATCGGGATCGGTATCACTTCCAGGGCTTTCCCATTCAGCGTCGTCTGGCCATGCTAGTTGTCTAACCAGTATGCTTAGCAACGAGGCGAGGAAGTCGCGTTTGTCTTGTGGTAGCGGAGGCATGGGCGGGGGAGGGGGAGGCATGGTTCCCTTTTGAGGGGGTGGCAGAATTTTGGGCACGTAGGTCTTCTTGGCGACTTTGAGGTACTCGGTGATGAATAGGGATACAGATAGGGGAACCTCATGTTGGCGGTCGCTCAGGAAACGTAGAATGAGTGGGAGTGTAGTTTTAATCATACTTTCTGCTTCTTGGCGGAAAGGTTCGGGCACCTCGGACTGCACGTCAGTGGGGATAAAAGATTTGATAGAGAAACGCAGCTCACATCTTCGGTGAGCTCGAGCAAATCGGAACCGTAAGCGGAAATGACAGAACCCAAAGCCGCTCTGAAGGAAACTGTCTCCTCATCACCTTCGATTGAACGAGTAGCCAATTCTAGTCGGTCTATCAAGGGAAGAGGGTCGAGGATTTTGAGCACTTGTAGTTTGTCGGCTGGAGATTTCATGCCTTTGCATACGAGTGTACGGAGGATGTTGGCAGCCGCTATACGGACTGGACCGACTGAAGATTGTATTGACCGTTGGAAGAATTGTAGTGACTTTGGAGTTACCGAAACCGATATGTCCACCCAAGCTGATCGTCAGCTCATTCCAACGCAATGATACGAGCTTCAAGTGTTTCGGTCGTCAGTAGAATGTGCTCACGTGTCCACGCCGCGACTGTCTTGAGTGTTAACTCTACAGTCTCCTGCCATCGAGTACCACTCTGTTGTCCATTTTCTATGACGTTCAACCCTCTCTCGGCGACACTCAGGAGTGCATCAATGACTAGTCGTTCGTCTCCACTCGTACGGATCGTATCTCTTATCATTCCATCTCGTTCTGTTCGTTCCTTGGACCATGGTCTCACGCTCCGGACGGTGGTATCGTGTACTTCTAATGCAATTTCGTTGAGGAGATGAATGACGAGAAGTTGAGGGTGTAGTGATGTTTTAGATGGGGACGGATCTATCGAAAGATGTTGTAGAAAGGTATGAAGGAACTGTGGTATTGGAGATGGATAGGAGGCGAGGAAGAGATAAGCTAATGTAAGAGCCAGTTTATTGCGAAAAACTGTCCATCAGTTGTTCGCTTCTCCACCACCAATGGAATGGTCATTGATTGTGACTGACAGCTCTGGCCACCTTCGCACGGTCCATCAACCCATTCGACCTGAACAAACTCCACCAGAGCATTGTACATGGCCTGTTGTGATGATGGTGTCATCACCTGAAGTCTTCTCATCAGCTCAATGTCCAACAAGCTTTAAGTTAAGTCGTACTTTGTGACCAAAGCTGTTTCTACCACTTGCTCACAGAAGATACGAAGGTCAGTTTCTAGTTTTTGCTTCCCGTCTTTACCCAGTTGAGAGGGACCGGGAGCACCTGCACCTTGAAGGTAGAGAGATAGACAATCCTATTCTGTGAGCCAGTTTCGTTCAAAGTCGACTATTTAGAGGGACAACAGTCGGAGAGCTACAGAGTTGTGATGACAGCTCACCTGCCACGTCTCTTCGCACACATCTTTCACTTTAGCCAGATATTCTATGGCTTGTTGTTTGAGAACGGAGTCTAGTGAGGGGTCATGGCTGGCGGCGATGCGGACGGCTTGAGGAATGTCGGTGAGGTGAGTGGACATGGTGGAGGTGAGAAGGGAATGGGAGGTGAGCCCAAAGCTGTGACTACTTTGCAGCCGTCAGACCGATCTGTTTGGAGCTGATAGAGTAGGTAGAGGAAGAGAAGAGGAGTGTGGAATGAGGCACACGAGTCGTGGTTTTGATAGTGAAAGATTGAGTAGTGGGGTGGGTTGAAAGATTCCAGTCGTGTGCAAAGTTCAGTGCCACGAGGCGGAAGCATTTCGTCACCTCCACTACAAAAGCCCGTATGCTGCTTGCCTGCCAAAGCATGCTGCCGTGCTGTCCGCTGCCCAAATCGAGAGGTATGACGGTATCGTATGCAGCCGAGCAGATGCACTGTACCATGTATCAGTCTTAGGGAAACACGCGCATATGAGGCAAGATTTGTCAGATCAAAATTGAGAGGCTGACTCTCCTCTTCTGATCAGACAATGAACCGACATGTGAAATCGGTCAATGCAGCTCTCTATGCATCAAGTGGACCAGAAAGGGACCAGAACCAAGGAGCAATCGCCATACCTGAGGTTCACATACTATCGCCACGGATCACTTTCTGTACCAACGCACTCCAGCACGGTTACGTCTCATCTTGCGCTGTAACTGAAGCATCCCATATAACAGGGCTTCCGCGGTCGGAGGACTGGATACATCAGCAGGGAAAGCTATGCGGAGGATTAACTCACCATCCTGGGACATATATATCAACAGGTACGATCCGATCACAACCTCGAACTACGGAGTAAGAGTAGTGGTAGTAGCCACCACTGAATATTTAGCTTCATCCCACAAAAACCAATGTATGATCAAAGAATATTGCAAATATTGACCGGGAAAAGTAGGATATATCAGTCGACTGATTCAAACTCACCCATTCGCACAAGACCCCATGGAGATGACCCATCGAGGTTCAGGCATTTGGTCGTACACTCCACGGTCAGCTGAGCAAGGTTAATAAGGGCAGTACTTCAGCTCACCCTTCCTCAAAGCCGGCGCCATCTTGTTGGTCAAAGTTCCAGCAACGATCATGATATCGCTCTGTCTCGGACTTGCTCGAAAGACTACACCCAGACGATCTTGATCGTATCTCGCCGCTGCCATGTGCATCATTTCCACCGCACAACAAGCCAGTCCGAAAGTCATGGGCCACATGGAACCTTGTCTGGCCCAGTTTACCACTTTGTCCAATGTGGACAAGACGTATTCCGCTCCATTACGAGGTGTTTCGAGGGATAGTTGGTTGCTACCTTGTTGGGCGATGGCTGTGAGGGGTGTTGTAGTGGATGGAGAAGAATCGGCTGAGTTAATTGATGAGGAGGGGGTATTCGGTCTGAGGGCGATGGAAGTGTTGTGTAATGGTCGAGCTGAGAGTGAGTTTGTAGATCTTTACAGGAGATCGTTGGACGTACCGATGGCAAGTGTAGGACGGAGGAGGGAGGTGGAAGGTTTAGTGAAAGCTCCTGGTGGTCAGCCTTGACTGCGTGAGACAAGTAAGTTGAACACTTGCCTGTGCGTAGTCCGGCACTGATAATGTTGGCCATTTTGTAATCTATATGAGGTTATTAGGAAGAAGGAGACGATGCCAGGTAAGAAAGACAACAGTCGATCCTCAGTTGTTCTTCGATCGAGAAAGACCAAAGATGGCAGCGACCAACCAGAGGTGAGCAAAAGAGATGCATGACGTGGCTTTGTACACGTGGTCAAAACGCCGTAGCTCCGACGGGGTGGCACTTAAAAGATAGGAATGGAAAAAGTCCATGGTCAGAAAGATTACTTACTAGAACCAGTTGGACGTAGTGAACAACAGGTCGCAAGCTGCGAGGGATTATGCTGTATCGACATGTGGTGAGAAGATCATGGCAGTCGGCTTCTAGGTGGGTCATTCTCAGCTATCATTTGGGTGTTACGCCAGTGCTGACTTGCAGAGCGAACTCTCTCTCCTTTACCCCTCGACATCTCTCCTCGGCACTCCCACGGCCGTCCGCTGTGGCCCTAGGCAAGCGACCTGCTCTATCATCACAGCAATCCCTATTCGCCGTCGGTAGCTCTCGAAGCATATCATGGTCACCATTCAAAAAAGCATCCCCCGTGGAGGATGCCGTTCCGTTCGAGTCACAGGCATCGACTTCGGCTACCCCAGCCTATACGAACTCTCTCGATACTTCACCTGAACCGCCCTCTCTGAATGAAGCTATCACCTCATCCCTCAAAACATCCACCTCAGACCCTGTAGTACCACCTTCTTTCGTCCAAGAAGCACCCCTGGCCCAAGATGCGCCTCTTTCCCCCCTTGATTCAAATACAATACCAGATGTCTCCACCATCGCAGAAGTCATTCCTACCCCATCACCGACTCTGGAAGATCTAATCTTACACTCCGGTTCTTCATTGGCCGATGTTCTTCAATCTCCTGAGGCGATTCATGCCATTGTCAAGAGATCTGATCTTTCTTTGATGGGATTAGATCATGGTCTCTGGTCTGTATCCGGTCACGTCCGCGATGGTCTGGTCGCGTTACATTCCATAACTGATCTTCCATGGTATGTCCCTCAACTCGTAACTCTCCATAATTCTTACATGAAACTCTTAGTGGAAAATCATGTCAGTCACTGATGATCAGGTGGGCTACCATCGCAGCTCTTACAGTTTGTCTCCGATTGTTAATGGTACCACTCATCGTCCGAAATCAAAAACATAACGTTCGTCTCCAAGCCGTTCAACCTCAGATGCAAGCTCTTATGATCCGATTGAAAGAAGCCAAAGCCAATGACGATCAAACGACCACACAACTCACTACTCAAGCCCTTGGAAACCTCTTGAAGGACAATGACGTCTCTCCTTTACGTCCGTTGTTCCCTCCCTTGATACAGATGCCTTTTTTCTTAGGAATGTTTTACGGGTTACGGTCGTTGGCGGCCGCACCATTGCCGGCTTTGAAAGAAGGAGGTTTAGGTTGGGTTACGGATCTTACGATACCTGATCCTTATTATATTTTACCTATAACCAGTATGCTCTTGACTAATTTGGTATTCATCGTGAGTCTTACAGTACCATTTTTAGCGTCAGAAAGTGAAGGACTGATTTGGTAGACTGGTGCGGATGGGACTGGTTCAGCTCAAACTTCGACGAGTGCCAATGGGATGGACATGCGGCATGTTAGGAATTTCTTGCAAATGGCTACCATTATAGCAGTCCCATTTGTAGGATCATTTCCAGCTGTAGGTCATCATTGTCCCTTCTCTCTCTCCACTGTTCTCACCTCCCTTGCTTGGCCAACCTTCCTCGCTTACGACTCTATCATTTGTATCCTTCGTCTCTCCTTGTATATACTTTTCTATGAATTTCACCTCACACTTGCTCCGCGCAATATCATATATCACTCAAAGGGTTGTTAGACAGTTGATCCCTTAGGCCGTCCTGTTCTACTGGACATTCACAAACGCTTTCACACTCCTCCAAGCCACTCTCCTTCGACAACCAATCATCAAATCCATCCTCCGAATCCCAACCCCACCCAAAATAGAAGCTCCACCCACCACTCCGTCACCGAAACCATCTTGGCTCGACACCCTGCGAGCTATACGGGTCTGGTTCAGTGAGACACGAGGTAAATTTGGTGACAGGATGGCAGAGACAGCCAAATTGATGGAAGAGAATAAAGCTCGTAACAGTCAGAATGTTTCTAGATCATCTACAAAGTCACAGGAGAGGACAGTTATGATTGAGAAAGTCCGAGAAGCTCCATTGAGATCGGTAGTCTCAGGGAATGTGAAGAGTCATGACTCGAGCGCGGAGAAGGTTTGGTTGGAGAGTGGGGATAAGACAGTTGGGAGACAACCAACAAAACAGGAGATGATCAAATTGAGAGAGGCGGAAAAGAGACAAAGAGTACAGGCTGCAAAGGCTAGACGGAGGAGTCAATGAAGGGCCATGATCTTATATGCATATGAGGGGTCTCTGCTCAGCATCATTCTAAGAAGAGCACTCGAGGACTTTAGATTGATTTTCTTATCGCTGATCTGCAGTCACTCAGAGCATTCCAAACCATCCTGACCGCTGTGCCTGTTGACGACGTTACACAGTGAAAGTGATTTCTCACAGAAGCATATGACAAGGGAAAGTTGATGCATACACAGAAGATGTTCAGTTATCACACAGATGATCATGATCGATACCTACTTTCGTCGAAACCGAGCACATCAACTTGTCTTGCTTTCCTTCTGACTTGTTCTGTTTCGTGACTTGGAAAGATATTCCCTTCTTCCTCTTCCTCGTTTCCCTTCTCTTGGTCTTCTTCCTCTCGCTCTTCCCTATCTTCTCCTTCCCCTCCATGTTCATTCTTTCCTTGTAGCTTCCGTCTCATCTCATCCATCCTGGAACTCCACGTTCCTCCCATCCCATCCCTTTCTCCTAATTCATCTTCCTCCATGTCATCCCTATCAACCTCTCCCTCTCCCTCTATTTCCTCTTTTCTCACTTTGCTAGTCTCATTCACTATCTTCTCTTCACTCTTCTTTCTTTCTTCTATATCATCCGTCTCCCTCAATACGTTCAAATCCACTCTATCATCCAACCTTTGCTGCTCCTTGTCATCTTTACCTTCCAACTCATCCGTCATCCTCGGAGCAGGACTTCGAGTTCTCACTACCTTCTCCTCTTCTTGAATAGGTACAGGACTATGTGGTCTTCCACGAACTTCGACCAAATGTTTCACTTCTTCTTCTACCGTTCCCAAACCCGATCTTAAAATAGGTATATCAGCAGGTGTATCAGGTGCAGAGAGACGTCTATTTGATCGTCGAGGAGAAGTGAATGATGTGGAAGCGATGGAAGTATCTGATGTATCTGATAATGTTGAGAGATTGGAGATTGTTGATGAAGTTGATGAAGTACGCATTTTACGCCATAATGATCTAGCACTTTCTTTAGCTAGTTGACCTAAATCAACTACTGGCCTGAAGATCAGCTTTATCGTTTCCTCCTACCTCATTCTTGTGCCATGTAGATTGATACAGAGAGGATTAGGTCATATGAATCTCGTCATCCCCCCACTCCCCCCTCCCAAAAACACACACCCACCTCAAAAGTGTCAGATGTCTATCCTCAGAACGGAAGTGGGTTGAGACATTTAGCATGACCGATATAGGGAAGAGAGGGTGATCCCAGTTAAAGAAACAGTCTTGCAAGTTCTACGGAAGACAGAATGAGTATGTTCGAAGAGAAGAGAAATAAAGAAGATGACAACTCACACAGAATCACTCTCATAATCTTTCTTATACCTCTCCCAATCTTCATCAGACATATAAACCACACCTGATTTTTTCTGAGATTGATCATGTAATAAATTCTTTCTCGCAGCTACTCCTAAAGTTATAGAAGACCTTCTTTTCAACTCGGGTACTTGAGGTAAAGGTGCAAACTTTATTTTATTCCTAGATCCTGTAGAACCGGTTTCCGAGGGAGATCGACGGGGGAGAGGGGAAGAAGGGATTGGGTTGAGTAGAATGGATGGAGAGGGAGGGATGAGTGAAGCTTCAGAAGGACTGTGAAGATTAGGAGGTGATGACATTGTGCAGTATTCAGGTATAGGAGAGAGAGAGTGAGGAGGTATTTGGAGATGAAGACAGAACAGAGGTAAGGGTGGTCGTGGTGGATGAAGAGAGTGTGTTGTCGCCGTCGGCCGGAGTGCACGGCCCGGCGGAGAAACCAATCTTTCGTTTAAAGTTTACTGCCCCATGGGGCACCTTCATTCTGATTGATACCCGGCTCATGCATGCACCATAACTAGACGATGAAATATGTGAGGAGGAGAATATGCAAGATTACTCGAGAGACGCTCAGGCAATCTTGTAGATATCTAAAGGTCGAAAAGACACTATGGCTAGTCCGACCATGATGCGTCAGCAACTACTCACTCCTCGATATCAATCGTCAATACGACTTTCTACAGCTCCCCCTGCAGGTCCCCCTCTACCCCTTCCCCTTCCCCTTCTCCCTCTCCCACCTCCTCCACCACGCTCTGCCTCTGAATTCTGTTTCAGAATGTCCGTCACGGCAGCATGAAGCCGTCTACTCTGTTCTCCTCCTGTCCCTCTCGTTCCTCTACTCCCCTTTAATCCCTCCGCACCCTCCGCATCACTAGCTCTATCCTTGCTTCTTCCTCTTCCCCGACCTCCTCCTGCACCACCTCTTGCTCTTCCGTCATTATGGCCTGCCTTCTGACCACCTTTCCCTCTTCCTCGCCCAGAATCACTTCCCCCATGATCAGAAGGTGTACTTCTGCCTGGCGTCTTCGATGGACCTGTCGAGGGTCGAGGTACAGATGGTTCACTCTGTGTAGGTTGAATGGTCTTCGGCGTCGTTGGTGTTTTCAATCTATCTGCAGTCACAGACATCGGCTTCCCCTCTGCTCTAGCTGGCGAACCCCCACCCCCTTTCCCTTTCCCCCTATTTCGTCCCTTTTTCTTATCTTCTTTACCTGAAGGTGAAGCATCCTTCTTCTTATTTGGCACAGGAACTGAAGTCACCTCCCTTCCCTTTCCCGCAACCAACACCGATCCCGAATCGACTTGTCCCGATGTGCGTTTCTCCGTGGCAGCGGTGACACTTGCCAAAGCCAACTTTTTTGCTCGATCTTCAGACGCCTTGGAAGAAGTGAAAGTAGTGTAAGTCTCTTTGAATTGCGTAAGAGATTTGAGAGCCTTTTTCTCTCGTATAGCATCGATAATGGGTGTGGTCTCCGTCGGTGGGGGAACAGGTGCGACGGCAGTAACTTCAGGAGGGGGCTCGGGTGAACCAGAAAGAGCATTTATGAAACTTATATAATCCGGATCTGATGATCAGAAGACGTATCTCTGGGTATGATAGGTGTACATACCGGTTTCGACAGTCCCTTGCCGAACATCTATCTTCTTCAGTTTGTTAGGTGTCTTCTGCAGAGGGGCAGGTTCGACGAGTGCTTGATATTCTTCACCTGCATCATCAATATCTCCTCTACCTTGTATCGAACCCTGATGCGGAGAGAGCTCACCAGCTTTGGAACGGTAAACATGTCCGTTAAAGTCCGTTCGAAAGATTACCGCTTGTTCGTCGGGAAGAAGGCAGTAAGCTCTGGAATATCGTGCCCTCTCCCCACTGAGAGGTCAGCGACTGATCCACTGTCGTCATTGCGGATTCTTTATGAAACGAAGTCGTAGAGTGAAGGGAGCTAGGTGGAAGACTCACCCATCGGCAGCTTTTCCCTTGACATAGCGTCTCCACACGCATGACTCGTCGACCCATTGCGAGACCGAAGTCCAGAAAATCTCTTCCGGCAGAGTGGGGGGGAGGCGCCGGATGACCAGTTTTGTCCGGTGGGGAGGTACCGATGGAGCGGCCTGCTCGGTCATATTCTGGCCTGTATCCTATGTCCCGTTTATTCAGGCTGGCTGAAGGAGAACAAATGAAGTACTAAAGTACTCTACTGAATTCGAAGTAGGGGGGTGGTTGTGATCGAGATGGATGACGTGGATTTCGGGTTTGCGGATTAAGCGCATCCGCGCATCTGTTAACGCGCACTGAGCACCGGTTACTTAGTCTCCGACTCGATCATCGGCGATCCTCTCTCTCTAATCTTTTCAACCGACTCTCTACTCTGCTCTACTGTATACTTGAATACTCTGCGACCTTTCCACTTTACTATTAACATGAGATCGATGAGTAGACTTACTCGATTGTCCATAACGTCCCTGGTTTGTCCTGTTCACAGGAGAAATATGGCGACCAGTATGTAACCCCCCTTTAGCCTTTGACTGCATCGCTCACTGAAAGAATTCGCGTCATACGACTGGCAGGTGTGTGTGACCTCCTACCACCAGAGGTATGCTAATACTAGGATCCTCTAAACATGACCTCTCTTTTGACAGATGAGGAGCTCGCAGTCCGGTGAGTATTGTTGTTGAAATGACTTCAAAACTCATGATAGCGAGACGGCCCGATCATATTGTCAGTCCAAATTGTCACCTAGAATCGTCGAGGCATATCGTACGGTGGGTCCGCCACAATCACCTCAGTTGACTGGAGTTGATCCCCCAGGAGAATTTTGATCCCTCGATCTTGAAAGAGATGGGCGAGATGGGCTTGTTGGGAGCTACGATCAAAGGCTATGATTGTGCCGGTGTCAGCAGTGTCGCCTATGGTCTCATCGCAAGAGAGGTGGAACGGGTTGACTCGGGCTATCGATCAGCCATGAGTGTCCAGTCTTCATGTATGTATCCTTCCTGACGATTCTGCTCAAGCTCACAGCTGACCACGCAGTGGTGATGCATCCTATCAACGAGGTTAGAGGATACGGTACTGTTCCTCATCGAAATAAGCTGATGACCAGTTTGGAAGTGAAGCACAGAAAGAGAAATATCTTCCTCGATTGGCAAAAGGAGAGATGATTGGGTGCTTCGTAAGTTGCATCACGTACATAGTACTAAGACAGGGCTGAACTTGAAGGGCCTTACAGAACCAAATCATGGATCTGACCCATCGTCTATGGAGACCACAGCTAAGAAGACGTCAGATGGATGGGTCTTGAACGGAAGCAAGACGTGGATATCAAATGCACCAGTTGCGGACCTCTTTGTGATCTGGGCTCGAGTTGTGGAGAGCGGAGAGAAGGGTAAAGTTAGAGGGTTCCTGGTTGAGAAGGTACGTCGAATCGTCTCCGAGTTACGATGGGAGCCTGAACCCCGAGGGATTACCGGGTCTGTCCGCTCCGGCCATCAAGAACAAAATCGCCTTACGTGCTTCTATCACTGGTTCTGTTTTCCTTGAAGACGTCAGAATACCGGCAGATGCTCTCTTACCCAAGTCATCTGGGTTGGGCTCGGCTTTTTCTTGTCTCAATAACGCTCGATACGGGATAAGCTGGGGGGTTATGGGTGCCTTGGAAGATTGTATAGCAAGGGCGAGGGACTACGCTCTGGAGCGGTGCGTCTCTCTCATCTCTCAATATTCCAAATACCTCGATCTGTTTGTCATGTCAATTATCATGGGATGCTCATTAGGGTAGAAAACAATTCGACAAACCACTTGCATCATTCCAACTTGTCCAAAAGAAACTCGCGGATGCGTCCACTTCCTCCACCTTAGGCTTGTTAGCCTCGCTCCAACTTGGTCGACTAAAAGACCAAGGCACTTGGGCACCCGACATGGTTTCAATGATGAAGCGAAACAACTGCGGCGAGGCTCTCAAACATGCGAGAATACTACTGGATATATTGGGAGGAAATGCCTGTAGCGATGAGTATCACGTCGGGAGACATGTAGCCAATCTTCAGGTGGCGAACACATACGAAGGGACTCATGTGAGTTTCTTCACTTTACCCCATGTTACGAGCTGACCAAGAAGGATATTCATGGTGAGTTGAAAGTTGCTTCTCGAGGAAAGACTAGCACTGCTTTCGGAGTAAAACGGACACTTACCTTTCAGCTCTCATCCTGGGAAAAGCGATGACCGGTGTACAAGCTTTCTCATGAAAACGTTTTACGACAAATCCGACGACATCGGACGACCGATATCGACTCGGTCTCGACCATAACGAATTGGAGGCGATGCAAACAACTTCCCACGTTTCGAGGAGGACTAAAATGGGTCGATACGGATCCACGCGACGACGGATACCACCCTGGGACGGGCGAAGGGAGGGGATCCTTTTAGTGACTATCGAGAAATCGATGCTATGGCCGAAATCCCAAAAACGTGGGAAAAAACGAGACGGATTCGAAGACCATCAATGGGCATACTAATCGTGCTGATCTGCGGTCTCACGCCTGCCTGGTGAGACCCTTTCTTCGACTCGATACACAGCACCATATTGACCTCCATTGATTGTGTGTGATCCATTGTGTGGAGGAGAGAGAAATGAGACTAGCCCTCCAGGATAAATACTGATCCTGACTTACTTGAACCATTCTGCATCACCTGAGCTGATTGATAAGTAAAAAGACATGGTGTCCATCGACAAATCTGATTGCCCTGCCATACTTGATGGACCTAGCAATGAGTCTTTCCCGACCACGTCCTCCCTGCGGCGTCAAATGGAGGAATTAGTGAATACTTTCTCTGCTGAACTTCCAAGTATGCCAACAGATACCGTTGCGGGCGAACGTCTCCAGAGACTACAATCAAGAGCAACAAAGCTTGCAGAGGTGCTGGCAGTTGCCAATCTTCAGGACAAGTGAGTGTTCTGTGTTCCTTCATTGTTTCCTTGTGACTTGATGGGCTGATTTCCAAGTCAACTGTATAAGTTGGTGCAAGACGCTTGCATCCAATCATATGTAGAGGGTAAGACTAATGCATAAGTTTTATTTCACTGCATATCTCCAATGCATTCATTGATTAAAATTCAGCTCTCAGGATTTGGACAAAGACTATCAGTCACTTCATGATAAAGTTGAAGAAATATCCGGGAAGTTCTTGGATTTACTACAGAGGTTGCCTGCTGAGGAAAGCGCAAACAGTAAGACACAGAAAGAATGGCCCCAGAGTGTTGCAGCAGTTTTACACCAGCTCACATGCGATGTGGCATTCCCAAGCTCCCGTGGTGGTAAGTGGCACCAGCTCATAGTGGCATACACTGATGTATCAACAGATCCAGAGAGAGCGCAATTGTATTTTGGTAGTTGGGTACTGCTTGGAACAGCATATCTGATTCAGTGCAACCTGAGTGACGCCCTAACAAAACGTGAATCATGTATAACAACATGAACCACAGTGGGGAGATGTAACGGTACTGGAAACACCATGACGAGGTCGCAGGTTGGGTCAAACTCAATAGAACTCGGTAGGAATCTAGGTGTCTCTGATGCTATGTGATGGATCATGTCTCCTCTGCAATCGCTGTAGCCAAAGAATGATATTGAAGAATTAGCGCTTCTCAGGCTAGTGCCTTGATTGATGGCCATGGAAATCCAGTTTCCCTGGTCACCGTTTGTCCCCTGGATTTGGCCGTTTTCCTTCACCGCGAAGGTCACAAAGTGCAACGGTCTCCAACTGTCGAGATGATGTCGGACCAGGTGCTTCGGGGATCGATTTCTTCCGCATCAAGAATCGACCAGCAACTGAGGAATTGATACCCCTAGGATTCGGCCGACGGTACGAGTACGAGCACTCGTATGATCCGTGTCACTCGGGGATGCGGACAACCCGCACCGCTTCCCATCGTATCCTTTTTGCCTACCTGTTTCTGATCAACCTGTCCCAAGCACTTCAACCTTGGATCTTACCCCTAAACCCTTGCTTGCCTTCCAATGAATCTTGGCCCTTCTACTGTTACCAAATAGGATAAAGAGCATGTCTTTGCCACCCTAGAGTCTCACCCTTCCTCAGTTGACAGATTGTGTTAATGTCACGAAGTGACAAGTCAGTTTGGTTAATGATAAGTCAGTTTGGTTAGAGTTGTCTCCGGGTTGGGTATTTAACCAGCGACCGGCGGTATGCAGTAACCGCCGGTTAATAGGCCTTTTAGCACAGTGGTTTAGACCGCTGCCTCTGAAGGGCACTGTTATATCGTCCCAATGCTGGTTAGTTGGTCTCGTGACAGATTAACCGGCGGTTACGGGTAGGGTCCTGGGTTCGACTCCCAGACAGAGCTGGGGTAACCCAGACCTACTTGGAAAACCTCCCTCTCGGAGAAAGTTTTCGGCCTATCGTGCCCTTCCCCCGTGGGGCCCCGAGACGGGGCTGAAAGGGAAGGCATAATGTCACGAAGTGACAAGTCAGTTTGGTTAATGATAAGTCAGTTTGGTTAGAGTTGTCTCCGGGTTGGGTATTTAACCAGCGACCGGCGGTATGCAGTAACCGCCGGTTAATAGGCCTTTTAGCACAGTGGTTTAGACCGCTGCCTCTGAAGGGCACTGTTATATCGTCCCAATGCTGGTTAGTTGGTCTCGTGACAGTTAATCTTGTCAGAGTACTGCTCACCATGACCCCAAGTCCTCGCTATGACATAGACGGAATACTGTCATTTGGGCGCCACGCTACCGCAGAAGAACTTGCAAAGCTAGGGCCACCACCTAAAGCCCGATCTCTGTCTCAAGTTGATTCACCGGATCTCTCCCTTCCGACCACCACTGATGTCTCCCTTCCGACCACCACTGATGTCTCCCTTCTGAACACCACTGATGTCTCCCTTCCAAACACCACTGATGTCTCCCTGCGGACCACCCCATATGTCTCTTCTCCCAACTGTTTGTCCATCCCAGGATCAGGACATAACAAGGAGCCTAGTACCAGTGGTGGTCTGATGCCTTCAGAGATTCCAAACAGTCACACCATCAGGGAAGACCTACAACATGCGGCCCGATTGCTGTTTGAGAGAGTGGCCAGGTGAGCTGTTCACTTAGTCCACAGTATCAAGTCTACTTTTGTAAACTGATCATGAGTGAAAACCATGAAGACCGAGCTATTGAAACAATCACCGAGATGTTGCAGGAAATCTATGAAAAAGGAGTGTCAGCTGGGTGAGTGTTTTGTCTTCCTGAGTAGCCGGATTTAAAGCAGTCCTAGGCTATCTGAGGTGAGAGCAGAAACCAACCAAGACCACTCAAACACCAGGACAATGTTCCCGTGGGACACTAAACCGGCTTCCATTTCACCCACAGTGATGTCTGCTTGCTCCGAATTTGTCAAGTTTCTCAAGAGGATTGCGGAAACAACCAACATTCTTGATGTGATTCCTGAGACAGCCTTAGCTAGATCAAGAGAACTGCTAAATGATCTTTGTAAGTGAATTCAGGTATTGTGAGTGCTTACAATTGTGCAGCTACATTCATAAAAGAAGAGCTTGGAGTAGTGTCCGTACCAATATTACTTACACTGGCCGGCTGCCTCCTTTATAATGGTCCCTCAGACCCCAGTCAGAAGACAACTTGATCTTTCACCTATGTGTGCTTCCTTATTCGTCCAGTATTGATGGGGTTTAAGGATGCATCATGAACACTAGGGAAAGATAAGGACTATCCGCGCAATTAATGATTTTGTCCCGTTCACGCTGATAAGGAGCTGTCAGCCTCGCTGGAAGACTCTCTTGACCAACTTGTGATGCATGGTAGTTTTGGTTCTATGCTACAGTCCACTTTGGCGTCTACGGGTTCGTGCTAGATATGCAAGCATAGGCGTGTAGGGATAATCGCGTTACTCGTCGAATTATTCCCCTCACTTTTTCAGCTGTTTTCCCATTTCACCCCACTTCACTTCCGGAGACTCCCACTTCACCTACACAGGACCCCACTTCACCAATTTCATTGCTATGCATGCAATGAAGTTGGTTAGTAACTCTTCATGAGAGACAAAGAGAAGAACCACCAAATTCTACCTTGAATTGTCTATTTAGGTCGTTTCTGGAAGCAGTTCGCTTATTGCATTGCACGTGACCCGAAGAGGTCGGGTCCATTTCGGCGAAGAGCTGCCATTTCGGCGAAGTTGGGGCTGATTCGCCGAACCGCGAAGTGCTCACCAGTTCGCGGTTGATTTCGCAGCACACTTCGTGCGGGCGAAGAGGCATTTTCCGGTGCATTTCGGCCTCAGTTACCAGGATCAAAAACACCCGAAATTGTCATTTCCTGACTTCTAGTGTGCAGGAATTATTGTGCATGGGCTCGTCTTTGCATTCCTCTGAGATACTGGAGTGAGGGGAAATATAAGCCTAGTGGGGTTCTTTGGAAGGCAAGTGAGGTTCTATGGAAGGCAAGTGAGAGTCTCCGGAAGTGAAGTGGGGTGAAATGGGAAAACAGCTGAAAAAGTGAGGGGAATAATTCAACGAGTAACACGATTATCCGGTTTTGCCAAGCATAGCATATATGTCATTGCCGTGACCGGTTAAAGTGCCACATTGCCACATGCCACAAACCGAGAAAATTTCCTACATGTTGCCCTTCCTTCCTTCCTCTCCCTAACTATCGTTGGTGAAGGGGCAGGTCTGCCATCTTTCTCCTTTTCGCGCAGAATCTGGACTCTTATCGACTATGATTAGCACTCGTCTACAAAGCAGCATTCTTTCGGCTGCTCGTGGTGCCGCCGATTTGTGCTATGGTGGGTGGTTCAGCAGCTTTCGACCGATCCTCCATCCAAATAATCTTTACTCCCCTGTCCGTTTCCAGAATCAAAATGAATTCGATCTGACCACTAGTCTCTGCTCGACCATTAGCTGGACCCTCATCACTCGTGTCCGTCCGGTCATTATCCACCAGGCCTAATGTTACATCGATCCGGGCTCCACGACTGGCCGTCCTACCACGAGGAATATCACGTAGGGGATACGCAGCGGAAGCTAGCAAGACATTCCAGCGTAGTAAACCTCATTTCAAGTGGGTGGTCTTCTGTTACCATGTCCCGATACTTTACATGCTCTTCCAATCTTCTCAGAGAGGGCCGGGTGTGATGAAAGAGTCATGTGGTCTGTGGGCTGGTCGGAGCGAATCGATGATCAGAATACAGCTGACCAGGCAGTATCGGTACCATTGGTGTTAGTCAATCGACAAAGTCATATCGCGATAACTAATGAGTAGCATGTCGATCATGGAAAAACCACCCTGACAGCTGCGATCACCAAGCTTATGTCTGAGCAGGGAGGTGGGAAATTCATGGACTATAGTCAGATCGATAAGGCTCCTGAAGAAAAGGCTCGAGGGATTACCATCAGTACGGCGGTGCGTATAGTTCTTACCTCGGCCGTCTTGGTTTTCGAGAGTGTGATGGTGATTGACTTTCAGCACGTGGAGTATGAAACGAAAAACAGGCATTATGCACACATCGACTGTCCTGGTCATGCCGATTGTGAGTCATCACTTTTAGCCGTTTACAGGATTGCTGACTGTCAGATATCAAAGTGCGAATCTTATGTTGAGTGGTCGTCGAGCATGAGGCTGACATCCAGAACATGATCACTGGCGCCGCTCAACTCGATGGTGCCATCATCGTTGTCTCCGCTACCGATGGTCAAATGCCTCAAACCCGAGAACATCTCCTCCTCGCTCGTCAAGTCGGTATCAAAAAACTCGTTGTGTTCATCAACAAGGTCGACCAAGTGGATGACCCAGAAATGTTGGAGCTGGTAGAAATGGAAATGCGCGAATTACTTGGTCAATATGGATATGATGGAGAGAACACACCGATTGTCATGGGCACTGCTTTGGCGGCTCTGGAGGGGAAAGATCCAGAGAGAGGCTCGCAGAAAATCCAGGAATTGATGAATGCTGCTGATACTTGGTTGGATGTACCAGCTCGTGAGTAAGACTTTTTATTGTAGTCTTATGGCCCGGTGTTATCTCCGAGAGCCGTTTATCATATGTGTACCATACGCAAGACTGACTTTTAGGTGATCTCGACAAACCATTCTTGATGTACGTCGAGGACGTGTTCTCCATCTCTGGTCGTGGTACCGTCGTCACTGGCAAAGTCGAACGAGGGACCATCACCAAGGGAGCTGAAGTGGAAATTGTTGGTCTGGGGACTTCACTCAAAACGACTTTGACAGGTATTGGTGAGCTTTTGTCCGACGAAGTAGTTTAACGTAGACTGATTTGTGAGAAATGTTCCACAAGGAGCTCGAACGCGGTGAGGCAGGCGACAATATGGGTGCTCTCTTGCGAGGTATCAAGCGTGAACAAGTACGCAGAGGTCAAGTTTTGGTCGCTCCGGGCTCGATCAAGAGTGTCAAAAAGTTCAAGGCGCAGATCTATGTGAGTCATGCTGTGCCACTCACTGTGGAAGCTCATTCAAGCGCTGACATGTAGGTCCTCACTAAAGATGAAGGTGGACGTTACACTCCCTTCATGGCCCACTACCGACCTCAGCTGTTCATCCGTACGACCGACGTTACCGTATCTCTCACTTTTCCCGAAGGCACCCCAAATGCTTTCGAGAAGCTCGTGATGCCCGGAGACACTGTTGAAATGATCGGAGAGCTCGTGCATGACATCGCCCTTGAACAAGGTAGTCGTTTTACATTGCGTGAAGGAGGTAAAACTGTTGGGACTGGTATCGTCTCCGAGATCTACACTTAGAACTACGGAAGAGAGGTCTCATTTGTGATTCACATTTGCATATGCACAGGAAATCTCCCCTCCTAAATCGAAACAATGCAATTGATGTTACAAGATTGATAGATTGTCTTCACTCTGTAAATTATAAGGCTGCTGCTAGTGCAGAAAGATTCAAACTTCTTCCGTTCCATCTTTCCGTTTCATGGTTGAATCGTTTCTCCCATTTGTCCAAGCTTCCCCCGAAGACTTCCCTCTTCTCTGTCATCGATTCGTCGACAACTTGAATTGCCAGTCTTTCCCTCAATATGGTCAGAATGGCTTTAGATGATTTTTCCAAATTCCGAACAGCATCATCAATCTCTCTGGGAGACTGGTCGGGGTATAAAGCAGCGATGACGGTGTCGAAAGCATCGAGGAATTTTCCGGATGCTTGGAGTATTGAACGATACGTCTGTTCGGGATCGGAAGATAGGAGAGGAAGTCTTTGTGGTATACTTGAATGGAGGATGTGATGTAAGCTCAGAATAGGTTTGACCCGATTGTCAGCTCAGACCAATCACACCTCTTCTCCTCGTCAGCATCTTCGGTCGCCACGTATCTTGCATCAAAGACGGAATGCGTTAAGGTGTATCAGCGGACAAGGATTCAGATGATCATGATGATGGACTTACCGTCAACGCCCTCTCTCGTTCTTCTTGACTATACCTCCTGTCACCTCCTAACGCATCCAATTCCGCCCATTCTTCATCCTCTTCAAACATTTCCTCCTGTTTCTCGTCCTCCACAACCTCGAGAGACTCGCAAAACTCCGTCCAAGCATCTTTGACCAGTTCTTCGTGAATCTTCCATCTTCTCACTACAGCTTCCACCTCGGTCAATGGGAGTTTCAATAAACTATCAATGACATCCCATACCTTCCCTGTGTTCAAATACATCTCTTGAGAGCCTTTCTCATTTTTTCCCTGCACATCGACTCCGATTGCGGTAATTCGTAAATTCTGAACAAGATGTTGCTCCTCGTGTATGACATTGATCATTCCGTCTATCCAATCATCGGCAAGAATTGACAAACCCATAGTCCCAGAAGCGAGGATACAAGAGACTAATTGAGCCGTCTGATCGGAAAGTTTATGTAGTTGTTGTATTGCCGCATCTGGAGTGATAGGTGATTTGAAAGATAATGCTAGGGAAGTGATCGTCTGTTGTAAGGATTGAAGCAATTGACGGAAGATGTCACAGAGACCGGGGGGGAAGGGAGGAAGGGATGTCGAGCTAGAGCCGGAGGTTGGGAGAGAGGGTGAGGACGTTAAAGACGAGAGAGTAGTGAGAGAGGAGGATAAAGATGAGAGGGATGTATCGATAGCTTGAACCAGAGATGTTGAAGTGTCTTTTGACGAGCTCATTGAGATCGTTGGGTTTTGTATAAAAATGTAGGAAACTTTGACCATGGCAACTTGCAGCATCTCGAAACTCTTTCAACTTTTGGTTTACGTAAGCTTACAAAAACACACGCGACTGGTTTCTCCAACTGTTCCTTTTCACCCTTCACCCTCAGCATCACTACTTACTTGGGGGAATGCTTTCCATCTTTACTTCCTTATACATGATCGCCATATAGAAAGCGAAGGTACAACTTCATGGTCTCAAGACTATAACTATGACTTCCGACATACATACCCGCGGGGTCGACATGGATCAATTGTTGTTCGGGCTTGGATCTGATGACTTGAACGACTTTGACGATCTGGACGACGTAGATGATATCGATGATGACTCCGCAGAGGTACTTCCGCCTATCTTTGATACACGTGAGCTCCATGTCGAGTGCGTAGATGATCATGTAAGCTGATAATCAGCCATACCCCCCTCAGTACAGACAGGCTTCACCACAGGAAACTTCAAATCCCTCCCTCCACCATCAGCGACGGCCCTAGCGAAAATTCGTAAAATTTGGGATCAAGAAGACAACCACGCTCCCAGCGAGGATAAACTAGAAGAAGATCCTAGTAAACGTCGAAAGCTAGACGATGACCTTCCTTCTAGTCAACTATTGGTGATCGCACCTATACAAGGAGAATCCATGTTCAAAACGGCCAGCAACAAAGTTTTACCTCCCCCTTCTACCACAGCTTTTGGCAAAGTCACCACTCTCTTTGACGAATTCACCCATGTTCAGGCTGGGCCTTCTACTTCAAAGGGTCAAGCTAAAGACCAAGGCTTCAAGGTACCCCTGCAAACGGGAGCAGAAGATGTCATGGCTTCAGCTTCTCAATCTCCCCGAGGTGTCGTGGCCAGCTTGTTCACAGACACACCCACACCGACTTCGAATCCGTATAAAGGAGGCTTTACTACTGGTTCAGGAGCTTCTGCCTCAGCACCCAGTGCACAAAGCTTAGCCAGAGCTCGTGCAATCTTTGGGGAAACTGATCTCATACCAGAATCACCGAGTATTAAACCTTCCACTCTCACATCCTCAACTCAAATTGTCAACAAAACAACCTCGTTCCTCCCTCCCTCATCAACCTTTCAACATGCCACAAACCGCTTCTCTCGTAATGTACCCACATCAAATACTCAAACTCGAACACAAAAAGAAAATCTACCCTCCGTAACTGGATTCATGACTCCCTCCCGCACCCCTCTCCGAACGAAAACCAATACCTTTACCAAAACAGAAGTAGAAACTCCTTTGAGCAAAATCTCCCAGCCCATTCAAATCAGAACACCCACAGGCCCGCTCCGTCGACTGGGCATGGGAGGTACACCTGCTGGTCGAGCGAAAAAAGGCTTTGTGACGCCATTCAAAACACCAAACTTGTCCTCATCTTCAAACTCCGTCGCTCAATCTTCTAAGGCAGCTCCACCGAGCACCAGGCAGCTGTCAAATGTGGAGCAGATCTATCAACCTGTATTCGATCTTGATGCCGGCCCTTCAGAGAGAAAAGATATGAAAGCATCGTTCTTGAAACCGGGATATTACTCCCCAGAGGAATTGGAAGGTATGGAAATGTAAGTCCTATACGTCTCAAGTTGGTTGGCAATTGACGGTGCAGTCCAGAAGAGATCGTCCAGCTCAATCTCAGCAACGCACTATTCTACGTCTTCAAGAATGATGACGGATCACATTTCGGACCGCAACAAGCGTTGTCGACACTGAAAGAAGACCGGTGTCATCTTGTGACGAAGAAATGGGTAGATAATCATTGGGCGATGATCCTATGGAAAATAGCAGGACAAATACAGGCTAGTCCAGAATTGTTTGAAGAAAAATGGTCCTCCCGTGAGATCGTTAATCAGCTTAAATATCGGTAACCTTTCGATTCTCGAATTGATGGTAGCGCTTATATGTAGGTATGAAAGAGAATACGGAAGAGCTCAACGTCCCATCATCCGACGAATCCAAGAGCAAGATTCTCCTCCTACTCTCCCTATGGTCCTTTTTGTCTGCGCGATACATCGGCCTCCGCCAGCCACTAACGAGGAGGGCAAGGAAATACCATCGCGACCTTATTTAGAACTGAGTGATGGGTGGTATCGGATCAACGCCGAGTTGGACGAGTGTCTGGCCAGGGCTGTAAATCGAGGACGCATAGAAGTGGGGCGTAAGCTAGCTATTTCCGGAGCAAAAGTCAGTGTTGTCTCACCTCCCCACCCTCAGTATTATTTCTAAGATAATTTCCATCCAGCTGACGACCAGCTCGACTCGTCTGGAGAAGGTTGTGAAGTACTGGACGCACTTGATAAGTCCCGGCTGATCATTTCTGGCAACGGAACATCTCTTTCACCTTGGCACATGAAACTTGGTATACGACCTAGTCCATTCATCGCTGGACTATCCAGTTTGTCCGTCGACGGTGGTCTCATACCCCTGATGGATGTGATGGTGGAGAAATTGTTTCCGCTAGCATATATGAACTCGGATAAATCCAGTCGTGAAGCTCCATGGGATGAAGCGGAAGAGGCTCGTCGATCTGATGAGTGGACGAACCGAAGAGAAGCAGAAAGTATCAGGTTAGGAGATGAGATGAAGCGACGGGTGGAAATTTACGAAGATATCGCTCAAGCCTTGGTTGGGGCGGCTGAGGATGCCGAAGGACCGTTCAGAGGTGAGTGAATCTAACTTTAAGCTCACGATATAAAAATATTGCGCAGTTGAGACGATCCCCGACCGAAGAGTGATTCCCCCACCTCTCGTCTAGCTGAAGGAGCTACATCAAGAGTATCGTCCCTTCGTCGAAACGATTTTCTCGGCCGGAGGGATGTTGTTGGCTCTATCAGACAGAAGAATCAGGATTGACCCATGCAGACACTCCCCCTGATAATCTCGACAATATGTACGATCAACTCCTCATCAGCTCTGATCTGAATTCTGCCATTCGTGTCATCCCCTCTTCTTACATGCCTCATCTGGCAAGATTAGCCAATGACCGTCTTCAAATGGAAATGTCCGAAGCTCGAATCGAAATACAAGCTGAATTAGACACTTTGGTACCTCAACGAGAAATAAGGGATTTCCGTATGGCTAGAATCGTGGATGCTCGTCAAGGTGAAAGGGAACAATGTCGGGTTGGTATGTTGAATATTTGGGAAGCTAAGATGTTGGAGGGGAATTTACAAGAGGGTAAGAGATATTTGGTGAGTCACTTTGCATAATGTTTTCTCCCCCATCTTTCGTTTTCCCAGGAAGAACAGAGTTGGGAGATGCACTAAAGAGTACGCAAGTGAAGAAATGGTAGTAGTCGTGTGGAGTTGTATGAGTTATTGAGACTATGTGGTAAATGAGGAGCGAAGCAATCAATACGGTTATAAGGCCATATACTGACGGATACAGGTCAGTAATCTCGTTCCTGGTAGAGGTGGTGATTGGGGGATACCAAAACCTGGTCGGGCTGAGATATATCTACATACTCGACGTGATACACGATGGAAATCTGTCGAGTAGATTAACCTCGGACAAGCTATCTTCCTTGCGCAGTAAAGATAACGAGAGTAGAGTACGGTATGTAGTGTACATTTGACGGCACTGTATGCATATGTATAGGTTACGTCTTCTCTTTACCTTTTGATTCTCTTAAGATCTAAATAAAATGGACACGGTTTCTTCTTGTAAACAAACAAGCCTCCAAATCCCTACACCTTATACCAAAAAAAATAATTCAAATACGTCTACACATTTTTATCTCATTCTCACAAAACACTTTTCTCTCCATTGTCAAATCATTGTCTATTCTACTGTTGTTGTTGCTGTTGCTGTTGATGGTCCGTACCGAATAAAGGACGAGGAGTTACGGAATTACCTTCGAAAGAAGGCATAGATAGGTATTGCGCTCCATTGGAATATTCCATTCCATTATTGAAATGATATGGTACAGCCGTGTTGAGATCAGGTAAAACGAAATCGGGTCCTTGGGAAGGGATGATGACGCTCATATTTGTTTGCAGAGATTGAACTTGGACTGAATTGGGTGAAAGAGCAGTTTGACGAAGAGCGTGAATGGAGATCCAATCGTCTATCCAAGTTTTGATCAGTTGGAAGAGACCGAATGAAGGGTCGGATTTCAGGGTCTGGAAATATCAGCGCATATCTCTTTTGCGTGATGTTCAGGCCATTACTCAGATTGTACGTTAGGGAAATTGGCAGGATGAGATAGGGGAGATTGGGTGAGAGGAATAGAAGCGGAGAGAAAGAGGTTGTCGAAGGACACAGGGGGGCGATCACTTTTGGGGAGAGAAACGGTAGATGAGACGTCGAGAAAGACAGGAGGATTCAAGAAGAAGAAGATGATTACTCACAAAATCACGCATGACCTGAGAAGTTATGAATCCTGCTCTTGGGACGAGTCTATTTCTCAGCACAATTTCTATAAGCGACCAGCCCCAAAGACTTGACCCAATTCACATTCTACATATGGTTCCTCCGGAGACATGTTGAAGGTTGTACCGGTGCCATTCAGGAAAGATGAGGTCAAGGGGAAGAGAACCAAAAACTCACGCCCGCAATGGCATAGGAGCAGCCATTTCACTCCCATGTTGCAAATCGTGTAGCACTCCGTCGATCCATTGTCCCAATCTTTCAATTGCCTTTCCACCTCTATTAGGTGATGCCTCAGCATCCAACAACCATCGATGGAACTCCCTCAAGATACCTTCCAAAACGTCTTGTTGACAATTCGCTGATAAGGCGCATTGATCAGAGATGACGGACATGTCGAGGTTTTCCCAAGCGTTGAGCATGGAACGGACTTGGTCTTGGTTTGCTAAGATGGGAGATAGGGCGGCGGTCAGTTGATGAAGGTCTATGAATCGGACTAGGAATAAGCGATCGTTCTTTGATTGCCATTCTATTGTCAAGTGCTCTTGATGCGTCACTGTTGTGATTCTGGAAGAAGGGACGGTGGTCAAGGACCGAGTGGAAGAGTTGGAGGCTCGATCAAGGAAACACTGATTGCGAACTCTGAGGGGACTGATGGGAGAATGAGAAGATCAATGGGGAACAGCTTGCGAAAGGGTCAGGGTGTGTGTGAGGGAGATGGGGGACGGCGGCCGGCGGGGTGGGCGGCGGTTTGAGATATGACGTTACTTACTGAACAAATGGGCCACTCTAACAGTCAATTCAAATTTGTCCTCGCAGAACTCCCTTGGGAACCCTCTTAATGACTCTTCCATGATACTCTCCAAGTTCTGCGACAGCGCTCTCAAAGAATTCTGACTGTTGGCGGACAATGGTGCCAGAACTTTTGACAACAAGACCGAAACCATGTGGTCATACGCCACCGCATAACCCACGGAGACGAGATTGGAGATCCCCTGTTCTTGTGCAGCTTGAAGACTTGCGGGTGAAAGGTTACTCCAAAATGTTCGACACTAAACATCAGCGCTTTCCTTCCCTCCCCCTTTTCAGTAGTTCAAAATTATTATAGTAATTAAAGATCAAAATAAGCAATATAATTAATTGAAATGTAACGCCTGAGTCAAACTCACATTGAGTTCGTATCTATCGAAGTGTAGACCCCTGACGCAGCTGACTAATATATCAAGATGATGAGAAAAACTACTCCAAAAACTATGTGTGGTCTCTACTGAAAGATGCGGGGCGGCATTGAGGACATCTTGAAGAGACGGAAACCCTGGGAGGGTGTACAGTGGGGGACCAGACAACTCGTTTGATTCGGCAGAGGCTGATGGGATGGTCGGATACGTGGAAGTTGTGTGACGTCTGATAAATGCCGATCGGGGACGTTGGGCCATCTCTAAAGACGTTGGACGGTTGGTCTTTTGATTGAATAGGTTACTGAGGTCATTCGAGGATGGTGAACGCTTGATACGACTTTTGACATTCAGCAGAGTTTCTTCAATGGTATGAGGTTTCTTCAACGGTATGAGAGAATCAAGGACATACGAGAAGACGTCATCCTCGTCATCAAACTCCGTGTCATCTACATCTTCACCATCCATATCTTCTTCCACACCATTGTGAGAAGCTTCAAACCCCATCGAACCATCTTCAGGAGCCACATGCCATTGTCTATCAATATCAGCTTCGCACTCAGTGTACAAGCACAGTCTCACCCGCTCGAATCTCCGTAAGCATTCAATCGTTCGGCTTCGACACGAATAGCCGGTCGTAATGAAACGTAATGGTATTTACTACGATGTAAGCTATGCTAAGCGTACATTGTAGACATGACTGACCTGTTCCCTCTCACACCAAGACGACGAGTTTTGATACCTGCGAAAGCACTACGCACGGCTTTACCAAAGGAAGCCGAGTTGATTGGCTTGAGACCATATTCGTCACATGAAACGGTGTACGAATGATACAGACCTTGTCGAGGGACAGTATATCCAGCAGCGGTAGTGTAGCTCAGATTCAACCTGATGGTCAGCAACTTGTTAATGAGGGCAGACGAGAAAGAATCTGACCATCGTTTCACCCAAAGAGCCCGTGCTTTGTCCTGCTGAGAGGTCGCGGGAAGACACTTTACCTGCTCCGCTTTCTGAGTCAAGTCCCTCCTCACCATCTCTTCTCGTTCCGCCGCTGAGCCGACTAGCTTGATATCACTCGCCGAGAGAAGATCGAAGGATGCCTGCTTGCGAAGAGCCAACGAAGACGATCGCTTCGCTCGCGAGAGCATGGGACGAGGCGAGGTCTTCATTGCTGACATGTTCGAGGTATTAGAAGATGTCCGACGGTGATGAAGGGTCATCTTTCCAAACCCTCCCGCGAGAGCATTGCCAGATCCCCACTGAGTCATGTAGGGGTTTTGCGAGCTTGCAGCGCTAAGGAGGTCTCCAAGGTCTTCATCTTCGGACCTGCATGGTCAGCTCTCATCCGTCTGTCCTAGGATGTTTGGAGCTTACTTTGCAGACACCGAATCGGAACGGTTTCGGTGATAAGGTGTCGCCCTGCTGGAGCTTCTCGTCCTACCAATCGCACGTCCCAAGCCGTGTGTTTGTAACTCCAATTTTGGTGTGTATCGGAAAGGCGTTGAAGTTGCACTTTGAGACTGGAACGAGCCCGTCATATCCGACATTCCCTGAGGCATCTGGAACGACATGTCCAACATAGAGCCATGTTGAGAGAACATGCTTTTGTCTTCCAGTCCCGACAGAGAGGAAATGGATGAGTGACGAGAGTGAGAATGCGAGTTCGACATTGGCATTTGCTCGTGGGGGAAAGCCTGGACGAAGAGGCCACTGGAAGCCATCGAGGGTGCTGCAGAGAACGAAGAGAGAGAATTGAGAGACGACGTCGACGAAGCATGTGACAGCATGTAGTGTGGGTGAGATGGTGTCTCGAACACTGACGGAGCGTAACCGACGTTGACATGATCAGAGGAACCTTGACGTCAGCCTCATCGTCAGCCACAATCATGAGGCATCATCACTCACCAGTCCCCTGGTATGAGTTGAACGCAGGCGGATACGAGTTTTGTTGAGTATACGTCTCATCGGGGGTTAAAGACGATGGCCAAGGAGGCATATCATGTTGTTCAGGTGAGTGAGGAAACGATACCGTCAACAGATCGCTTGAAGCAGGGTGATGTGAAGCATTTTCCTGACTCGCAGGACTGGCATTGTTTTGATCGTGTGGAGATGTAGGTCCTGAGAGATTGGTGAAGGTGAAAGGTTCCAAGCCAGGGACAGAGTCGGACATTATGTCGATTGGGGATGGGTGTCTCTCGGATCCAGTCGAGAAGTGATAGGAAAGCTGAATAGGGAAGATGTCGCCAGGACGCAAGACAGAAGAATGGTAGTGAAGTAGAAAAGGAAAAAGAACACAATGTCAGTAAAAGTCTCTCAGCGATTCAAGTGACTTACGATCGGGAGCGAGCTGTTGTGAGACTTTTTCTTTTTGGACAATCAAGTGGGTCAAGACGTCGAGAAAGGTCGAGAAGGGGTGAGGGGGTGAAGGGGCTTGTTGCTGAGCGACAGGGTAGTTTCGACCTGAGTTGTAGAGAGATGATAAGTTTCAAGGACCAAGGGGTTGGTAGAGACGTTGGAGTTCTGTGAAATCTCGGTCTTGGGATATATATCTGGCTTCCTGGATGATTACTTGAACGAGGGAGGGTAAGGGGGGGGAAGATAACGAGAGACTTTGTCAACAAGCCCGACTTGTGAGGATATGAGTGGCCCATGCCTATTGGGTGGGTGGGACCTGCATGGCGCCCCGAACTTGCGACCAAACGTCCCATCAGATCTTTACCCCTTGTCCTTACTTGCCATCCCAAGTGCCTCTTTTTCCGACACTAACGACGCTTGGTTCGGTTTCATCTTCCACCCTCAAATCTTTGCGTGTCTTTGACTTTACAGATAGTTGCCCACTGCGGCCATTCTCAGCATTCTTGCCAGAAATGGTGTTGATGAGGAGGTATAGGTACGGTTTGAGAGAAAAAGATTCACCATCAGGCACCCGTAGCGGCGTCGGCGGTCAGATCGCCAGGCGCAGGGGAAACTTGCGACTTGTTGGTTTCGCATGTGGGCAACTACTTGACTACAAGCCACAGTCATCGGTCATCGGTCAGCTTCGGAGAGGCTTGAATGTTATCATTACTTTTAATCAGCTCATGGGTCAGAAGAGAACGTCTTGAGAGAGTAGGATTATACTTTGCTTATGGAGATGATGGAATGAAATAAAACCGGATCCGCGGCCGGATGGACAAGCAGCATGGCGCATGGCGCAGCGTGCAGTAGCCGATCAGATGATGAGATTCGCTCGGGGCTCCATTAAGATCATTGGTCATTGGATCATAGGATAAACAACGTGGACGAGTCGGCAATGACTTTTGAGACTTTGATGGTATGATAAGGTGCCTCGTCTATTTCGTGAAAGTGCAAAGGAGGTGAAGCGATTGTGTATTCTTGGGGAAATTAGCTTTATGAGACATTTCGATCCCCATTCGAGACCGGACAGGTTACCGGATAGAACGGCTTGGACCTTGGAAAGAGAGGAACACCTAAAGGGTGTACGGGGCGTTCTTCAACTCATGGTGAGTACGGACAGTACCTCCCCACAAAGTCGGGAACAACCATGTGTGCGGTAGATTAGCTTGAGTTGATTAGGAAGGGGGAAGGAAGGGAATGGGGGAGTAGGGGAAATCGAAAGATTGAATTGGTGTTTCGATTTGAGACGTATCACGAGGTTCGCAGATGAGAATGGATCTTGGACTGGACCTCGTATTCCGGGGTGGATCCTTACCACCTTGTTCAATGATTCAATCTGTCAGATATCAGAGTGAGGGTGAAACGCATGAGATGTCAGACAGGGTAAGTGTCGGTTGGGAAATATTACTGATGTCAGGTACACTCAGGAAACAGCCGGGCCGGGACTTCAATGACGTCATTGGGTCCTGACCCGCCGGCTCGGCGGAGACCGACTTTGATGTTCTCCACTCTTATTATGTGTCCACTTTGCACCGCCTCATCTCTTTCTAACCCACCGTTGACGGGATCAAGTCCGCGTACTGTATGATAGACAGCGTACAGCGTCGCCCATGGCTCAGGACCCCTATTTACGCTCCACTCAAGATTGAGAGTTGATCAGCTGACGGGGGTATCGTCCAAGGCATTCTTCAAAAATGGAGAACCTCCTCTCCCGGCCCGGGCGAGAAACTTTCTGTCGCCTTCGGTCGTTTTGTCTGACAGGAAAACGCCATCTCATCGCCAGTACAGGAACTGACTGCAGTGCCCCGCATTGAAGGATCCGCCTCGGATACCTGTCAGTTTACTTCTGCCTGGCCTCACACCGTACACCAACTTCAATTGAATACTTGTCCGAGGCCCGAGGTCTGGATCGCCAGGAATTGACTGCACTGAACCCACCATAGCCGCTCGGATGTTTGAGCCCCACTCGCCGATCCATCCCTCCGCCCGGCGGGTCACCTTTGGGCTTCTTCATTTGTCTAGGTACATACCTTTGACCCCCCCTGACATACTCACCCCTTCTTTTACTGATACCTTTCATCCCATTCGAATCATCCTCACTCGAAAATCTTCTCAGAAGATGCTCGCTTCCATCTTATTTGGGATACTACCCCTTCTTACCGACGCTTCACCGGTATACAAACGATATACTTCTCAAAGAATTCAATCGGTTTCTCAAAAAGGTCAATGTCTCTCTCCCGTCGGATGGCCAAATGTGACACTTTCCAATGGTGTACAAGTAGGTAGTGTCGATTGTGATCAAGCGCCAGGATGGGATATAAGTCCTGGTAGTGGAAGTGTGATACTAAGTGGGACTAACTACGCTCTCGACGCAGGAACCGGAAAGGATAATAATGAGATTGTTAAGATTTGGCAATCGTATCCTGGTTTGTTCCAACAGACGTGAGTTTTTTGTCATCCAATTCTACATTGCACGTTATATCAACTCCCCATTTGACATCTCTCCAATCGAGTGATATCCTTCCCAGTCATGGGGTCTCAATATCTGACCTTTTCATCGTTATTGGTGCTTTGTTGTGGGAAGGGATGACGACTGACGTATAGCTGGTATCTCACCCCAGACTCGAGGATCGCCATTACTGGGGGAAACCAATGTCTCGATCAAGGACCCGTGGGTCCACAGACATACCAATGCACCACTGGGAACACGAACCAAGGTGAGTGTTTTACACATTCGTTTCTCACATGTTCTGCTTCCTCTTCCTTTTCCGATATATCAGGAAATCGAAAGTTTGGTAGCTGACGGCCTAGCTTGGATATTGGAAGATACCACACCGACCTGTTCGTCGGTATCGACGGTCACTGTTACTGTGACCGCGAGCACCACTGGTCCTGTGTTCAGCAGTTGGAGTGTTGAACCTTCCGGCACAGTCAGCAGCTGGAGTGTTGGTCCATCGAGTAGTGTTGTCGTTAGCAGCTGGAGTGTCGGTCCATCTGGTACCGTTAGCAGCTCCACTTCCATCACCACCGCATCTTCTTCCACTCTCATCGTCTCCAGTTCCGGTCCAACCGGCGTGAGCAGTTCAAGTTCTTCTCCCACCACCGTAGTCAGTTCAAGTTCCGGTCCTTCTGGTCCGACTCCTACCGGAGGATATTATCCTGATCCTTCTGACCCTGCTGCGGATGGTCAACGACTTCGATGTGAGTTTCAAGCATACTTCTTTTCTTCTCTTTTTCTCTTCCTCCTTTCCATCCTTCAAAATATATCCACCGGTATTAACTGAAGTAACTCCGGAGTGTATTTGGAAAATTCGAAGGGGAAATATAACTTACGTGTAGTGAAAGATCATCCCGATCTCTGCGTATCAGCCTATAACGTCCTCATCGGGTCTAAAGTCACTTTGTACGTTTCTTCCCTCTTCTTCTTCTATTCCTGCTTTCAAGTTACTAATATCTCAGAGCATACTGTCTCCCATCCGATGACGCAAACGTCAAAGATCAACTTTGGGATTTACCCACAAACACCACCGGACCACTTCGTATACACGGGACGACTTTCTGCGCTGCTCCATCTGCTGAGAGTAATGGAGCTGGTTTGAATATTCAAGATTGTGATGCTTTACAAAGTTCATCAGTTTATTCTACTTTTGCTTTTGAGAATAATACCAACGTCGCATTGACGGATAGTGAGTGAAACTTTCTACTTAACCCTATTATCAAAACCTCCCACGCTATGATTTCGTCTCACATGTGAATCGTGTTTTTCTGCCTGAGAGAAACGGCTTAATTAATTTTGTGGACTTACCGTACTCTAAGCGACGTTCTGTTGATAGACCATTGAATCATATCTAGTGGTAGTGAAGTGGAGAGCAGAAGGCGCAGGTGCTGATGAGCAGGCTCAAACTTCTGTCTCGACGTCAGTAGCTCCCCACTTACTTCTTCCCCCGTTCAACAAACTCCTCCATTCCAGGAATACGCAGATCTTCAACTTTGGACATGTTCCGTTACGGACCCTAACCAGTTATTCTCAGTATTGTCTTATAGACCTATCGTCATTTACTGAATCATGAGTCATCTATTACGGAAGATATCAGTAGATTCGACTGTGGATAATTGTCATCGCATCAGTGTAATTATGGACAATGGACATTTGTGGGCAAGTAGTAAACTTGTAAAATGAGATCGATGGAATATCTTTTTTTTTTGTTCTCCGATGAGAGAAATAAATGTCAGTAACATAGCGAATCACTGACATTCATTCAAATTATCACAACCTGATAAATCGCTCATCTCTTCTACTACAGTATGTCGATTTAGGAAGAATGTGACAATGTTTTAATCCGTCTTGGTAGCTTTTGCTTCTTCTTCCTCGTTCTTCTCAAGTACAGGAGCGTCTTTGACTTTGACGAGTAATTCCTACAAGTTAGCGTCTCCCCATGTCATGAAACCGATAGGATGGTAAGATGAAGTATGGTCCAAGAAAGCAAGAAAAGAAAGGGAGGGAGGAGAGGAGGGAACAAAGATCAAAAAAACTCACCTCAAGTTTCTTGGGTACGGCACCTACGAAATCGTCAAATCTTTCCCCACCAACAAAAGCGATGAAAGTAGGCATAGCTCGAATTTGTAATTGTTGAGCTATTTCCTATTTATGTTAATTTTACCATTCTTAATCTACTTCCTTGTACACCCTCAATCATCATCATATTCACTGCGTCATACTGGAAACATCCGTTCTGACGAGATATCATACGATTCGAATTGACCGAAAACCAATGAATATTGTAGAGTCAAAATAAGGAAAGAGTAAAGTGATTGGAGAGTAAGAATAGGTATATTATAATATATGAATTAGTAGATGGTAGGTAAACGATTGATAGAGTATTGAAGCCTTACTCACAGATTGTTCATCAACATCAACCTTGACAAATTTTATACCCTCAAATTTAGGTTCTAGCTTTGCGAACACAGGACCGATTAATTTACATGGTCCACACCATGTTGCCCAAGCGTCAAGTACTACTTTTTCATTTTCTTTCAGCTGTCATGTCAGTTTAATGATTTAACTCGGTTGATCTTCAATCAGATGATGGATGGTGAAGCGTGAATGGTGAATTGTAGATTTGTGGATTGTAGATCGTCATGGCCTTGTGGATTGTGAATGAATGAATGGAATGGAATGGATGCATGGACATACGATCTGATCGAACTCTGCTTTTGATGTGATAACGTGTACCATACTGTTTGTATTTCTTCAGTGGCGAGAGGTAAGGATGAAATAAGTATAGAGATGGAGTGATGAGTGTTGATGTGAAAGGTGGTGACGTGTAAGGTTTGGTAGCTTAGTTGCAGTTGGGTTCTTTGTGTGAGCAAGTTTCGATTGGAAATTGGATGAAAGAGGATGCGAGAGGATGAGTGTGGTATTTATACGAATGGTTCGACGGGGTGGGAATATGTATTATCACTGCTTACTCACCGTGACACCGTGAATACGAAGAGATGCCAGTTGCTGGAAGAAAGTGGAATGAGCCAAGAGACGATTGATAAGCTTTTCTACCGTCTACGCACTACGGTCATGCCCGGCGAATGGAATGCCACTTTCGGTGATCGGTGACGTGACGTCGCACCTTTGTCACTGCGTCATGAACAATTCTTTCCACTCCTCTCACGTATCCCATATATCTATAAGTATGTGTGGAGGATGCTAGACGGTTCTCGTTGCATCTCATACTATGTTTCTATGCACAGCACCTTCATCTGTCCGTCGGTTTAGGTTCATCCTTTTCTTCTACGATCATCTCCAATGCTCTTAATCTTGACATAGATAAATCAATCGCTCAGAGCTTGGGAGGAGAGGGCTGGAAAGTCGCCCCCTTTTCAATGCTAGGACCCAACTCCTTGACCGCCGCACCAAGCAAGCCTTGCTCGTACTCGTCCAGCTTCCCAAGGGAGAGGATCTTTTCGATACCCGAAGACTGCACGTTAGCTCACTGCTGTAAAGCCGTAGAAAGGGGATCGAGACTAACACCGAGTTCGATGGGAACGGAGAAGTACTCTAGCTCAGTCCCAATCTCCTTTTGCACTGCAGCACCACCAGAGTCCGCCCCGAGGTACACGTAAGCCTGGACGACCTTACTCTTACCACCAAAGGCGGCTTCAAGGACGAATTCGGCAAACTCGGCGCCAGCTGTACCGTCAGCCTCCTGGCTTGTACTAAGGGATCATACCAACCTTGAGCCATGGAAAGCGTAGCAGAACCAGCACCATCTACGGATCAGCATCCGGACACAGTACCATGCCTCCTGGAACACACCTTTGGCTTTGACTACCTCATCCCCACCAAATTGAATGCGGTAAACCAAAGCGTCTCGCTTTTCCTTGTCAGCGAGGATGTCAGAGGGCTGAAGCGTCAGCTCAAATCGGATCAGACAAAAACCAGCTAGACGACTAACAATGGCAGGTTTGCTCTGGCTTAGCAAAGGAAGAATGGTCACTCCCGCATGTCCACCGATGACTGGTACAGTGTAACCGGAGGCCTCGGCGGGTTTGCCAACGACGGCAGAGACGAACGTCGAGGCGCGGACAATGTCAAGGTGGGTGACACCGAAGAGTCTGACATCAGCTCTCGTACCTCATGCAACATTCAGCGGGACAAGATATGACTGCTCACTTCTTTGGGTCAAACACACCAGCTTTCTTGAGGACTTCGGCGAACACTGGGACAGTCGAGTTGACCGGGTTGGAGATGACCAAAATGAATGCCTTGGGGCAAGCAGTAGCGATGGCCTGAGCCAACGTGGCACAAATACCGGCGTTGATCTGGGCATCAGTCACTTATGTACGAGTTGTAGTTGACCAACTTACTTTCTATAATTGCCAACAAGTCAGAAGAGCGAAGATCCATTGCAAGATGAAGAAGAGATAGCGTCAGCAAAGTCGATTTCATACTTATGAGACACATACGAAAAGATCATCTCGGGTCATTCCTGGTTTCCTTGGCACACCAGCAGGGATGATGACGATATCAGAGCCCTCCAATGCTCTCTCAGCTCCGTTGTCAGGAGGGAGGTAACCCGTAACTTGAGCTGGGGATGCAATGTGCGAGAGATCTGCCGCAACCTGATCATCAGTCTCGAATCTTCTCGCACACCTCAACATCCCTTATCAGTACGAAACAGGTTTGAAAGTGCGCCTTAGGCTCATACTGCCAAGTGGAACAAAGGAGAGAGATAAGGACTCACACCGAGAGCGTTAACAACATCGTACAGTGCGAGCTCAGTGACGAGAGGGTTCAATTTGAGCAAAAGAGATAGAGGTTGACCGATACCACCTAGTTTTGGTCAGTGTCTACGCCCACTTTCTTTCATGTAGCATGAGACTCGAAAGCACACGTTGATATGAATGACGCCCGAGAAGTGGCAGTAGAGCTCGGACTTACCTGCAGCACCGCAGACGCAAGCTTTGACCATTATGTGAGAGGTAACTGATTCTCAGTTCGTCACAATCAATAGAGAGATTCAAGCGGGATGACTCACATTTGTGCAGGCTTGTATATGAGACAGCAAAGAGAGAAAGAGAGGGTGGAATGGACGACGAACGCGTTGGGGAGCGAGAGAGCGAATATTAAACCGGTTAAACCGAACGCTCCGAATACCGAATACCCCGGCTTTATGGCGTTACAACCGGCGTTTTGATGTATGGCGAATGGCGGATGGGCCAATCGGGTAGAAGACGGCTTTGACAAATTTCGAAATCACTCGGAGCAGTCGTCGAACACCACCCAGCAACCAAAGTCACTAATCACTGAGGTCATTGAGAAGATAGCGAGTATAACCAAGATGGATACATATCAAACACCTCTAGCTTCGTAAGCCATACACTTGACTTGGAAACCTTGGACTAAGCAGGTCAGACGCTATGCTTCTAAGGAAATGTCAAAATTGTTCTCCAATGCTGTCAGCTACCGTCCGTACAACGATGCTTGAGCTAACGTGAGAAGACCAGATTTGGGACTTGGAGGCAGTTGTGGTTGAATCTTGCTATTGCTGAAAAGGTGATTCTACCCATTCTGCCCCAACCTCATTTTCCTCTTGATGACCCATGATGTGAGAGTAGTGAGTGGAGTCAAAAGGAGGAAGGTTGCTCATCACTACAGGAACTCGGTCTACCAATTTCAGATGTGGCCATTGAACAGATGCGCGCGAATTTGGAACTGGACGAGGAACAAATGAGAATAGCAGCTGAGGAAGAGAAGAAACGACGTCGTGGGTCGATCTTTCCTCCCAACGAGTTTTCAGTCTAAATTGTCATTTGTCAAATTTGCTGATGGATTTTCAGACGACGTGATGGCTCATGTACACACTTTCGGGGTGGTCGCCCCTGAAGCAGCAGGCATCATTCAGTATGTATTTCCTTCTCCTTATATTCATACGCTAATGTGTTCAGTCTAGGAGCCACATCATGTTATGTGACCGAGTGAGTCAATTTCACCCAAAACCCAACTCTCCACTTCACGTTCAATGAGTCAATACAGTGAAAATGAGTGTGGGATGGAAAATAGCTGATAGAGTAGCAACGCAGATCTCATCTTTCTACGTCAAGGTCTCTCTCTCATTTTACCTAAATTAGCCACGGTCATCTCACGTCTCACCTCTTTCGCACAGCAATATCGCGACCTTCCAACATTGGGATTCACCCATTTTCAACCTGCTCAATTGACGACGGTTGGTAAACGTGCTACTTTATGGATCCAAGAGCTTTTATGGGATTTGAGGAATTTAGAACGTGCAAGAGCGGATATAGGGTTTAGAGGTGTGAAGGGTACTACTGGGACTCAAGCTAGTTTTTTGACTTTATTCGATGGTGATCATGAGAAGGTGAGTTGGGCGGGATTCTCCTCTTCGTTTCTCCCTTCACTATCCCTCATTCGGCTTCCTTCTTCTAACCTCATACCTCCTAAACTTCCTAGCTCTCCGAATTTATCTTATCACTACTTATTCTTCGCTCTGTCACGGATCGTTCCACTTTTCCTTCAATAGCTCGGGTACGACCAGTTCCTTTCCTAGGAGGTTATTCTGAAAGTACCCAACCGTGTCTCAGCTGTCTCTCTTTCCGTCGACAATTGACTCTCTGTCTATAAGCAAGACCTTAAGTGGACATTGAAATCGATTCAGTAGTATAGAACTCAATCTGATTAACCAGGTAGAAGCCCTTGACAAACGCGTAACCGAATTATTCGATTTTCCTTACGCTTACCCAGTCACCGGTCAAACTTATTCACGTAAAATCGATATAGACATCTTAGGTCCTCTATCTTCGTTCGGAGCAACAGTTCATAAGATATGTACCGACATAAGATTATTAGCAAATTTGAAAGAATTAGAAGAACCTTTTGAAAAAGATCAAATCGGTTCTTCTGCAATGGCGTATAAGAGGAATCCGATGAGATGCGAAAGAGCATGTTCATTATCAAGACATTTAATGGTTTTATATCAAAATACATTAATGACTTCTTCCGTTCAATGGTTAGAAAGAACATTAGATGATTCAGCCAATAGAAGAGTTACATTACCTGAAGCTTTTTTAACTTCGGATATACTTCTTACGACATTACAAAATATAACAGAAGGTTTGGTCGTTTATCCTAAAGTTATAGAAAGGAGGATTAAACAAGAATTACCTTTTATGGCTACGGAAAATATTATAATGGCAATTGTTAAACATGGTGGTGATAGACAAGAATGTCATGAGAAAATTAGAGTTTTAAGTCATCAAGCTGGAAAGGTTGTTAAAGAGGAAGGAGGTGAGAATGATTTGATAGATAGGGTCAAGAATGATGATTATTTTAAAGATATTTGGGAAGAATTGGAAAGTTTATTAGAACCTAAGACTTTTGTGGGGAGAGCACCTGAACAGGTTGATGGGTTTGTTAAAGATTGGGTAGAACCTGCTTTGGAAAAATATAAACATGAGTTGGAGAATGTCAAGTCGGCGGAATTGAGTGTTTGAGGGACTAGTGTCATGACACTTAGACACTCCTGAAATCCCGAATGTCCTCTTATGACATGTTTTTCCATGTACGAAGCTGGTAGAGTGCCATTGGAAGCATCAATGCATTTCTCTTGCTGTGAAATGACAGGATATCAAATGTATCTTATGTTAACCCGAAGTGATAAAAAATTAGATACTACGTCTGTTCAGAATACACTTTGATAGTCTTGTCCGCACCACCAGTGATCAACCTCGTACCCGTTTTATCGAAAGAAGAACAGAACACTCCTGCTTCCGCATCTAACGAACCAGGTTGAGGAATATCTTTGAGATGTTGGAAAGGTAATCCAGTAGCATAATCCCATAATGTTAATGTCCCATTATCGGCTATTCCATCAACATAACATTCTCATCCACATGTCGTTTCGAAAAACTCACCACCCGAAAATAAGACATTTTCTTGATTAAGAGATAAAGTGTTGATGATAGCTTCGTGACCAGAGAAATTATGTACAAAAGTACCTTCTGGACATTTCCACTTTTTGATACTGATCATCAGCTCGACTCGCTACGTCCTGACACAACTGGGATTCGTCGTTAAAACCTTGTAGATGATAGATGGGAAAACAAAGAGAAAAAATATGACTCACTTATTGCCACCAGCACTGGCACTAGCAAAACTATATTCTGTGGGATGTATCGCCAAAGCTCTAACGCTTTTCTTATGATGGGTCAATGTCGTCATACATTTCCCAGCTGCCAGATCCCATAGTCTAGCGCAATCAGCTTGGAAGTTCACCTGCGAACACTAAGAAGCTGACCTAATGGTACTGTCCATACTGCCTGAGATTACCTGAGGATCCGAATCTTGTGTTTTGACATCTGCCACTGTGTTGGTATGACCAGTGAGGGTAAAGATGTTTGCACGTGTACGCATGTCCCATACTCTGACAGAAGCGTCTCGACCGCCTGTACATAAAATATCGAGGGTTGGGTGAACGCTGTTTGTCAGTCAGAGTCAACATACTGCTGTTTATCCTGATGGTGGATCCAGAACCATCGGAAGGTGGAAAGTATGTTCAGTGTTACATTTAAGGAGAAGAAAGTGAAGAAATGGAACAGGATATACTCACGATAAACTGTAGACACCAGAAAAATGTCCATGATAATGTCGAATGACCTTATTTACCTCCAAATCCCAACATTTAACCATCTAACTATGAGCTTATTCGTGGAGAAGCAACATCAGCTATAGCTCACCTTATCCTCGGCACATGAGAACAAGTAGGGATGTCTCTCCGACACAGCCAATCCACGAATAGTAGAAATGTGTCCTGTGAGAGACAACTTCAACTCTCCTGATGCCAAATCCCAAATCTATCGTTTAGCTGTCATCAAACAATGCCACATTTACAGCTACTCACCTTGATGACTCTATCTCCTGCACCAGTGGCAAACCATTGATTGCCCGGATCCACCGTCAAAGCTCTGACCCAACCCATATGACCCGAAATCACCCTGGAAAGTTTCCCTATCGTCGTCATTTTTCAACTTCATTTGATAAATTCTAAATTCGTACTCACATTGCGCATGATACTCCGGCTTGATCTCCCGTGCTTCTTTTTTCCTCATGAGAGCTTGTGAGAGTCTAGACGCGGCTTGACCACCTTCAGCAGAAAATCCTTGTTGATGTCTATATTTCACTAGACTGCGGGGTTCCGCGACGGCAGAATGACCGTTTGTCGATCTTCTCGAATCAGCTTGACGCACAATAGAGTACAGTGAGACTTACGTGGAAGAAGATGTAGGTCCGCCGATGAGTTTGACCCCTGGTCCCACACCTGGTGAAGGTGCAAGGCCAGATTGAGGTCGTTTAGGTCCAGTAGGACCGGCTTGCTGACTTTGTAGTACGGGAGGTAGAGTTTGAACATCTCTATACTCTGCAGCTAATTTCGTTGCCAGTTTTATCTTGTTCCTAATTCATCAACACCGCTTAAGCGAAGGGAGTAGAGATGTGAGGAAGGAACGTACGCTCTGGATAAACCATCATCGATCTCCCTTCCTTCGGCTGCGTATACAGCACGAGTACGTTTGACGGATTTGTTGACTAGATCGGAGAGTTGAGGAAGCACACTGGGACCTGCCTCTGATACCATTTGAGTGAGTGCGTCTGACATGATCTTTCTACCATGGAGCGGGCTAGAGCCTAGGGGAACCTGAACTGAAAGCAACTCATCTTACGAATTTCTTTTCTAATTTTTCGATGTATTTATCCCGAAACCGCGATGAATGAATTGGTGGATGTTTCAATGTCCGATGTTCGATCTTCGCCTCGCGCATCGTCCTAGCCTAGACCTTCGTCGTGACGCTATCGCAAGCTCCAAGATAGCCATGATCGATCGGCATTCGTCTTATGTCCAATCTCACTTTGATCATCCGCAAGTTTGAGGATCCGGGAATCCTGCCTTCCCCCTCTCTCACACACACGCCTCATTCTAATTCCGGTGATCGTGAACAGCGTGGCAACGCCCAGATCCCACGTCCATCCTTAGGATTCTACACAAACTAACGCTAAAGGGCTACAGGTCTTGAACCTCACAACGCCAAAACTTCAACGCCCTCCGTTCATTCCTCTCCAAATCGGGGCTGGTGCTGATCGTCTTGATACCCTAACAGATGTACCTTAAGCACAGCTCGATTTTCCAATAGGGCGAACCCTGATATGATGCTGACCAACTAAATCTTTGTGAGATTGACTTTGAGTGGCTGGCTGCTTGACGACGGTCACGGTCAAGGCCACGGCACGATGGGGAGGTGCGGAAATGTGGAAAATGATCATCTCAATTCCTGACTATCAATCTCATCTCCTGCCGTTCCTTCCGGGGTGGTCTCTCAAAGGGTATAAGTATCAGGCTCATTATTGATACCAACATCATTGCACGACTCTATCCTTTTTTTCACCTGTTGATAGAATAACGTACGCCCTCAAAACTTCAACATGTCTTTCAAATCTTTCGATATTTCTACCCTTTACAGTGTTAAAGGCAAGGTGATTACTTATACTTTCAGATGCTGTTTGGTTGGATTCACTGACGATTAGAATGTTCTCATTACGGGTGGTGGAACCGGTAAGTCATAGTCAAAAGTTGGATGGAGAAACTACATGTACTGATCGAAAGGGGTTGGGAAGGGTATGGCCATTGGTTTCGCCATGAACGGTGCCAAAGTATGTCAACTTCGACCTCCATGATCCTGCTCAACGTCCCATACGTCTGAAAAAGAAGACAGCTGGTCTGACACACAGGTCATCATCACCGGACGAAGATTACAAGTCATAGAATCCACCGCTACTGAGATCAATGCAGCTTGTAAAGAACAAAATTCTGGAGGAGAGGTTATACCTGTTCAAGGTGATATCGCTACCAAAGCTGGTGTTGAAGCGATATACAACATTTGTTCTCAATTCATTGACCGAGTCAGTCCAAAATGACGATTCGCTTAAACCCTTATTCATTTCAGGGAAAAAAGGAAAGATGGAATGATGTGGCTGATGAGATCAGCTTGATGTGTTGATCAACAATGCTGGATTTTCGAGTAATTGGAAAGTCCCAAGTAAGATGGTTAGTCTGACACTCGAGTTTACTCGGATGGGTTGCTGATGAGAAGGATGATGTAGAGCAGCTTCAACAAAAATTGTGGTCCATCGATGAGTGTGTCTTCCTTCTTCCTTTTCCCCTCTTCCCAAAGTATTCTAATTCAAACCTCTAATCTCTTATATCTACCCTTCCCTTCCCTTACTCTCTTTTCTGACTTTCACTGAATGGTTATCTTGCAAAGTGCATCTAAGTACCGGAAGTTTGGAGCCGTTTTGCTTCCTCCACGGTGTCATTGTCACACCATTGAAATCGATATCATCGCTCACAAACAGCGTGGACTACGCCAACATGACCGCCGTCCATGTCGCAGGTCCCTATTTCATGGGCGTGAAATTCATCCCCATGTTCCAGAAATCCGACAATCCGGTAATCATCAACATTACTTCTTTAGCGGCGGAATTTATGAACCGGTAAGTATCATTCCCCTTTTTTATTCTCTCCTTCTTCCTCTCCGTCCTCTGTTCCCCCTTCCTACGAATACACATCTCTCTTGACTTTTTCCTTTCTGCCACTTCTTCTCCTACTTTTTTCTACTTCTCCCAATTCATTCCCATCTACCAGCCCTTCCAAAAGGCAGGTTTCCACACCACACTTAAAGCTGCAAGATCGTGACATTGACATACCAGAGAAGTATGCGAATTCTCCTACGCTCAATCCAAAGCAGCAGGTAAGATCGTCTCCCCATTCTATTCTAGTGACAATGTTTGATCGAATAGAACAACAACTCACTAAACTCATGTCGGCCGCTTTGATGCCTTTTAAAATCCGTGTCAACGCCATTTCTCCTGGTTTGTTCCGTAGTCAATTGACAACTACTGCGCAAGGCTCTCTTTACCCACCTATGCAACGTGCGGCAGATGAGATCATACCTGCTCGGTGAGTTTTAAGATTACACATTCATTTCTCTCTCACCGACTGAGATTGAACAGTCTAATTTCCCACGTTGAGTGATTCGTTTGCAGAAGAGCTGTTTTGGAGAGGATAACAATTTGGTTCGTACTCTACTCTTGTATGGAATGGAGCAGTTGGGTAGAACCTCGATTGGTCAAGACAGATGGTTTAGATGTGTGAGAGAAATTGATAATCGCTGACTTTCAGTCGTCCGGGAAGTTGGGAAGAGATAGCAGGTCCAGTCATGATGATGGCTACACGTGCAGGTGCTTATTTGAATGGTGTAGCTTTGTCGGTGGATGGAGGATGGCTCTTGACTGATTCAGCTCTTCATGTCTGATCGATCACTGGTGCTTTTCGAGTCGTCCAGAAATCAGAATAGACATTAGCTTCCCATCACTATGTCGTTTTGATCTAAATTACTTTACGTCGATCATGTCATGTCATGTCTATGCATACGAAATGTCTCTCGTTGAGAAGTAGGTCTAACCAAATTCATAGACCACCCATCGGACTGATTACATGATTCTCATATGTTGATTCAAATAGCTGTTGAGCAAGGGTAAAGTATTAACATCGTGGTTGACAGACGAGCAAAACGTAGCGTAGCACAGATCAAAGGTCCGACTTATTCCTCTGAGCTCTCCACCATCTACCAAAAGCATTCGCCTGTTCCACCACTATACCATCCCCATTGAAAACTCTGGCATTTTCCAACATGAGCTCCACATCTTCGTCTACATCTCTCGCCGTTGCATATTTACCTTTCTCGACATTCGACTTGATCGTGCTTAGATCTCGTGCGTCTTCCGGTGGTATACTGAGTAATCAGCTTGACTGTGGCTACTTTGATTTGTCTCCGGGACAAGGATGGGTGAGAGAAAACAAGCGGATATAAAGGAAGGGCAGATGAAAGAAGAGAAAATAACGTACATTTCGAAATAATTGGGAATTTGTAGAGCCACAGGATCGACTATACGTCAGTTTTGGTTCGACAAAGTTGAGAAGCAAACCAACCTGGCTCACGGAAGAACAAGCTTAATTGTTCTTTCATACTTTTAGCCAACAATGCTGACATTGCTTTCCTCTCGTCTGCAGTCATTTTCGGGTTGACGACGCGGGACCATTCTTGCCAATAAACACGTTCGAGGGTGTCTGCGCAGACGGTGATAGGGCCAGGAGGATTGAATTGCCAGCAGCTATTGGTGAGCTTTCTGCTTCAGACAAGCACAAAGCAGAGCCGTCTTCCTCTAGCATATCACGGCTCAGCTCGACTTTTGATGCAAGATGCCCGAGTCAACACGACAGTAGCAAGAGGAGATATGGCTCGGTGAAAAGGTGACTATGCAGATGAGGTAACAGAGCCAAAGGGGACAAGACTCACTTATTAAACACCAGCTCAATATCATACGCCAAAGCCCCCATAGTGGTATATTGTCTTCCATCCATCTTCTTCGTAATCGTTCCCAGATCCATAGGCTCCTTGATCTCGTCCAAATACGTCGGACATCCATCCGCGATCGGATTGACCGGTCTGGCGAAGATGAGCGCTTCTTGAGGTTTTTTCAGCGCAGCGAGCAATGCTTTTGCTCTTTTCAACCTGAAAGGCATTGGGTTGCCCACCGTTTGTGGCAGATTTGAAGGAGGTTTCTGCCTCGTCGCTATCGGTAGAAGGGCACCAGGGACATCCACAGCAGGCGGCGGAGGTGGTGGTAGGGGCGGAACGGGCTTCTGTTTAGGCGCTTTAGGTATGATAGGAGAAGATAATGGAGGAGTATGGAGGGTAGTATGAGTTTGAGGGGTCTTCTCTGGGGATGATTTGGTGGTAATCTTAGCTTTCTTCATCTTAGGTTCATCGGAAGAAGAAGAAGATGATGATGATGTATTAAGGGAAGGTTTGAGTGTGATGATGGGGGGAGGTTTCATAGTTGTGGTAGGTTTGACAAATGATATGGTAGGACTTGGATGTATGGAAGGTCGTTGTTCCATAGCATCCACTTCTTGACCAAGAAGATCATCGATCTCTGTAGACCCGACAGGTTTTCGAGGTTTCGATTCTTTCGGTGGTCGACCGGGTGGCGTTTGGAATTTGACAGCGAGATGTTCGGAAGTACGTTTCTTGACTGGGACAGGGGGAGGTGCCATCGGGAGGACAGGCGGATGAGATTGAGGAGGTCGAGGTGGTTTGACGGTGAGTTTGATACCTTCCGCCTTTGGGTGTTCAGATTTGACCGATGGTGCATAGGGTTGGATGATAAGAGGGGGAGCTAGAGGAGTAATGGAAGGAGTACTGCCTGCAGATGCAGAGCTGAGTGTAGCTTCTGTCCTTGACCATACTGTCCGTCAGTTCTCTACGCTTCCCTCATGGTACATTCCAAATGCACGCGTCAAACATCTAAGCTGCTAAAGATCCACAGATGACAAAGAAAAGCCCGTGGCAGGAGGAAAAGGGTAGGGGTCGGATTGGTCCAGAGGGAGTGGTAAAGAGCAATACAATGAACAAAACTCACATTTATTAAAGTGAGCTTCAAAGTCTTGACAAACCTTACCCACAGGACTGGCCTTCCCATTGAAAGTATAACAATTCGAAATGATCAACTTGACGTCCTCTACAAAATCCGTTCTTTTGGTATACATTCCATTATCTAACCTTGCCCTGATGGTCGACAAGTCCATGGGTTTACGAATGATATCCAAGTACGTAGGGACATTTTCTCGTATAGGATCGACAGGTTGTCGGAAAAGATACGATGATCGATGTGCATTCTGACGTGTCAATCATCCGATATTCCATGTTAAGAAACGAGAAGAACTCACGAGCTTTTGTAAAGCATTTTCGATGGCTTTGAGATCGGTCTCTGGTAAACCTTGAGATTGAGATTTGAGAACTTTTCCTTTTTTCTTGTTTTGTTGTAGAGGAAGGGTAATTGTCGGTTTGCTAGCTGGAAATCCGTAATCTGGACATCAGCGCGAGATCATGAAAGGATGAGAAGTGGAATGACCTTCTGTTTTGACGTCAGGACCTCCTATACTCAGTCTAATTCGGGGAGTAACAATAGCTGGAGTTTCGACAACCGGTGTGCTTAAAGTTATAGTTGGTCCAGGTGGTCTTTCTTTGACACTCTTGCCTATGATTTCACACATCTTGATTAATGCTAATCTGACATCTTGATCGAGTCCAGCAAAATCGTCACTGGTCGATTAGTTCTTCCAACTTTATTTCCTTGTGGAAATTTGGGGTAGATGAACAATAAACTCACATGAGAAGGTCTTTCAGTCGATGCTTCACGTCTTCACGCGTTTCATATTCATCCCTTACAGCATCGACAAAGGGTTTAAACATCTTCTCTGCACTTTGCTCACGAGCACTCTCATTGTTCATCTCTTGTACTCCCGCGGGAACATTCGCCTTGATTTCATTCACCGCCAGAGCCATCAAGATCGACTCTGAAAGTCCACGGGCAACATGACGACGGACTGTGAGGGAGGAATCGGATTTTATGACTTCAGCGAGATAGGTATCAGTGGCACTGCTTCGACCGGGACGACGACAGAGCAAAAGACAATCGAAGGCCGTCAAGCGAACCGGTTCAAAATTGCCCTCCCGCGTGTAGCTGAGGAAATTTCGAGGATCGTTGGTGCGTTTTCCACCAAGGATCATTTTCATTTGTGCCTTCGAGTAAGCTTCCAGCATGGTGATGACGCAGGCAGCTGGCGCGGTATCCATGGGAAAGAAGGAAAAGAGAAGACGGGACAGGCCAACTCACCAGTAGTCCAGCAATCGTCACGGAATTATGGAAACTAGGAGCAAGACGATCCATCGTGATAGCCCGATCGACAGCTTCGTTCGCTTCGTCAAACATGACCCGATCAACTTCCTCCGCATTCCATGCAGGGAGGCTGAAGGCATTACCCAAAGCCGTAATGTAGGTCGCTCGCATAGTAGAATCGTCGAACTTGATGTGAGTCAGGAACAGGATCAAGTCAACTGGGAACGTACCAAATTACCTGTATTATCATTATATCTGATCAAATCGAGAAGTAATCGGCGGACATCCCGCCGAGTATTACGAGTAGCAGGATCCCGCAAATCAGCAAGGGAGGAAACGAGACTCTGAAGATGAGTGATTACATAGCAAAATGTGTCCGGATGAACTTGCCTTTTGCACGAGATAATCGGCCACATCGGAAAAATCATTCCTCTTAGGTCTGATGGGTGCATCATCATCCCCCGGAAGACAAAACAAAGCACGATATAGCTTCACGAGAAGGAAATGACCAATGTAGTCACATTCAGAAGTGTTGTACTGACTATCAGACACGGGTCACTTCCCGAGAGTGAAACTCACGACTGTTAAAGCTTTGGCAGCTTCCATCCTGACACGATAGAAATAATTTTTGACCAATATCGTCCTCGCCAATTCACTGGCAACGACGGGCGATGGATACATCGTCAGATTCTGTATTGCCTTTTCGTCAGACTTCGAAACGTATGTTGGTAAAGACTATTCACCTCAACTTGCGCAATCACATCCCTGTCACCTTGAAGTTGGGAGATCCAATACCAAGGTTTCTCCGCAAAGTCGAACGTAGCTATCCATTCACACTCCGGATCGAACCGGATCCACTCGTATCCTCCACCTTCCCCCATCATAGCCTCCACTTCGTCATCTGTCCATTCCGCAACTCTCCATCGCTCACGTTCAGCGTCGTCGTCCCACGGAGGGTAAGCGAAGACCTCGGCCCTATCCGCGTCTCGTAATTTAGCAGCTTCATCCTTGTCTGCGTCCGTCTCAGCTGCAGCTAAGTCTTCTCGTAATTTGCTATACCTAGCTGCTATATGTCCCGATCTTCGTGTACGTTTGTATTTCGTATTGAACGGTAGACTGAATTGCTTCGAAGGGACCTTTATATCTAACAAGTGTTCGAATGGCGCTCCGTCGGCCTCGTGAATACGAACGGCTAGAGTGCCCTCGAACATCTTCGTGGGTCGTTTATCGATCTTGCTGGGTTTGACAGCTGGTTGACTTTGTTGCACAGACAATTCGATTAAAAATTTCTTTCGGATGAAATTCGCCTGGAGTTTGAAATTGGGACAACCTGAGCCGTACACCCACAAATCTTGAAAAGCGGTGAGATCGATACTCGAAACTTTTCGACAAGTGCGGAAGAACAGTGAAGTAGAGAGCATATTCCCCGGGAGGTCGTCTGAGAAGGCAGTGAGGAAAATTCTGGGTACTACGCGTGTAAGTCCGACAGAAGTGCCTGCTTTCACAAGATTCCGATCGAGGATATGGAGTACCAGTGGGGCTTTCAAGTTGACAAACTCCAAGTCGTGCAGGTCCAAAGTTCCCGGAACACACAATGGCATGTGGTCTCCTTGGTCTAGTCGGGCACATTTGTCGATGTCTTTCTTTAACCGATAACGATATTCGTTGTTTCCCAATAGATGGCGGAGAAATAAACCTCGGAGATACAGAGCTAGACCATTAATGAGCCAAGTGTCCGCTACGGTTTTCGGGATGATGTTTATACCTACCCATTGTTGAATCAATGAGAGGGAGAGAGTTTCTCGAGCTGTTACAGCTTCATCGATGACGGAAAAGGGATGTAGGAGATCGCTAGAGATGACGGCGATGGTAGCTGCAGTTGAGCATTGTATCCTGGGACCGGTGACGAAGACTATCTTGAAATCTGACAGAGGATATGTACCGAATTCGGTAGTGTAATACTCCATGGCACGAGGTAGGAAGGACGTAGTGTTGAGCATGAGTTCCATATCCCCCGGAAGACAAAATCCCAATACCGGTCGTTGTCCAGGAACTATGGTGACTAATTCAAATGGACCTGCAGCGAAAGAGATTTGTTGGACTGAACAGATATTAGTTTGTAAATAGTGAAAGATGGTTTTGTGAGGATTATGAGGATGTGTAACCTAATCAATCAGCTAGCTCCCGTCTCTTTATCTCTGGATGATTCGTTTTCGAAAGACTCACTTGTTCTTGAAGTTCTCCACTGCTGACGACCATCACAGGAGAGTCTTCACCACCTTCAAGAAAAGAAGGTACAATGAATTCGAATTCCCAAGTCGACCTTTCCCACAAATTATCCACACATGGTGTCCACACTCTGGCTGCGTCATATGTAGTAGGAGAAAGAAACATGTGAGGAATCTCATCACGTTCAAATACGATACCTTCCACTACTTTTCCTCCTAATGTTAAGCTGTAATCAATCTGAATTTGTATCACACCCAGATCCGAGTGATCTCCAACTTGAACGATCCGTACCCATCCGCCAGAGACCGATATGGCAAGCTCGCCCTCATCACCTTCACCGGTAGCAGCCCATGTTCGACGTTTGATCTCTGGATGTGAAGAGATTTCTACTGGAGGATCACGATTAGGGAGAGGTTGAAAGGGATTGCAAAATGCGTATGTTGCTGGAGTGGGTAAGAGGGGGTCCTTGTCTGTTGGGGAGGATAATAGGACGGATGAGATCTCCAGAAGAGGAGACGCGTTGAGGTATATAGTACGAAGAGAGGGACTGGTAGGTTTGACAGTGAGATAAGCTGTACCCTGATGGATCAACAATATGTTGAAGAGACGAGACGGAGGTGAGACGTACCCGAAGGACACCAGCAAAGTCAATATCGAGAACAACCTTTTGATGAATCGTGTTTGGTCAGCAGCTTCACGACGTGGATGAAGAGGTAAACTTATAGGGTGAATCCCCTGTTGGGAGCAAAGACCTCGTCCGACATGGTCAAGGATGAGCTGGTATGGCCCGGTGGCCAATGGCCATTGACTTGTGGTGCAGCAATCAAGTGCAGCGAGAGGGAAAGAGAGAAGCAAACTCGCTCCGTGTTGGTCGCCTTGGCGGAGGTCACCGTCCGACCGTCCGACCATACAACCATCCAAGATGCCGACTTCGTCAGTGTAAAGCCATCAAGCATATCATGTATAGCCATGGTAACTATATCTTCTCACGTATCAGACAAAATGCATAGTGCAGATTTACAGAAAGTCAGCCGCTGCCTTTCTCTTCCTTCCCGCCATAGCAGCCTCCCCTCCATCCGGCGTGGGTGAGGTATATCTGTATCTTGACTGCTGAGCTCTTTTCTCCGCCTAGATCCGTCAGCCTTCTCATCTTTGGATGACTCAGTCTGTTTAGTCACTCACAGGAGAAGCAGTTGCATCGGGCCACATGACCCCATCTTTTGGTGGCTGTATAGTCGGTATTTCATTGACTGCGATACTTGGTGCAGGGGCAGGCGTAGCGGATGCTGCGGCTGGCATCGGTGTCTGAGCACCTGGTTGCATAGGTGTGATGGTCTGTGGATAAGGTTGCGTATGACCTGGGATCGGCGTAAAGTTTCCAGTACCAGCTTGATCAATGGTGAATCGTAATGGACCAGGAATCGGAGAAACTCCAGTACCGGCACCTGGTGGTGTGGGTACGGGTCCTGCACCAGGTATACCAGGATAAGGAGGGACGACCATAGGAAAAGGGGGAATGAATCCTGGAGGTCTGATGGTTAGCTACAAAGTGTACCTAGGTATGAATTTTATAGCTTACGGAGGGAACCCAGGCATACCGACTGGTAAAGTGGGTGGTGGCATTCCTGGCAATCTGCTATATCAGTCATTGTATGAAGAAAGAGGATAAAACTGACGCCATGGGAAAAGGTATAGGAGCACCATTGGGTGCTGTGACCATTGGAGGTTGTGTCATTGGTGTGGATATCGATTTAACAGGTTTATTCCGCGTCGCCATCAAAGCTTTATGTTGAGCCAAAGCGATCATGAGATCAGCTTCGGGTATGACGGTATATGAATGTCTCGGTCGTTGAGCAGTTGATGCAGCTACCAATGCGGCAGCTCCTGCTTCTGCTTCTTTTCGTGCTTTCCATTCGGCTTGAGCGTTCGAAGGAACACCTTCCATACCAAAGATCTCGACGTCGAAACCATCGCGACCGGGGAGAGTGTTTGTGAGGCTATACTTTAGCGGTTTTTCGTTCAATGACGTCCCAGACAAGATCGACAATGTTCCTTTCTTATCTATTCTCACTCGTCTTACTTCCGAGCGGTAGATCAAAGGTAAGACTATTTGACGAGATATGTCGCATCAGGTCGGCAAAGAGAATGGGTGATTGGTGTTGACCATGAAGCCACCACAGAACAGAATGACTGTGAAGAGGGAAAGCTGTAATGTATGGGGGTTGCACGGGACTGAATGATAGGTTGAAGACTCACGGTTCAGGATCACATTTATGTACCTGCTGAGAATGGACCATCAAACCTCCAGCGGTATTCAACTTCCTTGGACATAATTGACATTTGAAATGTTTCGATTTTTGATGTTGTAAAAGTACTTTATCATCTTCGAATTCACGTTCACAATACCAGCACCAAGGTTTGAGAACCTATGTTATCAGTTTTATACGTCAAGAGTGAGGTGTAGAAGCTCACGAATACTTGATGACGTTTCTTTTTGCCCATGATGGATGTTCTTTAGTCGAGTAGAGCGAAAGAGGTGGTCACCAGAGTGGACGAAGACTTAGCGGGGGAGCGAATATATTTTAGTGATAATTGTTGGTGTTTTATCCCGGCCATAGTTTCACCACCAAAGTCTCGAGGCACCGAGAACATCTTGCTTCAAAGATCTCAAGTGCAAAGCCGGGAAGACGGGGGGTTAAAACTAATTGATACTTGCTGAGAGGACCATACTCTTCAAGGATTAGTGAGTTACTTTTCTTCATCTTATCCATCAGGAAAGGAAAGAAAGGGACACCATGGTAGCAAAATGGTCAGGACAGCTACTAACATCTTAGATCATGAAATTCTCCTCTCAACATGTTCTCCGCCCCCTTCGTCACACCCGAACCTTCCATTCTACACCTATGATTTCCTCTCATATTGGTCTTAAACCAATTCCTATCCCTCCATCAGTCATCTTATCACTACCACCATCATCCATATCCCCAACATTACCTATGACCTCTCCACTCGCTCAAAGATACATAACCGTCACTGGACCCTTGGGTGAACAGGTCGTACCTATATTACCACCAATTATATTATCTCCTCTTTCCCAGACTTCTTTTTCCTCATCTTCTTCTCCTACTCCCTCTTCAAATTCGACATCTTCAACGGACGACGCGACTCAACAGAAAGAATCAAATGAACAACCCACCCCAACATTATCACTCACAATTCATAATCGTGATTCCAAACAACATCGTTCTCTCTGGGGTCTTACTCGTTCTCTCATCCATAACGCTGTTCAAGGAGTGACAACAGGATATACCCTAGAATTACGTTTAGTAGGTGTAGGATATAGAGCTAGTGTTGAACCTATCCCTCCTGTTTTCTTGGCATTACAAGCTCAAGTACCTAGAATAGCAAGACCTAATAAACCTGGTTCACCACCTTATGTCCTTCCTCCTTTACCGGAAAATAGATTGAATATAAAATTGGGTTATGCTCATCCTGTTTTGATTGATATTCCAAGAGATATAGAGGTGGAGACACCTCAACCGACTAAGATCATCTTGAGAGGTACGGATAAACAGAAATTAGGTAGGTTCGCAGCGAAGATTAGAAGATGGAGAAAACCAGAACCTTATAGAGGAAAGGTGAGTCATTAACTTTATCACCCTCTTTCGTTTGGTCCGCCAAGGAGTCGAGGAAATTGGAGATGAAGAAAGAGCTGACCGTAAGGGTATATTCGTTGGAGACGAAACGATCAAGCTTAAAGAGATCAAGAAGAAATGAACTTGCATGCATGTGTCATCTACCCCACAGCTTTCTCTCGCTTCCCTACGTAGATATAATCTTAAATAGTGTACCATATCTCACATATCTTCCCCACTCATCCTCTTCTCCCAATTCTTGAAAAACTCTTGGGATATTCTATCATCTTTCCTACCCCTATCATCACATCCTAACATTCCCTGCCATAAAGATGCCACACCACAATCTTCGTCACCCACCACCTGTCCAGTTTCACGTAACACGATGTCCGAAGTCCCCGATCCGCGATGTACTACAGCTAACGCTGGATGATATGTGGGTGGGAAATGAACAGAAAGCACTTGACCAGCTCTGTTCATCAGACACCTACAAGTATCTCTTTCATTTGAGGATTGAAAGGGAGAGGACTGACTCTGGGAGGTAGATCTCAAGACCTCGAGTTGCATGAGTTGATCCTGACACTATTCGACCTTGTTGCTCTGCCTCCATCTCCAAAGCTGACCGCTGTTCACCTGAGAAACTGATATGAGCGAAACATGTTCATGGGAGAGAGTACAACTCACCTGTTGAGGGCGCATGAGGATAGTACAGCCCTCTCTGCGACTCGTATCGACTCTGTAACACAAGCCATCGGCAATCTATTACGCCAAGCACTCGAAATACCTCCAGGATAAGCAGTTCGATCTTTCGTCTTGACTAACTCCATTATCATAGAATGCTTGTTCTTCTCTATCGCCTTTGAGTTGAGAGATAGATCTAGGAAAGTCCTCCAATCGGCGCGCAGATCGATTTCGGATAACCAAGTATCGTTGAAAGATTTGTGATCCTTAGTGAGCTGACCGATAGGCTCTCCCGTGATAGCAATCACGATGAATCTTGTCATCCTCTGAACGGCAGGACCCGAATGAGATACTTGTACCCACCATAAGTCCGCCGACAAGGATTCACAAGCTGTGATAGTTGGCCAAGTGGTCAAGTCAGGAGAGAACAACCCGTGACCATTACCCATGACACTCCAATCTTGTCCTGATCCCAGCTGAAGAGCGGTATGCAGTCGTGAAATGTAAAAACGTATGGCGACTAGAAACCCTTCCGGGCAAGTTTGGCGATAAAGGTCACGAGAGAATCCTGTGAACTCCAGAGAGTCGGTCAAGGTGGACAAAGGGGTCGTTCGACAAGCACGAAGCTGATGAAAGAGAGAGTTGAGGAAGTGACCTTTCATGTAATCTCTTCTCTCAGCTTCGGTAGATAATGCTGGCGGGGACATAGAATTACGGGGCGTTGAAAGATTCGTAGTGGGCAGTTCGGGGGATTTGACGATTTTCTTCAGTGGAGTAAAGTTGGGAAACGGCACACGAGATGGTATCTTGGAGACATTTTTGGAGATAGGCGTGAAGTGAGGCTTGGACAGGGGCATCTTCTTCCGTGTGGTTTTATCTGCAGGTCGACTTTTCTTCATCACAGGAGCCGAGGTCGTCTTGTTAAGAGAAGCACGAGTGTCCGTGGAAGCAATTGGAGGTTGAATGGGTTCAGAAGGGACAGTTGAAGTAGTCTTGGCGGCATGAGAAGATGACTTGGTCACTGAGGTGTTAGCGTGAGTGATTGGGTTAGATTCAGAGGTCGTGTGATGTTCAGTATGAGTAGTGATAGTCGTGGACGAGTTCTTGATTGAAGGCAGTTCCTTCGAAATTGTCTTTCTAACAAGTGCTGGACATGGCGGAGCAGGATTCTGACTGTCAGATGTAGTAGAGGATTCCGATAATTGGCAGTTCAATTTGCGTTTTGTTGTAACGCGTTCTTTTTCCTTCGTCGCGGTAATCGGAGTCTTTTCTGAGGCAGTAGAGTCGTTGATGATGGTAGATTTCGACACATTTGAGTCGATGGAAAGAGATTTCTTGACGGGCGTTAGAGATGAAGAGTCAGAATGATCGGTATTATTTGCCGCAAGTATACGCTCGATAAGTGCGGTCTTGTTGAGTTTGGAATACCCAGCGATGTTCAACTGGCCGTTAGTAAGTCAGTCCTGTGGCATGTGACGATGCCAAAGGCCGAGGATGGAACTGACCGATTTGCATGTATCTTTCAGCTGAGTGACTTTGAACTTTTCAAGTTGTGAGATGGTGTAAGAAGTCATTATTGTCAATGCTCTTTGTGGTGATATTTAGAAGGGAGCACTAGAGGTAGGGAGGAGAGGAAGGTCCACTTCATATATGTAGCTTGCAGCTGGGAGAGGGTCCAAGCGTCGGGAGAAAATACAAAATCAACCGAATATAAAAACGCGTCGTTGAACCTTTAACCACCAGCCATACTTTACACACCTCTTCATACCATGCTTGTGGGAGATGACATTCCTCTCATACCCAGAAAGATTCCTTCTTCTTCAGAAACAATTAGACAATGAACCCCCGCCTACCATCAAAGCGGCTTTCGAAGTTTGTGGTCGGACTGACAAATCCACTTCCGCCATCCGGGATGTCAAATTCGATATCCGTCTTCTCCGCTTATTGCACGAGACTAAGGGCAAGCCTGCGACTTCTGTGTCATCGGACGGTGAGAGAATGTTGCTGTGACCTTACTGGCTGCTGATAGGGAAGGACCTCACACAGTGAATAATTTGGGTTTGAACAGAGCTGATTTTGTGACCATCGGAAGAGCTGGCGAAGGACAATTCGGTACGGTAAGTCAAGTACTTTTCAGATCCATACACTTCTCTAAGGTGGAATGTTCTGTCATTTTGGTTCGCTCACAATCAGGTAGATGCCGTACGGTGTACTCTGAATGGAGGAATATACGCTTTGAAAACCATAGCAAAAATCACCGCTATCAGATCAGGTCCAGTAAGCATTCCATCTATTCTGTGAGAGGTTGTTGATTTCTTTCTCAGCAACTTGGATTAGCATATGAAAGACAGCTACATATCGTGTCTTCTGTTCGACAGTCTTCCAATACATCATCACCTGTACCCCGTTTACTTGCCGCTTTTCAAGATATAGACAATCTATATATGGTAATCGACTACATTCCATGTGGGACCCTATGGGATAGATTGTGTCAAACCACTTTGGACTCACATGATCCCGATCAATCATTCGAGGGCGAAAAACTCAAACCAATGGAGGAAGAAGAAATAAGATGGTGTGGATTTCAAATGATCAAAGCCATATCATGGGTTCATGCAGTAGGTTTCGTACACAGGTTCGTCGACTCCCTTTGATAATGATTAAGACTAATAAAAAAGAGATATCAAACCTCATAATTTTCTCATCGGGGAAAACTATCAAATTAAACTTACCGACTTTGGATCTTCTGTTCCTCTTCTATCCACGTCTCATCCGGAAGCTCGACGTACGGCATCCGGAATGATACATAAAGACTACTGCGCCTTGCCTGCTGGAACACCGGATTATGTCTCTCCAGAGGTACTCACCTTTGCTGAGGAGGCTGCTTACGCGGCTGCCATGATGGAGGATGGGGATAGGACAATGAGACCTGGTGATGCGATTGTGGAAGAAGGATATGATTGGGGTGTGGATTGGTGGAGTTTCGGAGCGACCATCTACGAGATGTCCACTGGAAAAGCTCCATTCTGGGCGAGGACTGTTGATCAGACGTATGGACGGATTTTGGGTTGGAAAGTGAGTCATTGAATTTCACAATGATCGTCGTTGATAGAAGGATACGTTGCACATACCACCCGAGTTATCCGAGGAGTTACAACATTTGATATCATCGTATGTCGCCCGATTCCATCTTCGTGGTTCGAGACTGAACACCTGATCAGACTCCTCACTGCTCCTGAAAATCGACTAGGCAGACGAATCTCAATAGAAATCCTTAATCACCCTTTCTTTAGCCAAATACGTCAACACGGGCCAAATCGTGAGCCGGCATCGCCCTCATGTACTGTATGACGCGGGCAGCGCTGATCTTAGTAATCTTACCAGAAGATATCGAAGCTCCTCCAATCATGGAACTTGTCAATCCTCAAAGTGCAGCAGAATATACATTCGCTCAAGGACAAACATTCGATGAATTCACATTTGATCATTTCTTCCACTCCACCACTTCGGCATTTTCTTCTCTGACCATTTCCAACTCTATGACCCGTCCAGCCAATGATCCCAAACCTTGGGAAAGATGGGTTGGATGGACATGGCATCCTCCTCCTAGACTGCTTGATAATCCGCCAAAGTACAACATCCCCATTTCCAATTGGACATTCGTTTCACCTTTCTCAGCTCATGTAACTCCGATCCGCGGGAATACCTCTACACCTTTAAGAACGCCCACTCCTGGATCTGTTATCCGCACTCGACCGATCTCCGAAAGACAAGCTTTTTCACAATTGATGAAATGTGTTCAGTCCAGTGCGAAAAAACGAGTGAGACAAAGTCGGTCCAGTAGATCAAAGATGACTTCTGGCGGATTGTATCAAACAATGGATATGCCAGGATCAAGTTATATGATCACATCTCAGACTCCAACGCCAACGACGAGGGTTCAAGCAACGTCATATAAACCGCCGAATCTGTCTCCTCCAAAGGAATATAGATCAGAGGAAGCGAAGGATGGAATAAGATTATCAATAACAGATGCGAAATGGGTTGACAAGATTTCAACCGGATCGGATTGGAGGGGAAGTGTAAGTCTTTCAGAATTAGAAGCATGGCATAAAGATATAGAACATGGTATAGAGGTGTGTCGCTTTTTTGTTTTTTTGGAGCACGAGACTGATGGTAGAATCTGAATACAAAGTTTAGAAGACTCTCATCGAGATTGAGACCGGAAGAGTCTGATCATCCATGAGCAGACAGAAAGATGATAAATTATTTGTAGCTTTAGTTCATGTTGATATGTTAATGGGCTTTTGAGATTTTAATAACAGTCACGACTGGAGTGATCAGTAGATGTATGTACTCGTACTTTACTTCACTCATACTATGTTATTTATGTATGATTATCCATATAATGGTCTTCACCTGGCTAAGTGGGTAAACTGGCTCGGTCCGTATTTACCGTAAAAAATACTCCGCAGGGTTGATCGAGAGTTCAATGCCTGGCCTGTCACGGCTTGGTGTCCATTCAAACTCCGTTACACGTACTACGAATGGCGCAGAGAGGGTTTCCCGTTCCGTAGACTTCCATGCATAAACATGATCAATTGACTACACTCCCCAAGATCGTCCTTATCTGCCACTCCGCCACGAATCACTTGCTACTTGAACCTAATGAGTGTTTTCTGAGTTTCTGCGATTTTGAGATCCCCTCGTAGTGAACAAGTCAACCTATCAACTTATTAAACTTCTCCCATCTCCCATATCTCACAAAAGTAGTTGAGCCCAAAAAACATGTGGCCTTTCTCCCGTTCTGATCCAGGTCCATCACAACCCCTCTCTCCCTCCTCTCAGAACTCTACAGATATCCCAACCCCATCAAACTCGGAATCCTCAAAACTTACAACCTCTTCTGATCAAGTGACACAACTCGCGATCGTCGAAAGGTCAAATCATTCGAATTCGTCGGAGGAAGTCAAGAGTGATAAACGTAATGTAAAATCACCATTGAATATCCCACAAGGGAATAGTACTGTGATTCCTGATACAGAGGAGGAAGACAAGTTGACAGGAGATAAATTGAAAGATTATAAAACTGCTATTTCTGTACGTTTTCCCCCTCTGTCTTTGGTCTTCTCTTCACTGTTTCATTTTATTTTATTTCCCATTTTGATCTTTCTTCTTCTTCATCTGCTCATGCTATGATAATGGGATGCTACGATATGTGAAATCTGGGAGTATGAAATACCAAAATTTTAGAAAACTTGGATATTCGGACAATCGGACAATCGGACAATCCTCAAACGTCTTTTCTCTCCATCTGATACCTATTTGTTCACTGCGGATGTAGTGAAACCGTGGAGAAAATTGATGATGCAGAGAATAGATATCCGAAGAGATTTACGAAATATCGATCAAATACCTTGTGCTCGTACTAGTTTCTTATATGGTATAGCTGGAGGTAGTGGGATAGGAGCTGTTCGATATTTAGGTGGTAAGAATGTGAGATCTGCTAGTCATTGGGCTGTTTTTGGTTTCATCACTATTTCCGTTATACAATGGTGAGTTGTACATCTTTTTCTTCTATCCTGCTTTTTGTCTCACTTCCCACTAACCCTCCCTCCCAATGAGTCATGGTCTGTATCGTATCTCCCCTCTTTCCTTTATCGTGGACATCATGTATCCAAGATGTGAATATGTCAGTGTACGCTCAAAGAGTATGGAGAAAACACGACCAGTGTTGACTTGTCAAGGGAGTTATGTAATCGCGCTCGAGCCAAAGAATTACAACGTATGCGCACGATCCAAGAACATTTCCCACATCGACACATTTCCAAATTGAAAAGAAAAGAGGATGCCGAGTCAGAGTCAAAGTGATGGCAGATCAATGTAAACTATTCATGCACAATTCATCTCATACTACCAACACATGATGGTCGTGGACCGATGTCGACTTTTGCGATGATCGGCATGTTCGTGTGATTGGAGCGGAATGTGTAGGGAGATCACAGCTCTTGGTCGTCCTGTTTATCAGTCATTATACCCTATCACTAGCAGCTGGGAAGAAGCAGAACAGATGTGTGTGTCAAAGACTCGATAGGTCCAGAACGTCTGGAAGGAGGAGAGCATGGTACATGTCATGACCCACCTCGTCCGGAAGGGGCGCGTTGGCAGCCTGTTTAAGCTCCTCATCGTATTTAGCCATAAGAGCAGGGTCGACCTGCACTTCGGGAGGTGCGAGAGCGGGAGCAGCGACAAAGTCGAGTGACTGGTTACTGTTGATTAGAAGCAAGTTGGTTCATTGAAGGTATCACGAACCCGACCAATTTCCTAGCCAGCCACAAGAATGGCTTTTCGAAATTGTACTATTGGTCAGATTTGTGTCTCGAGGTATCATCACCTTAATGACTTACGTTGGATTTCGCGGAAATTTCGTAATACTGCAAATTCTCTAGAGATCTCTCAGCAACACTTCGCAAGGTCCAAAAGCGTGTACCCACTCTTTCGGTGGAATGTGACTTGACCAGTCTTGACTTTCCTCTCCTATTCACATCAGCATTCACCAAGATCAAGCAGAAAGAAGAAAGGGAGAACCCACTTTGACATCCACTTTGTTTCCACAGAGTACGATGGGAATGTTCTCACAGACACGCTCCAAATCACGATGCCAGTTGGGCACGTTCTTGTAGGTGATACGAGAAGTCACATCGAACATGATGATACCACATTGACCCTGGATGTAATAACCATCCCTCAACCCACCAAACTTCTCTTGGCCGGCCGTGTCCCAAACATTGAAACAGATCGTTCCGAAGTTGGTGTGGAATGTAAGAGGGTGAACCTCTACTCCGAGAGTGGCTGGTGGATCAGTTTATACTCATTGCACATCTAAATGCCGTGGGACGGGGTGTTGTGAAGAGTGGCGAAAAGTCTCACCGATGTATTTTTTCTCGAATTCACCTAAAGGATCAGCGGCAAACAACTTTTCTCAACATTCGAAAATTGGCTCACCGGTCAAGTGACGTTTGACAAAAGTGGTCTGTGACGTTAGCTTTAGCTGGAATGTCCTCTGAGATGGCTCACCTTGCCTATTGTTGAAAAGGGAGAAAGGCTATGTCAGCAAGAAATAAGAGCAAACCGTCAGAACATACCCTAACCAAGTCAGCCCGAGCGCCACCTTTCGACGAGCTACAAGAGAGACTTACGGTACCACCATCTCCACAGAGTACGAGTTTGAAAGTCGCAGTGTTTTCAGCTGCCATGATTGATGACGAAAGGAGAGGAATGAGAGTGAAAAGAGAGAGGCGAAGTGGAAGGAGACAAAGTTGAAGCAGACTTTGCCTTGAAGAACCCACGCCTGGCACCACCAACCTTTGAATATTTTCGCCGCTTTTATTTTACTGCATTTATCCCACCATACTGGGTCCGCTCTCATGAAAAGTTGGCCTCAAGTTGTCTTTTTTCAGACTGTGTAAATCTGAAATTTTCTACTCTTAGGTCAGAGATCAGAGACGTCACAGATCACAGAAGAAGGGTCAGAGACATCACAACGTTACAAAATGGCTTCCAAAAGCATATTCCGACAACCAGGAGCGCAACACTTTCAGCTCGTCCACAGATCCCTAAGAGATCCCCTCATCGATGACCCCGATGCTCCTCAGCGAGTCCTCAAAGCAGTTGACAGACCCAATGAGAAGAAGGTGAGTTTCGCTTCCTTCCCTACTGGTCGGCATCATATCTTCTATTTTGTACTCCATGAGCTGAAGAACAGTCCACTTACACCCTCGCGGACCTCGAAACGACACTGGACAAGAAACAAGTTCGAGACAATGAAGGTGAAGCAGCGTTATACGGTATCACATACGATGATTCCTCTTACGACTATATGGCTCATCTTCGACCTATCGGTGCTCCTGGTGCATCCGAAGTCGTTCTCATCCCTGGTCCAAGAGGGTCTGGAGTTGCAAAGGGGATGAAAACTCAAGCTCGTGGAAAAGGTAAAGGTAAAGATGATGAGCTCTTTGATCTTCTTCCACCAGAGGTTCTGCCCGGTCCCGACAGTAAGACCATGCAGGAAGTATGGGCCAGTCAAGAAGCTGTACCTCCTGAATTACAAGGGTTACAACCTGATATGGACCCTCATCTTAGACAGGTGCTCGAAGCATTGGAGGACGACGCTTTTGTGGATGATGAAGGGGACGGGGAATGGTTTGAGGAGTTGGTAAAAGGTGGAGAAGCGAAAGATGGACGAAGAGCTGAGTACGAGTTTGTAGAATGGGGTGCTGAGAAGGATGAAAAGAGGGCAGATAAACGGGAAGAGAAAGGTGGCGGAGAAGGTACTTGGGAGAATATGATGAAAGCTTTCAAGTCTGAGAGGAAGCCAAGTGGGTCGGATGAGGAAGAGAGTGAAATGGCAGATACGGTAGGTTCGTTGGCTTCCAATATGAAGGATATGATGGTTCTTGGAGGAAAAAAGAGAAGAGGGAAGAGAGGTCCTTCTGATGCAACTGGGATGAGTATGAGTTCTTCGAGTATGTGGAGGAATGAAGGGTTGAGGACGTTGGACGAGCAGTTCGATCAGGTGAGTTTCACTTCGGTATCTCTATGTCCTTACAAGTCCCCTTACCAATCTCAAAGGTCTTTTATGCCTTCCTCCATCGATCTTCAATATCGCTACAGCTTCTCTGAGATGGGAGACTATGGCTTGATGAAGACCGAGTGGATCTGCCAATTATGGGCCTTATGTTTGTTTCTTGCTCGGGAGAGAGAGGACAGACGGGTGTGCCTTGGTAGTAGAAGGAAAGAGAGGATCACCTCGCAATGAAAAGTCTCAGTGCTCACAGTAGCTTGGGAAACAATATGAACTCGACGAAGAAGATTTCCCCGATGACGTATCCGTAGCAGCATCAACAATGACCAGTATGACTGGTCTCTCAACTTCATCCCGTCTTTCACTCCTCTCTCACGCTTCCCGCGCTCCACCTCCACCTCCTGAATTGACAAGGGATGACTTCGAAGCTATAATGGATGATTTCCTTGATAATTATGAAATCCTTGGATCGCACATGCGTCCTTCCCTTGGATCTACTTCTTTGACCGGTCCTGAGAAATTACGAGTTTTGAGGAATGCCATTGATTCTGATGAGGGAGTGGGGAAAGAAGAGAATAGAAGGAGGATCATGGAGTTGGAAAGGATCACTAGGGAGTATCAGAAAGAAGATAGGGATAAATTACCTATGAGGGAGATAGTGGGTAAGGATAGAGATCAGTGGGATGCTCAGACAATCATCTGTCAGTGTTCCATTTTCGTCAGACTTTCCATTTCTTTCGTCAGACTTACCATGCTCCAAGACCGAAATCATCATTCATCATCGAGCCAGGGCTTCAGAGAGCTCATGAACTTGTGAAGAGCTGACAAGTAGCAACATATACAAACACGGAGAATCATCCCGCAGTCATACGAACCAAACGACCCTCCGAGATGAAAAAAGCTGCAGCTATCAATTTTTCTTCCCAAGACTCCCACCCTCGGGCAGACCATCAGTCTCACCAGATCACTGGAAATACACTACACAATGAGGGTGTTGGGGAAGGTAGAGATGGGTCAGAAAGAGAAGATGATGAATCGGATTCAGGTAGTGAAACGGAACGTGAAACACCTACAACGATAACTCGAATAAAAGGAGAAACGACACAAGAACGTAAAGCTAGAAAATCAGCTGTTAAAGCTGATAGAGCTTCAAGGAGACAAGAGAAAAGAGAACATCGTGAAACTTTTTCGAGTGAAAGGAAAAGACAATTGAACGCTCATAAGAGGTTGGTAGGAGGTGGTAAAGCTGCTGATTTGAATATCGTTTCGAGAGGTGTACTTTCTCTCAGCTGAAGTGAATCTTCCCGCATGTCTATTCATTTCATCACCAATTTTCGATGTCATATCAAGCTTAGGTGACTCTTGTACATCCATCATACATAAATCATTGCATGCATCGTTATCGTTATTGTTATCTGCCCAACATTCTGCGAAAATCTATTCCGTGTGTTTCAACACCACCCTGATTCTTGATTTGTGATTCTCATCGTGATATCTTTCCGACTTATACTTCATGAAGACATGACATTCCCTAATATCTAAATCATCCGTTCATCCGCACATGAATAAGATCAAGTTCAAACTTTACAACTACCCTTTGAGGAATTCTTAAACTCCTTCACGTTTGATAAACCTGATGGAGAAATTATTCGGAGTCAAAGTCAAAACCTCATAACCATCCGTCATCCTCAACTTCAACTCTTCATCCGTTTCATCTTTATTCCTAATAGGTTCAAACCTAAACTTCTTGACTATACTAGCCAAAACAGCCGTCATTTCAACTTCTGCGAATCTTTTACCTATACATTGTCTCTGTCCCGCTGAGAAAGAAATCGATAAATTCTTATTGATCACTCCTTCTCCTCCAAACCATCTGGTCGGATCCCAAGTTTGAGTATCACGCCAGAAAAAAGGATTATGTCCTACAGCTGGTCCATCAATGACTATATGATCACCTTTTTTGATAGGATGTATATGATGGGTTGTATTACCGTGATCATCCCATGTTGTATAAGGAATGGAAGTGTCTTCCATTGCTAGTTTAGGGAGAGTCATAGCTAAGTCTCTAAGTCGAAGGGATTCGAATACACATGCTAGGATGGATGGCATGTTGTTGACTTCTCGATATGCTGAGGTCAGCGTGACACATCAATGACCATATGGCAAAGATCACATCTTTGTTTGAAGATCTGAGACTTGTCGCGGAATGTCAATGTATCGTGGGTGAGAATATGGGAGAATATTGTCTTAACAATCTCACCCCCCGGACTTCTCCTGCTAAAAGTGCGGTTGCGCGGACTGGTAAGCCAAGCAGATGGACGAAGAATCACACAGTGGGTGGTTGATGAAGGCGTAATAATCAATCGGTCGATCATGATGATTGAACAGCAGAAGTAGTAGAATAACTCACTCGGATAAGCACCATGACAAGCTTCTTCAATTTCCTTGAAAATCTTTTCTTGCCATTCAGGATAGACAGAAAGATAACCCAAAGTGAAAGCCAACATGTTCCCAGAAGTTTCATGACCAGCAAGGATGAAAATCCCTTCTTTTTCAGCCCCATTTTTTGCCTCGCATGTATATTGTACGACTTACAAACAGTGGCAACTTGTTCTTCCGCCGTCAAACCAACTTGTCTACTTCCCCCTCTTAATTTCTCCTCGGCTTCTACACTCATTTGACTCGCAACGATAGCTCCTAAGAGATCTGAAGGAGGTTTGATCTTCTCTCCTGGGTTCAAACCTTCCTGTTCGGCTTTGAGAACAGCTCGGCGGGTTTCGATCATATTTTTAAAATGATGGACCAAAGATCGTTGTGCTTTTCCGAGTCGACGGACGGAGGAGAGTGGGAAGTTTTCCAATAACCAAAGAGGGACCAAGAGTTCGGCGGTGATGTTGACCTCTACGAGATGTAAAGCTTCGTAGAATGGTACTGAATCGTCAATGGTCGTTCGCTAACAAAGTTCGAGTGAGAAGTTGACGATTGAGGTTGTCAGGATAGACAAGATACGTACGGATTTCACCATGAGTTTCGGGGACTTTCCATGGGAACTTTACGCCGAATCCAGCTGCACCAATGATGAGTAATGTGAGCTGATGTCAGCGTTTTATACCCTCTGATTAATACGAGATATCCTCCTGCTGATGAGAGCCACTATGACGAAAACAGCTTAAGCAGGCAGCTCCAGCTTGATTTGGAATGGCCGGGGCACTTCCGGCGAGTACGAATCTGAATGGAAAGCCGGACTCACCTTATACATGGCCAATCTGACATTGTCTAAAACACCACCATCTTCAAGTCCTTCAGCGACATACATATCACCCAGACATTCCACAGCTTTGTCCCATGCGGTCATCATGACTTCCTCCCCAAAGCAACCTTTTACCACATTCCGATGTCTGCGATGTTCTGGTCCGCTCTGCGTGGAAGTAAGTTGTAGTCCAAAAATGTTGATGGCTCGATAACGAAACACGTGGATGGGTTTACCGAAAGTGAGAACATTTGTGGAAATCTTCTGAGCTACTTGAGGGTTAGAAGTGGAGTAAACTGCGTAACCTGGGGTTGTTGCTTGAGTGTAGGCTATGAGGTCTGATTTGGCATGTTCGTATTCTTCTTGTGAGCTGGAATGTCTCCGTCTTTTTTGCACTGTCCATTCACTTCGAATTCTCTGCTTGTGTCCTTTCCAAAATCTTAAGAGTCCTCCTGTGAAGCCATCGAAACGTCTCACTTGCCTCACTGATCGCAAGATGATATTCAAGAAGGAATGTTCGTCATATGAACGGTAGTTGGTGATGAAAGTCAAAGAAGACTCACTTTTCCAAGGTTCTTTCAAAGTGAAATCCTTTGCAGGGAGTAGAAAAGGTATATGAGGTAAATTCCATCGATGACCAGCTTCGAAAACCTCTATCGCCGAATTAATCTTTTTCAATCCTCTCACTCGCTATTCTCATCAGCTGCTCTCTTCTTCCTGCGCGCTCACGGGACTCACATAGTGAACTTTAAGATATCTGAAGAACCAAATGAAGATATAAGTTCCAAAACCTATTCCTACTGTCATCCATGCGTCCTCTTTGGTCCAATCATGTTGTCCGATCTTGGCCCAGATCTCTGACCCGATAGACCGGAGATGTTTCATATCCATCCTACGATCTTTCTTCACCAAATGCAGTCAGAGAGTCAAATGAGGTGAATAAAATCAGGTGAGGTTGTATGGCTGCTGTATAGAGGTAGTTTGATGGAACTATATATGTGAGTTGGGGATGAACAAGGGAAAAAAGCTACGCCAATCGGATACCTTGGAATTGGTTGAATTGGGGGATTATGATCGTCACCGACGCCCCTTACTTTAGCTTTATCATGTTCGGGTCAGATGCAGATGATCCAGGTGGCAGATGAAAGGGTTAACTTATGTCAATAAACCTATGCCGATGGTCATACATAATGTTTGATCATTGATGCAACGGGTACCGAGTGAGAGACGGTGTGCGATGGCGCGCGATGGGATATGGAAGGTAGGAGGACGCATGATTCAAGACACACATGCTGACAAAGTCATGATGTACGACTATTATGATTGAACCGAGAGATGAGGGATTGAGGGGCTACCTTTTAGTGTCATTTGCCTGTCGTCGATAGCTATTACTATCCTTCGTACCTATTCAGGAACAACACTAGACATCTCCCTCTTCTTCATCTTCTTTTTCGTCGCTCCATACCATGGTCACTATGGTCACTGTCAGTCTTGTCAGTTGTCATGATTGTCGATCGTCGTCTTGATTCCTGTTCAATGTCAACGCACCGTGTCTCGACGCCCTCTCTCCGGGGATCAAAAAATGAGTCGAGATATGAGGGAGGGTAAGATTGTCGGATTTGTCTAGATTGTGGCGTTGACGCCACACCATCATACCGTTTTGTCCATCAGTGAACAGTGAACAATGACTGTGCGCCGTAAAGAGATAATTGTCTGTGTAGCCTAAGCTGTAAGGTGGAGGTGACGAGAACAACCAAAGAGAAACACAACATTCTCGCTTGTGATGGCTTGTCGCTTGGATTATTCCGTCGGAAATTGGCACTCGAGATTCGTGGCAAGTGGCGAAGAAAGTCAGTGGATTGGTCCTATCTGTGTGAAATCATCATCACTATCATTGCATACATCATTATCATTCAAAACATTCCAAACTCTTCATCCTCAGATATCCAACCTGTTCACAGATCTCAATTTGAACATTCATCCCGGAAAATTCCCTCGTTCCATTCCATTCCCGTCTGACCAACTAATCCCCTCGCTCATGCTCCCTGTCGTTTGGTAAATTTCAGAGGAAAGCTGTTCGGGGTCAATAAAAAGACCTCGTGACCTTGTGTCATACGATCATACATCTGTTCGTCCGTCTCTCCTTTTTGTCTCACAGGTTCAAACTTGACTTTCTTGATGAGGGTAGAAAGTATGGCGGTCATTTCGACTTCTGCGAACCGTCTACCGATACACGCTCTCGGACCAGCAGAGAAATTGAAGAGGTGGGATCTGTTTTTGTTCCCTTCTTCACCATACCAACGTGAGGGATCCCATCGATGGGGATCACGATAAAAGAATGGGTTCTGTCCTGATGCGGCGAAATCGACGAGGACATGAGACCCTTTTTTGATCGTGTGGGTGTGATTCGTTATTTGGCCAAGATCATCCCATGTTGTGTAAGGCAAAACCGTATCTTTCAAAGCCAATTTCTGATTCAATGAGATCAAATCACGTAGTCGAAGAGTTTCATAAACGCATGCAAGGACAGACGGTAGGTTGTTCATATCTCTGTAAGCTGTATACATCAACATGCTGATCTATCACAAAAACCGCAGCACCACTTTCGGGACGGAACCTCATTTGTGCTAGGAGAAAGAGGAAGGAAAAAAGACTTACTAGGGTGAGACCCTTGGCAAACCTCTTCTATTTCCTGGAATATCTTTTCTTGCCATTCTGGATACATCGCCAAGTGACCCAGGGTGAAGGTCAGCGTTTGTCCCGACGTTTCATGACCGGCAAAAATGAAGATCCCTGGTATTCATCAACGTTTGGCTCGATCCAAAATCAAAGTCAACTCACAGACATTACCCATTTGTTCTTCCGACGTGAGGCCAGCTTTACTCGTGCCTTTACCACCACGAGCCTTTTCTTCCGCCTCGATGTCCATCTGACTAGCAACGATCGCACCGAGCAAGTCGGATGGCGACTTGATCTTCTCTTGCGGACCAAGACCGGCTTGTTCGGCCTGTAGGGCATCACGTCGAGTTGCAATCATAGTTTTGAAGTGATGTCTCAGGGATCGTTGTGCGTTGCCCAATCGGCGGACTGAAGGCAAAGGAAAATTCTCTAGGATCCAGACTGGCACCAGTAATTCGGCAACGAGGTGATATTCCACCAGGTGCAACGCTTCATGGAATGTCACTACGTCATAAGCTTCTCCCTTCCCATTCCCCCAGTTCGTTTGATCTTAGTATAGTCAAGACCACACAGTGGTAAAGAAATGTCAACGACTCACGGGATCCGCCTTCTGTGGTAGGAATCGACCAAGGGAACTTTAGACCAAACCCAGCAGCTCCAATGACGAGCAAGGTGAGCTAATGTCAGCTCGGCCCCCCCTCTCCTTCTCCTTCTCCCTCTCGTCCCCGTTTCGAATTCAATCTCTGACCCGAATCTGACGGGGTAAAGTAGCGCTGGCGACGTGTGAGATCAACTTACCTTGTACATAGCCTCACGCACATGCTCCAAAACCCCACCGTCCTCCACCTTCTCTGTCGAAAGCATAGTGTCAAGAGATTCAATGCTTCGATCCCAAACCGTTCTCATGACTTCCTCGCTGAAACACCCCTTGACGACACTACGATGTCTTCGATGTTCAGGACCGCTTTGAGTTGAAACCAACTGCTTGCCAAATACATTAAGCTGTTTGTAGCCCATTGACTCAACAGGTTTGCCAAAACTGAGTACGTCTGCCAGTACCTTTTGTACCACTTGCGGATTGGAGATAGAATAGACTGCATAGCCTGGGGTGGTTGCTTGAGTATAGGCGATGAGGTCGGACTTGGCTGTTTTGTATTCTTCCAGTCAGCCCTTCGTTTCATCTCTCTAGATGTCTTCCACGTTTCGTCAACTTCCGCAGTAAGTGAAAGGGCTGGAGGTGGTGACGTGGCTGAGAAATAGTGTCAAAAAGAAACATATGAAAGAAAAGAACAAAGTAGGGTGTATGTGATCAAATTTGCAAGGATCGGAATATTGGTAGGAAGACCCACTTTTCCAAGGATCTTGCAGAGTATACTTCCTTGTGGGTATCAGGACAGGGATGTGAGGTATCTTGGTGCGATGAGGAGCCTCTAGTACCTCTATCAACGAATGAATTGTGTAAAGTCCACGGACTTGCTATCACGTCAACCTGTTTTCTCTTCTTCCCCTCAAGACATGGATAACTCACTTGAAACAATTGGACGTATCGATATAGCCAAAGGACCATACAAGTTGCTAAAACTATCTCCGCAGCCAGCCAGGCATTCTTGCTCGAGAAAGTCTCCTTATTGGTCTGCCATCTGTCGAAAACCTGTTGGAAGCTGTTCATTTTGGATCTCGATTGGGAGATCAGCACAGTGAGGAGAAGAACGCAAACCGTCTCTTTATTAGCCCGTGGGGGTGATGAGATTTCATCTCTCGAACCCATGCCGGTTATGGCAATCCGATTCCAAACGTGTTATCTTCTGCCGAGCATGCTCGAAGGGGATCTGAATCATGGGGCCCAAGTACGACGTTCGCTAGCCCGCTGGCCGAGGATGTCAGATCGATTGGCGCAGCCCCTAGTCTGATTAGGCAACTCGTTGTATGTCTCTTGATCCAACAGAACCTCCTTGTGACGACTGATGGATGAATTCCCGGATCCTGGTTGTGCCGATCTGGTACGATAGTGTCTATCAAGCTTTGCCATCGCGTAACTTTAGGGAGCTCGAAAGCTGATGCCCAGCGCCCCACGGATCATCCGGTTACTGTCCGAGAAAATCATCCAGCAGAGGCTAGCCGGATCGGTAAGACGCTCTCCTGGCTGCAGTGATGCTGGAATGTGAGTAGTAAGCCGCTGTGTGCAGGTAATATGGGATTGCAATGCAAGCACGCTCCATAATCATGAGATTTTCTACTTTGTTAGCATGACTTTTGTTGTCCGCCATCACTTACATAAGAACCATAATCTTTATCCGGATCGTAGACCTCCCATCTCGATGCAGGAAAGATCTGCCCATCAGCATCTGGACAAGGATTCACTCTCTGAGGCGTATTTATGTCACATGTATGGACGCATGGCGACGGATCAGCGGCCGGAGTGACACGGGCGCCGACGTGAGAGGCATTCCACTTACATGCTTGAATCGGTTATACCATGATCGCTCGACTACCTTGCCGGCATGACTTTCATCTTTCTCCTTTGTGGCGTCCGCTACCATCCGTATATCGTCGTGGACGTCGAAACTGAATAAAGGACCTGATTTCCCACGGGCTTTGTTGATGATAAAGTCATAAAATGTGTAGTGCTGATGGTGAGCCGAACTTTTACTGAATTCGGCATATGATCAATGATCATCCGCCTCCACTTTCACTCACATGAGGAATGATGAGATCTTCCTGATTACATCAGCATCGAGAGAAGAAAAAGTGGGGAAGAGACTGACTTTGATATACATGAGATTATCAACCGAAGTGGCTCGCAGTTCAGGGAATTGAAGGCGGCATTTTGATAGAAAGGTAGCTACGTCGTCACCCTTCTTGACCTGGCTTGCGTTAACATATTTCTCATGTCTTCGTAATGCAGACCCCACTTTGAGTTCAAATTTCAACTGATTTGGACTAGTAAACAGCAGAGGAAAGATAAGTAGAATGAATACGTACTTCAACAGATTTCCTATGTCCACTCCCATCCCAGAAAGAATAAGTGACCTCTATAGGTTCCTGTTTGATTTTCTCTTGGTGAGCCAGCCATACCTTTCTCAACTCTTCTCTTTCCACCCTTTCCCTTTCCTCTCTTTCTCGATCGGGTAAGAATGAAGTATCGACATTTGGGTTTTTGGTGAACCTCCTTTTCTTCGTCTCGGGTTCTGAGCGGCATCAGCTGATTTTTTCGAGCTGTCATGATCACTGACCTGATGTTTCGACAGCTGTTTCGGGCTCAGGGGGTGGTTCTTCATCTTCAAAAGACAGCTTAATCTTCTCTTTCCGTTTGCCTTTCGCTGCCTTCTCTTTCCCTCTGGGCGTCAGCTCTCGTTTACGAGTTCAATCCCTTTTGAATAGAATTCGGGAACCCATATGTATGAAGGTCAAATACACATGTAGGTGACGGATCGCTATGACTATGACCCCCACCGCGATTCTTTGAAGTGAGTATGGAGTGGTAGGATATGGTATGATGTTGAGTTCTCGAGTAAGTTATGTAGTCATGACGAACTTTCCGAACAATCTGTGAAGATAGCTTAAGTGAATCACATAGGAAACCCACGCTTTATCTTTCAAACTCTTAGCTACAGCCTGAGAAGTCTCCTCCAATAGTCCCTCCTTCGTCTTCTGAAAATCGGACAAAGTGACCAGACCGATGGTCGATTTTTTCAAACGTTCATCGAGGTTTTCAGTGACACCTACGAACCGATCGGCTGTGTGATCTTTCTGAGAGTCCTAATCATCAGCATCAACTTCATCATAGTAGACTTCCGACCTCCCGACCGAAATAATAAAAGAGAGAGACAACTCACTCTCAAGATAGCTTCGCGTTGTCTTTGATGCTCTGCCTGCCCCGCTTTACATTAGCCGTTCTTACATTTCACTCGTGGTGAAGAACGTACGGCTTCTCTTTCACGTTGTTTGGCTAAGATTAGATCCTTCCTTACTTCCTCTGGAGGACGGTTTCTGTGCATTTTCAGAAATCTAACTTCCTATGGGTCTGTTGTAACCTGATAGTGGAGGTCTTTGTTGCTTGTTGCTCGCACAAGAGGCATATGAAGTAAGTAAATACATATGCTTAATTCCAAAACCATCCAATAATTCAGGAGGAGCGGAAGCAAAATTTCTTCCCAACTCTCATCCAAATCCAAGACTTTTTTGACCCAGTTCGACTTTCTTCAGTCAAACCACCCACACACACAAGTATTCTGCTCGCAGCTCAATAAGTCTTGTTCGAGAAAAAAGAACTACATAGTAAGAAAAAGTCATCATGTCAACTTTGTTCGGAGGTAGCGGCTCATCCGGTGAGTCCATTCCGTTCACCCTCATCACCCTATGTCTTCGATTTGTCTCGTTCTGTGACTCATGGCTCAGCTAGAGTGATCCCTCCTGACGCAACTAACTTTGTCTCTTCCGACGTAAAGGACAGGCTGGATAGGGACTGAAGGTTGTGATTGGTTTATCAGATGAAATATACTTTCAACTTGGACAGGGACGATGCTCAGCGGAGTGAAGATTTGCTAAATTGTAGATATGAAGACTAGGAAGGATCAAATGAAACAACAGATCTCACAAGAATTAGCTGTTGCTAATGCTCAAATGCTATTGAATAAGATTAACGAGAATGTCAGTCATCCGTCTTGATATCCTCCCCTTTGAATCCTTGCTCCTCACTTACATTCACTAAATCCTCTCTGTATTCGTCACAGAGATTGTGTGTCATTGTTGGGGTCATTAAGGCAAGTTTTGAGTGATATGACTGATAGTAGTGTTTCGCAAAATGTGTCACTCGACCTTCTACTTCTTTATCCTCTTCGGAAGAAGTGAGTTTTCATTTCGTCTCATGTTCCCACCGTCGTATGAACCGCCTTATCTCCCCACTTCTACCCAACGAGGTTCAATCGAATCCTCGATATATGATGCTTTGGAACGGAAAGGGGGTGATTTATGAAGTCAAGAGCAGTGGATACGTCAAGAATAGAGCTCATCTATAGCAATGTCTATCACGGTGTATGACCCTTTACATGAGTGCATTTGACCAAGTGTCAAGGAGCTACGTGGCTCGGATTTCTCGAGAAAGGGGACAAAACGGATTATCTGCAGGCTTAGATGACCAGTTATGAACTTCAGAACACATATGAATGTAGCATAAATGCATCATCGCTCTTTATCTCTTCGCTCGGATTCCTCCCTCCCCGACTGCTTACCCACACGAAGATGCCAAATTGATATAGGTAGCAAGACTAGTCATCATCCCCGTTTTCTTCACGCCATACTACATACACTCTCCGTCTATTTGACTCTACCGCATGTTCATCAGAAGCAGCGGAAAACATAGCCTTCAATATCGCTACTTTCAAAGCTCCTGCCCCCGGTCCTATCTCGGCTCCTGCTAATTCTCGCCCATCGGTGGAATGCATGATGATATGTGCGTAGATCGGTTCGTCCCTCTTTGCTCGTTTGGCAGATGGTTCCTCTCCCTCGGAGTGTTCCTCACCGATGGGTGAAGCCCGGTTTAAAGCTGATAGGAGGGGATGGAAGAGAGCCATCATGAGACGTGAATGTATTGTTGGAGTAGGAGTTCGAGCGAGAAGGGTAATATGAGGTTGAAGGATTAAGACCAAAGGGCAAAGAGACTGAAGAGTCAGATGAGAAATCCTCTTCTCTTCAACTGGAATAGAGTTCATGGACTTGGTCTGAATATGTTTCTGAGTATGACACGGAGTTAGGTAGTATTCTCAGAGCACAATAGGGAGAAAGTGAGTTAAGGGTAGGACAGAGTAAGAGATCTGAAGTGATACACACCTTCGAAGTTACTTCTGGTAAAGCCAAAACCTTATCAAGTTCTTCCAAATATACATCCGCCAGATGGTTCGCTAGACCAGCAGGAACTTTACGATCTTGCCATCTACACATGAGTTTCTACCCATTTCAACAAAGACCGAACTCACGTGAGAGGGCCATGTGGTCCACCGAGGATAGAATTCACAGCTTCCACAGACGATATCGACCAGTTTTCTCGAGCTAGGAGACGAAAGGTGGCATTGACGTATCGTCTGATGAGGAGTAGATATTTATCAATCCTACGACATTAATTTAGTCATGACCTTTCGACCATCTCCTTTACCTCCTTTACAGTCCTTGCTTCTTCACGGCCCGAGGACATGTACGACCAAGGGTGACAAGACCACCCATCAGAGCCCCCCTCCCCCTTCCCGTCTTCGTATCAGCCAATGGGAGAGGGAATACGAGGAGTATGAAGTATGCATGATTTGAAGTGAGGTGAGACAAACCCCACCTTAACCGGTCAAGACCATGCCATTCCCGTACGATAGCCTCCCAAAACCCATTCAAGAAATCAATCGAAGCTTGAAAACGATCCATATTTCTATCCTGGTTCTCAAGTTCAGAAGAAGGGTTGATGAGTAATAACAATTCGGCTAAATCATTCGCAAAAGCTTGTTGGACTAAAGGTTTGTCTGACATCCAAAAACCTGATTGAGTGTCAGTGTGACTTTTCTTCACAGATTGTGTTATTTGCCCCGATGCAGGGCCAACGCTACCATTCAGGTTTTCAAGAGAATTTTGAAAATCTTGACCGTTACAGACTTATGGGGTTCACTGTCCATAGAGTGGTCCGTTCGGAGATGAAAAGAGGGTGTAGATGGATTCAATAGTAGTTTGGCAAGAGATGTGAAGGAGGTTTGGACAGGGACAGAGGGGGAAGGGGGATGAGAGAGTCTTACAGTAAAATAAACTCTTCCATAATTTAGTCATCTCCATTTCTGAGATCTTTCCCGAACCTTGAGAGAGAAAAGCTACTAAACCTTTGAAAGCTTTATCTCTGATTTTCTTATCTGTTCGTCAGTGGGACCACGACGTTTGACTGACAGGACCTTCTTAAACAGATCTTCAGTCAGGTGAATAATTCATCCAAAATGAGAGTAAGGATACTGGAGAGCTGTGAGTGGAGTCAATCTGAAGAGTGGAAAGATGGGCCAAGTAACTCAAGGTTACACAGTTACTGAAGTGAAGGAAGGACGACTCACCTGTATGCACAAGAAATTTTCCTGCTGGTATTTCCGCTTCTATAGACTCTTCCAGGACCTCCCTCGACTTGCCTTTCAGTTTCTTGGCCGATGTCGCCGTCATGGTCGTTGATGTGGTTGTCATTTTTGAAAGTCGAAAGTTGGTCAACTGACATTGGAACAGTTTGCAACTTTTTACTTCCGCTCTTCCGTCGGAAGCAGTCTCACTCTTTAAGATGTCGTAAATGTTCCCAATATTAATGTGGAGCATTGCCTCGCGATTGCCAGGATTACCAGTCAGTCAGAAACTCATGAAGAGGCCAGCGTAGATTCATCACCAGAAGGCACGCCATTTCAGTGCAGATTCTCATGCATACATGACATTCTTTTCCCAGCTAACACCTTACTCCTGCATCCTCCTAAACGTTTCTTGTATCTCATTGTACAAAGCCTCAAACTTACCTTTGATGTCCTCTTCGCTCTGCGAGTTGGGCGATTCAAACTTCATCTGAGATAATTTGTACATGACATCGGAAGTGGCATCTCTGATCTGTTTCTATTAGCTCATGGTCTATTAGAAGAATCGCCTACTAGCTCACCTTGGCGAAAGTGGTATCGGATGTCTCCACCGCTCGCTGACATAATTCAAAGTATGTGACGAAATTACGCAGCATACCTGCCGTTTTGTAGAAAGGACAGTATCGGTCGTATTCGGATATACCGTTTTGCTGCAAAAAGTCGTCCTGAGATGTCAGCCAAAAATTGCTGCCATCGAGAATATCTGGAATGGGTTTTCACTCATCTCTGAAAAGCCAATGAAAGCAGGGGACACGACTCACCTTGAGCATCCGCGCGACTTCCAGAGTAATCTTATCACTCTCACCCAACGCACTTTTGCCTACCAACTGGACAATCTCCGCCAGGTCTTGCTCTTTCTGCAAGATCTCCTTGGCTTTTGCCCGCAGTTCGATGAACCCAGGGTTGTTCTTCTCGTAGTGCGGATCGAGGATTTTGAGGTATTTAGAATACGACACGTTCCAATCAACAGAAGGGAAATGTTTCCTCTGCGCCAATGTTTTAGACAGACCCCAGAAGACTTGGACGATACCGAGCGTGGCAGAGGTGACTGGATCCGAAAAGTCACCGCCAGGAGGAGATACGCTGAACATCAGCATATAGCAGCCTGATTGCGCGGGATTTCGACCGTGAACGGAGAAGCATGAATTATCACCACTCACGCTCCAACGATAGACACGGTTCCATGACGTTCCGGACTACCCAAACAAGTGACCTTACCCGCACGTTCGTAGAAACCGGCGAGTTTAGCTCCTAAATAAGCTGGGTAACCCGAATCAGCAGGCATTTCTGCCAATCGACCTGAAATTTCTCGCAAAGCCTCGGCCCATCGCGAAGTCGAATCAGCCATCATCGAGACGTTCTGACCTTGATCACGGAAGTATTCGGAGAGGGTGATACCAGTGTAGATGGAGGCTTCTCGGGCAGCCACGGGCATGTTGGAAGTGTTGGCGACGAGGGCAGTACGTTTCATGATGGGTTCCTCACGTCCGTCACGTTCCAATGTGAGTTCGGGGAACTGACAATTAGCATGTAATAGTAAGATTAAAAAGACAACGTACATCGGCCAATACTTCTGCCATCTCATTGCCTCTTTCTCCACAACCGACATAAATGATGATGTCCGAGTTCGAGAATTTTGAAAGAGCTTGACTCTGTATCATGTTAGCTCAGAATCCGACAACAGGATTTTGACCCACGATGACAGTCTTCCCGCTGGGTCTATCAGCAACGATCAACTTCGGGGACTAGACAACGTACCATCCAAAAGCACCGGGAATAGCAGTGGTTCCACCCTGAACACAAGGGAACAGGGCGTCAAGTACACGTTGGCCTGTGAAGAGGGGATAGGTCGCTGTCTCTTTCTCCGCAACAGGTCGAGGTGCTCGGACAGGCCAAAGCTGCATCATTGTGTGCCCAGTCTTCTTACCCTGGAATTCGGTCTCCAGCACGACATCCTATCTCATCAGCTACATTTCTCACCTCTTCACGTTCCCGATTGTCGAGAGTTTGAGGCAGGGGTGTATGGATTTGATCTTCAAACATGATGAAAGATCTGGGGTACTCACCTCCACGGTATAACTGCCCTTCTCGGCAATATGAGTGACAGTGCCCATTGCCCTGGGAGGCAACATGATCTTATGATTGTCCACCAATGAGTTTTCATAGACCGATCCAAAGATATCACCTCCAGTGATGTGATCACCGATGCGGATGGAAGCGGGATTAAAGTCCCATTTGATTTCTCTCGAGAGTGATTGAGTGTTGATACCTCTGGGAATGTAGATGGATTGGGAACGTTCTTGGATGGATTTAAGGGGTCGTTGAATACCACTTTCATCTTTAGCTCCATGTTGGTTCTCCCATAGAATATAACAACTCACTCGAAGATGTTTGTCATAAGACCTAAGCATCAGCTTTTTCTGATACATCACAGCAGCTGATACGGACGCCGGACATCTTAACAATGATCAACGTTTGAGGTGAAGGAGAGGTAGGGGGGAGGTAGGGGGGAGGTAGGGGGGAGGCAGGGGGGAGGGTTCTCACTCACCTGGTCCGAGCTCCACTGAAAGGGGTTTCCCAGTTCTCAGTACAGGATCTCCTACTGTTACACCAGAAGTCTCTTCGTATACTTGAATCGTAGCTCTGTCCGCTTCTATTCTGATGACCTCTGTGAACATCAGCTCGGATTCATTCAGGAAGTGAGTGACATACCTCCTACTAGCTCATCGTGACCAACACGAACAAGTTCATACATCGCACAACCCCTCATGTTTTCTCCGATGACCACAGGACCTGAGACGCTGAGACATAAGCATATGAGTAGGCAAGCTTAGTTGAAGAATGTTTCAGAGAAGCGGAGGAAATAATTGTCATGATGACAGAACAGTGTGAGGAAAGGGGACCTACGAATAGACTGAACCAAGCATTTTCTCGCGCTCTTCATCTCTGATCTGAACAAAGGGGTCATGTCAGCTGATGATGTCTACGATTGGATATACAAGTACGGGTAGGAAGGTGAGAGATAGACTTGAGGGTCCCCAAGATCAGTGCAATTGGGTACGAGGACTTACTTTGGGGAGATCCCGCTTAGCTCTGTCCATAGCGCCCGCCTGGAGGTGAGCGGTGTGAACGAGGCTAAGAATATGGCCACCTACCATCTTGTCTGAGATCCAGATACAATCAAACGGTATCTGTGGTATAATTGAAGAGTGAACCTCCACCGCTGGACGTTATTTCTTGGCTCCTGCCTTTGTTGAGGTATGGAATGTGAGGTGTGATGTAGATACAGTAAGAGCAGTACAGTAGCACTCAAAGGCGGAGGAGAGTACGGGAGAGTGTGAAGCGGCAATGACGCTTATCACGCCACGTCATTTCAACAACATCCTCTTGGCACCATACATCATGCATCAACATATGTATGGCTCATGCATAAACTAATTGTATTGTGCGTACAATGCGGTACTAGAAAACTTGGTACCTTGTCTGATGACCTTTTCCACAGCATCGAGGAAATCACGTTCAGTAGCCACCTTTCTCCTGGCTCTGATGGCGAACATACCCGCTTCAGTAGCCACAGACTTGAGTTCCGCTCCGGTAGCGTTGGGACACAAACGAGCGATGAGGTCGTATCGTATATCACGTTCTACAGACATGCTTATACGTCAGCATAACATCTACACAACAGACCATCGGAAGCTCACCTCTTTCCGTGGATTTTGAGAATATGGGTCCGACCTTCATTATCCGGTAAAGAGAACTCTATCTTTCGGTCTAATCGACCGGGTCGTAGCAAGGCGGGATCCAAAGTGTCGGGTCTGTTGGTCGCCATGATGACTTTGATATTTCCTCTAGCGTCGAAGCCGTCCAATTGATTGATCAACTCCAACATGGTTCTTTGAACTTCGTTATCGCCCCCAGCACCATCATCAAAACGAGCACCACCGATGGCATCCACTTCGTCAAAGAAGATGATACAGGCCTTCTTGCTGCGGGCCATTTCGAACAGTTCTCGGACCATACGGGCACCTTCACCAATGTACTTTTGAACCAACTCTGATCCGATGACTAACGTGGTGTCAACGAGATATATTTAAAGGAAAGCGCTGGAACGTACCTCTGATGAACGTGCAATCTGTCCTATTTGCCACTGCTCGCGCACATAGTGTCTTCCCTGTCCCCGGAGGACCATAGAGCAATACACCTTTCGGGGGTTCTATACCAAGGTTTGCGAATCGTTCAGGCTGACTTTGAGCTGATGACACTCGTCACGAGTAATAAAAACTTACTTCTAATAAAGGCAACTCCACGACCTCTCTCAACTTCTCAATCTGTTCCTTACAACCTCCAACATCGGCGTATGTAACCGAGGGTCGTTCTTCAACCTGCATCATCGTCACAGATGCATCGATTTTGGGAGGAAGGGGTATGAGAATCTTGTAGTTGGTCCTGTCCACCCTGTTTCTCAGCTCAGCATTCCAGAGATTAGCTCTAAAGTTGACTGACCCAACTCTCATACCCTCCTCGACATCAGTAGGAGCCACCCGATCTCCTAGACCCACAACGAATTTTGCCACTTGTTTGATCGATATGACATATCTGTCCCCTTCAGGATTACCAGCGCCAGCACCATCCTGAGGATTTAGGGGCTGATCTGCAGGTGGGGCATTGGCTGAATCATGAGTGACATTTTCCAATTACTGAGGAAGGACGAACCCGCTCTGATAATTGTCTGACAACGGGCGACTTGAAGAGGATGTTCTCCTTGTCGATGTTTATCCGCGGGTATATCCCATAGATTGGCAGATGCTAGTCCAGTGTCCGATTCCCGTATCCCCATCTTCTCATTCACCCTTTTTTGGATGTCTTTCAGTTCATTCTCGATTTTCTTCAACGCCAAGGAATAGGGTCCTTGTCCCTGATACGTCAGTATACATTGAAGCCACTCAATCACTGCGAGAATGTCAACAAGACGACTCGCGTAGGTTTTCAATATCTGAATATCGGATTCATCCAGAGCTGTAGAGGATTAGTCAGCAGGTCTTGCGTCTCAAGCTCTGGCACCCACCGACAATCTTCTCTTCGTCTTTTTCATCGGTAGATTTTTTGTCATCTGCACTTCATTAGTCTTCGAAAACTGAGTGGGTCGCATGAGCGGCATGCTCACATTTCTCCCAATCCCTGTTATTTCGTCAGCGATCTGAACGATATCGATCTGGATCTGAAGCTCACGCTTTGGGAGGCATAGTGCAAAGTGAATATCTAACGAGGTATTTCTTGATCTTGTAGCGCCTATGTTCCTGTCGGATGTACGCTGGTTGAACCTCCGATGCTGTCGAGGAAGACGGGACGGTGATCTGAGGAATGAGCGAAGAAAGTGAACGGTGATGCGTCGTCGCGACCTCGTCCAAGGGCCAAGGGGCCCCCATTCATACCGCCACACGGCTACTTTCATCTGTAAACCCCGCTTTTCCCGCGAGGCATCGCATCAAGTGGAGGTCGTTCGTTGCTTCGTTACCTTTTTGACCATAATTAGCGATGAACATGTCTTGAGACTTTCATCATCATGGCACATCCTATGCCACCGACATTTTATCCCATCGGTGGGATCTCATGTTCTTCAGGTGGGCGTGGTATCTTTTTCGATACCGGTCTGAACGACGCTGTGGAGGTTTGGGTTGACGTCAACCTTCCTAATCGATTGAATCTCATCTACGCCCTCAAGGTATGTCCGGCCTCGCATCAGATAGATAGATGTTCTTCACTTATACATAGCGAGAGGGTGCCAGAATTACTACTCAGCATTATGCTCCTTCCACCTCATTACTCATACTAGCTCCAGGCAGCGAGTCTATCTTCGACTTGTATTGTCATTCAGAATGGCTACGACCCCGCCAGAAGCTCTGGTACGAAAGACGCAAGCAGAAATTAGGAATTGTTGAAGAAGAATGGCAAAAGAAGGTCATTCTGATGGGGGATTGGGTAGAAAAGTGTATTGAGGCCGGTCGATTCTTGGTAAGTGTACAGAAAACAAGCCTGCCAATCGGTCTGACCATTGCAGGGAGAAGAGGATGGATGGGGAGGCGCTCGCGTAGGCGGGTGAGCTTAGTTCTCCTTTCATCGCAATAGAACTGAGATTTCTAGACCCCCTCCACACATGTATCCGCCGTCCACACGATCGATGGACGACGAACCCGCGGACCCCGCTTTACAGCCTGATCACCCACCAGTCGGCGCCGGCGATATCGTCACGGAGACCCTGAAGGACGGCCCCGATCAGGTAGTAACGCACGACCCTCACCAAAGTCCAGTGACCGAGCCGGGGAATGACAGTGTGGAGATGTCAGAAGCAGACGAATTGCTCGAGATTCTGCAAGAGGCTGTGCCTCCTGAAGGTGGAGATACCGTGCCTGAGCAAACAGAGGTTGTTGGACAGAGGCAAAAAGAGGGAGGATCGAACCAAGAATCCGCACAAGAAGAGGAGAATGATCATGAGCTTGTTATCGTCGAAACCCCCCAGAGGAGGAGTCCGACTTCCTCAAAACCCCCCTCGACGACTACAGGCTTCCATCTCAACCAGAAATCTCCTCCTCGACACGAACACGTGGTTTCCTCACCACTGACGTCCCGCCATGATCATCACACAAGCAATCCTTCAAATCCCTCTACTATTACGGAGACTCCAATCACTCTACCTTCATCAGAGTCCGAGATCGTGGAACCCATCGAAGAGCGCCTGTCTTCTCCCAGGTCTCCTGTTGTCTTCATTGACAAAGCCGAGCCGCCAACCCCGGGTCAATCGGTACCACCGACTGCTCCGTTGGCCCCAGTAGATCCCTCAGAAATATTTGCAGGTTGCCGTTTCCGAGTCGATCTCGATCGTCCAGGCCGGAAAGACCTCATCAACCGTATCAAAGTGAGTCTGTCGTATTGGCTTCTTTCGTCTTTTGACATCTAGGCGGCTGGCGGACAGATCATTGTGGACTTTTCCGATGCCACTCATGTCTTGATCCATATCTACACTCCTGCTAAATGGGACCACATTATTCGTCAATATGTCCAAGATGGCGTCTGGTTCATGCATTGCCAATGGGCACTTGATTGCTTGGATAAGGGAAGAAAAATCCCTGAACTCAATCATCATGTGCCCGGCGGAGCACCAATTTTACTGGACCCTCTATTTGACGACTTCACAACTTCTCGTCCTGTGCGAGACGCCATGCCTGCGATGAAGATCTCCCAGATCTTTTTAGATGCCAGTCGATCACGGAACATGACTTTGGACGCAATGCTGAAGGATCTCTCGAGAGGGGTGAGCATTTCTCCTCCTATGTCGTTCGTCTCCTATCTAGTCTTCAAAGGGCCGTCATATCAGAGCTAATTCACAGCATGGAATGTACGACTCAAAGATATGGAAACAAATGTATATGGATTGGGCAAAGGGTATTGGCATGTTTGCCAAATTGGATCAATCGCGTTATGGACCACCGGCAGATCTGAAACCCTCAATTCTTGCACGAGCCAACTCCAAGTCGGTTCTGGTCAAAGACAGAGTGCTTAGCACTGCTGAGATGGATGAGATCCTCAGAGGCAAGCGACACAAGTTGCAGGACGCTTTGCCGAGTGATCCAGTGTGGTTGATTCTTTCCAAAAAGGTGAGTCTCAGCTTGAGCGGTACTCTGAAGTAGGTTGACTGATATGATAGTATACGAGATACAGTCGTCGCGAATGGTATCAACTTCACGGCGATTGGGTAGAGGGTACGGGACGATTCAAAGAGATAAAAGCTGGCAGTGTCAAACCTCCATCTCCCCTCTTACCTGTCAAAGCAAAGATTGTCCCTTCTCCATCGCCTTCTCCTGCGGCATCCGGCAGTCAGCAGTCAAACGTTGGTAAAGATATCATGTCGACGGACGAGATGGTCAGTTTGTTCAAACAGCACGATGACAAACTACAATCAATGAACCGCCGGGAGGTCGCCTCGTACCTTCACGAACAGGTAAGCCCTTTCCCCCCGCAATGAAAGGCAAGCGGTCAGAAAATAATATGCAGAACCCAGCATACACTCCCCGCATGTGGATAAACTTGCATTCGGAGTATCTCTCACGAGAGGGTCGTTTTTCACGTGTGCCACGCGAACGAATTGGTGGTCGTAGTAAACGCAAACGCAGCGTGTTTAGTTCTCCAGAAATCGTTGTTCCGCCTCCAAAGAAACGGGCTTTTGCCAAACCGTACACCGAAAAAGAAGAACGTGCCATGGCGGCTTACATCGTTGGAAGGCTGCCGGAGAAGACGCCCATAACTGCAAAAGGTTGGGAGGGATTCAAAGCTGGTAGCGAGGTCAGTTTGCTTCTGAGTCCGATCTGCATGTTGAGGTCATAGAAGAGCTGGTTGAGCTGACGTTCACAGTTCCCCACGCGCAGCACGGGTGGGTATGTAGAGCATTATCGTAATTTCCAACCTAGGATCAACGGGTACGCCAAGCAGATCGCCAAGGATAAAGGTGTAGAAGATCAATTGGAGGCGTCATTCAACTCGAGTGACAACCGAAGTACGAAAGACGAGGTCGAGTCTTCGGATGACGACGAAGACACGGATGAGAGTTCGGATACTTCGATAGAAGCAGAGGTTATCGAAGTGAATTCTAGCTCGGATGAAGCAGAGTATGTCGACATGACTAATGATAGTGACTGAGTATATACATATTTGTAATTTAGACATCTTGAAAGAGTCGAATGCATGTCATACATTGGATTTCATGTTTACGTATATGCATAATCGAGACTCGGAAGCATGACCGAGAGAGAGTGAAAACTTACCGTTTTGAGGGTTCGGATGTGTTTAACCGAATGGGGTTGGTTGGTTGGTGGGCGACGGCGTCGTACATACAGTCGGGCCCTTCCTTTCAAGTTGCATCTTCGTCGTCGCCACCTCATCGTCGCTCACCCCTTTCCTTCTCATTCAACATCCTCTTTCGGGTCCGTACAAATCGCAACTCTCAGTCGGCAGTCGGACGTCCTTTGCCCCAAACATCGTCATTCATTAACTTACTGCTTATCAGTGGAACACGTTTGTCTCTCCACCTTGACAAATAATATACCAGGGGACATTTGGTACGGGGATTAGTGAGTGATCTCTTCGTTTCTTTCTTTCAATCACGCACAGACCTCTCTTCTTTCTTTCCTCTCATTCACCCCGCTCTTCCTCTCATATCATACCCCATATTATAACCCCAGGAGAGTCAAGGTGAAAGGAAGTACGTTTCCAACTCTACTTTCTGCTCTCCACTCAAATTCCCACAACCGATATATGGAAGTTTTACTGACATTTGAAAAGAATGATACAATCCCAACGACCAGCTGCGGCTCTCTTCAATTTCCCAGTTCAACGATCAACATCTTTCACATCCCCTATCGTTGAACTCACAGACGATTCTTCTGACATCCCGTCGGATCTTCGAAGAGCTACAAGTCTTCGAACTTCTGGTTCGTTTGGTGGTGGAGGAGGACCAGGACCAAGTAGTGGTACTTCACGTATACTCGATTCACAACGTGTGATTGGATTATCAAGTTTCGCAGCTGCCGGATCAACTTTATCTTCCAGTAATTATACACCTCCTCCAGCTGCCTCTCGACATCCACTTTTCTCTCATCATGCGGTCATTTCATCCGGTACGAGTTCACCTACCATCGTCACAGATCCAGGACCTTCATACCCTCCTTCCCCGACTGGTTCCAGCGGTTCTGCCATGTCACCAGCCTCTGCATTTCTCTCTCATTTCTCTTCTTCTTCCTCTCTCCGTCCACCAGGACCAGGACCCAGCACCAGTTCAGGAGGAGGAGTTGAGGGTATCGAGCCGGATGCGATAGGCGCTAGAGTGTTGGATTACACACTTGGGAAAATAGTAGGAAGAGGAGGATTTTCAAGTGTTAGGAAAGCCCATCATATAGTGACCGGGGAAGTACTAGCTTGTAAGATTGTCAAACGTGATGATTTAAGTGATAGATCCGGTTCGGTGGAGAAATTTGAAGAGGAAATTAGAATCTGGAAATCATTACCGAGACATCCATCTTTACTCCCTTTACTCGAAATGACAAGAACACCAACTATGACTTTTCTCATCACTCCTTATCTTCCTGGAGGTAGTTTATTGGATGTGTTGAGGAGAGAAGGTGGAAGTGAGAAAACGGCTGGTAAATGGTTTCCTGGTGTCGTCACTGCTGTTTCGGCGATGCACGAAGGATTCGAAGGTTTTCAAGGAGAGATGTTACATGGGGACTTGAAGTTGGATAATTTCTTGGTGGATCATCATGGACATGTGATGGTTTGTGATTTTTATATGGCTCAACAATTGACATCTACTCAAGACGACATGTCGAATCATAGTCACGTCATCGATGGGGATATACCAAAGGCCCCCTCAAATCGATCTATCCCCCAACAAGTTCCTTCTTTAGCAGATGCTGGATTTTCTGTTCCCCCTCCCATGCCGACTAGACATTCGACCCTTCCATCGATCAGAGGTCCCAGAAAATCATCTCCTTTCCCAACGACCAAATCGCATGGGTTACCACGAGATCCCTCCCCGCTTTCACTATCCAATATCTCATCAAATCCATTTCCATCTGCTTCCCTACCTTATGCTCCACCAGAATTGCTCCGAGCACCACCTTCTGGTCCTGCTTTAGCACAAGACATTTGGGCTTTAGGTATAATCCTTCATGCTCTTCTCACCGGTCGACTTCCTTTTGTCGACTCTTTCGATCCTAGATTACAGATGAAGATCCTTCGTGGGACTTGGGAAATCCCGCCTGATCTGGGAAAAGAATGGATCGAATGTTTACAAGGCTGTCTTGATGTTAATCGGGATACACGATGGACCATAGCGCAGGTGAGAGCATGTGACGCTTTGCTAGGTTGGCACGAGGTGAAACGACATGGAGGAAGGAGCAAAAGTCGATCGAGGTCGAGAAGACGAGATGGTGATTTACTTGATTCTGGACGTCATGGTGATTTATCAAGGACGACTCAACCAATTCCTATCAAATCACGTGGGGTCAGTAGGGACAGATCTGGACGTTTCCCAGGTGTTGGAGAAATGAAAGATGTGTTTGGACCTGGTCCCAATTCAAACTCTTACCCTAGTGGTGTTGGTGGAGGATTAACATATGGAAGTGGAATCAATACCAATTTTTCGTCACAATCCACCTCAAAGTCCCGTGGGAGATCACAATCGACCACTAGACGGAATGCACCAATCGCCATTGATATACCCCCTCGACCACCTACGGAGATCACGCACGATCTGGGGCATGGAGTGGAGACCCAGAGGGGGAGGAGTCCGTTGATCAAGGAGGATCACGGTTCTGTATCACCTGTATCAGTACTAGGCCTACACCATCACGATATATCTAGACAGAGATCACATTCACAATCATCTGGAAAACAAGATCGACAGATCTCAGAATCATTCAATATGGATTCAACACCTTGGTCCACTTCACCCATCATGGAAGGACAAATCAGTGGTCAAAATACGAGAGGGTCTAGCGTAGGGTCTAGATCACGTTCAAGGAGTAGAAGATGGGAGAGTGGTATGACTACCCCTGAGAAAGAGAAAAGGGAGGGAAGGGGACAACACGTTCATGGATCAGAATTGGATGTGGTGGAAGAAGAAAGAGTAGCAAGAGGGATTTCTGGGGGTTTAGGAAATAAGAATGGGTATGAAGAGGAAAGAAAAAGTAATGGGAGAAGTAGAAGCAGAGGTAGGAGAGAGAAGAGAGATGGGTAAAATCTATGTCTTGTATCGGGGACAACTCAATTATCTGTCAAAATTTGTATGCATTTCTTGGACATGTGTGATAATCATTTTGACTGCGTTTTGGTGCTATGCTATTCTAACGAAGACAAGGTTACAAGCATGTTGATGAACATCCTACTGTCACTAGATCTACTCGCCTCACTGCAGTAGCCCATCGTCAGCTGTCAGACGGGTGCTGTAGGTGTTCAAGTGATAGTAGAGAGGGGTGACAAATCGATCACGTCATGCGATCGAAAGTAATGTTGCTTGGGAATTTCCGAATCTCATTCCATTCCTCCATTCCTCTATCATCATCATCCATCTTCATACTTCTCTTCATCTACACTAACTCCCGCCACTCTCCCATATCCTATGCCTACTTTCTTACTTCTGGACGAGAAATAGATAGGATCTTCCGACATGCGTCCTACCTCATGGTCTCTCGGTCTCCGAGTCAAATCATCAAGTACAACATCCATAGTGAAAACAAGAAAATATTCTCATACTGAACATGCTATACCACCTACTTCACCACAATTACCATCTCGTCGAAGACCCGCTTTCAGTCCAGGAGGATTTGGAATGAGTCATCATCCTTCTCCTAGTACAAGATCTTCTCTTCCACCTCTTGTGAGTGTCCTATTCTTTTCCTGACCAAAATCTCTTTCCCTTCACATTTTGCAAGTCGTTCATCGTACAAACTGCCACATTCGAACAAGATTTCGAACTCTTCTATCCCCCCTGGTGTACCCATTGCTTGACTACTGGAGAATCGACGGAGACCGGAGCGTGTATCTCTGGACTTTCTTCGTTTTTTTTTTGCTTCTATCCGGTATCCCAGAAACGGCTTTTTCGTCTTGGTGGTAGTCTTTCTTCGAATTTTTCATCCTTCTTCATCTCAGGGAATTTCGAAGACGTTGATTGAGTCCAACTTTGCAGGACGGTCATTGACGTTCAGACGGCATTGAACAGCTCTACTAGCAGTCTTGAAAAAGGGAAGGGAAGAGCTGAAGGGGAGATAAGTGAAGGAGTGGAAAGTGGAAAAGAAGAGGCCGAGGCTTGTTACATCGTGAGTGATTGCCTCTTCTCTTTCACTCTCACTCCACTGGCCAGATAAGACGAGGAACTCCCTGCCGTTATATTTCATCGCCCAATATCCTGCTGAATCGGACGATCTGAACGCCCTCTATGAAACCTAGCTAACTTCCCAGCCCCCTCCCACAACCCTTCACTGGCATTCTCCCCATCCTCTCCCCCTTCTTTACTCTCCCCAGCCCTTGCCTCCCTATAGTATCGCGTACGAAACCTGGGGTCATCTCAACCCCACACGAACCAATGCCATTCTTCTCCATACAGGTCTCTCAGCTTCTTCTCACGTCGCTTCAGGTGGAACAGGCGTTTCTTCATCCACATCATCTAAACCAGGATGGTGGGAAGATTTCGTCGGACCTGGGAAATCTATAGACACGGATAAATTCTTTGTCATATGTACCAACGCTCTAGGAGGTTGTTTCGGATCTACAGGACCTTCTTCTCCTTATCCACTAGGAGAGGGAAATGTAAGATGGGCTACTAGATTCCCATTGTTGAGTATACATGATATGTGTCGTGCTCAATTAGGACTGTTGGATCATCTAGGGATTAAGAAACTGTATGCCAGTGTGGGGAGTAGTATGGGTGGAATGCAGAGTTTGAGTATGGCGTATTTGGCTCCGGAAAGAGTGGGGAGGGTGGCTAGTATATCCGCAAGTGGGAGGAGTGGATTAGGAGGGGTAGGTATGAGATATGCTCAGCGGAGTGGTCAGTGATACCTTCTTTACCAATAACATCAGCCCCACATTCTAGAACCTATCACTCGCTTATGCCCATTTGTCTTGTCCCGTGTCTCGCTGTCCCACAATCTCCCATTCAATCCTCTCAGGCCTGCTTCAGGGCAGAATCAGTTTAGGCCATACACGAGCCCAATCTCGATCTTTGTCACTGAATATACAAGCTTCTTTGTGGAGATGGACTGTACAAAAAACCTGACTAACATCCAGTCCTCATGGCCGATCCCAACTGGAACCGCGGCTTTTACTACGACGGCGTCCCTCCCCACAACGGCATGAAACTAGCTCGTCGTGAGCTCCGGAGTCAATCATTTTGGAGACGAGCTGATCATCAGAAATTGCGACTATCACGTATCGCTCTGGACCTGAATGGGAGCAACGGTTCGGACGGAGGATGTTGAGTGAAAATGAATTAGACGAAAATGGGGATGTGGGAGTACCGAAGCTGTCCCCTGATTTCTTGATCGAGACGTATCTCGACCACCAGGTGGGAGCTTATAAATTTCCAGTTCTTCCTGTTTCAATCACCTAGATCCACATTATCCATCGTAGATACTTTCGCTGGCGCGCAACTTCCGTTACCTATATTCCACTTACTCTCACTTGCACCGGTAGTCGTTTCGTCTACAGCTGCTCTGTGTACCAATCGATATGTCACACCCCTGCAATGAATGCGGATGATCACCTCACTGACTTACAGGGCGAACGTTTTTGTCTCACATACGACGCAAACTCCATGATCTATCTCTCCAAAGCTATGGACCTATTCGATCTTACCGCTCCCGCCCTCACTTCCCTCTCTCGGAAATTCAACAAAGCATATCCTCATCTCTCTCCCTTTCCCTCTCCCTCAGATCCACTTTCCATATCCGCCTCGCTCCCCCGTCTTGCTCCAGAAGACTGGCCAGAACCTACACCACCGTTGGAAAAGAACGAGAGATTCATACCCACTTCAAAATCACCCCATCTCTCACAGCTCGCAGCCGGATTAAGAAGATTACGAGATATACCCGTCTTGGTACTTGGTGTGCAGAGTGATGTCTTGTTTCCCGTCGAACAACAACGGGAATTGGCGGATGCTTTGAAGTTGGCGGGGAATAGGGAGGTTACGTATTACGAATTAGGGGGAGTTTGGGGACATGATACTTTCTTGTTGGATGTGCAGAATGTTGGAGGTGCTATCAGGGGATTTCTACATGATTAGGGGGGCACTCAGTATACATACAAGCTGTGAGTGGTATGAGACAAGAGCTCGGAAATGTGCAAACCTCAACAATCATGCATCTTCATTCTCCTACCCAGCCCATCACAAAAGACAGAGACAATCAAGACAATGACCAATTCCCAAGCGCCCTGTACACTTTGACTGTGATGAGAGTTGTTCAACTATCAGCGGCTGCCTTTGATCCTTCAACTGGTTCGGCTAGTGTGTTTATCATGATGAGGGCAAGCTCCTTAGCCTTTTTGATAGTAGGCTGCAACTCCTGCTGATAGTCTCCCAGCTTTCGGTGGAACATTGAGGTTACACCGATGGTGTGTTGTGCAGCCTGAGTCACCATCTGATTCTGGGGATTTTGTGTCAGAAGTAGACTGCTGACTGCAAATCCGTTTGCGGCAAGAGCAGTGATACAAGGGCCTAAGTACCTTAATCTTGTGGTCATCTGTCCCTGTGCCTGTTCCTTGAAGGCTTCAATACTGTCATTCAATTCCTGATAGGCACTTTGTATATTGTACTTAGTATTGCTTTGAGATGACGGAGGTCCTCCTCCAAGAGTGTCCACTTGAGTTGACGAGTCACTCAGAAGTGGCTTGGTCACCTGGGAAAGATGCGTACACGCCTCCACAACCAGTTTCAACCACTCCTTAGCCTCCTGACGAGTTGGACTAGTGTCAGGGGGAAAATCTGACATGACGAGCGTAGACGGGGAGACGAGATTAGCAGCGGCATGGCGCGCAACATCTGGACTGAAAGCAGGAGGAGTAGTCGGTGGGGCCGATCTGTCCAGGTTGGTGGCTATCTCAGAATCATCGGTCTCAATCGATAGCTTATCAGGGGACATACTTGTCAATGATCAGTGAGTAAACAGTTGCACTTGTTATAGGTAGGATTGAAGATGTGATCACTATATATAATTTGTCTATACAGGCATGAAGCGCCACCTGGAGAGTGAACAGGCAGTGTATGAAGGGAGATAATACTGGTTTTATCTAGATTCCCCTTTCATTGATGAGGCTGTGCGGAAGAAGCAAGGCCCCCACGCTTGCTGAAAGTGGTAACTTATACGAGTGATATCTCTCGAGTCGTTCGGTAAACACAGCAATGGCGACCCCTCCCCGAACCTCGATCGATGACCGTTTTTCCCGATCCTTTCTCCGAGGGGACCGCCCCGTTTTACAAGCCTTCCTTCTTCTTGTGCACCTTCCGACTCGGGAGATTTCCATCGCGTTGCCTCGTTGCGGGTCAGTGCTAAGTCGGTGAGAGTGTGAGTGAAATCTTTCCCAATCGGTGACCGTGAAGGCCATACTTGACACGATCACTGTACTAAGCGATGCATCAACGAACGTTGCTTGACTTGTGTCCATAGAGACCGACAGGAAGAGAACGTATTTGTAACATGCCAGAAACGGTAGCGATCATGTGAAAGGATCGGCACCGGTTTCTTCCACGCCGAGTAAGCTGAGGGTCAGTTTAGTGACTTCATCGATTTGGGAGACGTACGGAAACTCCTTCATCAATGAACATTCACCACCATTCTCCAAATCAATGTTGTAAGCCTGAAAGAAACCTTCGGAACTGATGACCATAACCTGTGGTACTGTCCTATTCACATCAGCAATGTTCAGACCTTCCCGATTACTTCACGACTTACCCTGACATCGCCACAACGGATCTCCCACCTCCCGAGTGCATCTTGATATACGCGAAATCTCTTTGAGGCTCCCACATTTCACTCACTGATCTAGGCATGTACCCGGCAGCCCCGCTGATGAAATTCTTTCCGATATGATAGCTCCTTCGTCTCAACGAACTAGTGGCGCCTGATCCCGTGTTGGGTTGTACAGGAGGTGAAGTCGTACTTGGCGTTTCGCTGGGCGTTGGACTGTGTACATCTCCCCTAGATGACTCTGCATCAGACCCGATCGCTTTGGGATTGAGACGATATATGTGAATAGTGCTGGAATCGCTTGATACAGCTAAGAGTGTGGACATGAGGTTGTAATTGATACTGAAGATCTTGGCGTTACTACTTCCTCGTCGGAACTGCCATAACTTCTGAGCATCAGGTATCGAGAATACGCGAACGACGGTCCCTTTTTCAGAAGCGGTCGCCAGCATGTTCCCGGTCGAACTGAGTGATAAAGCGGCGATAGGCGCTTTGTGAGCTTGGATAACGTTGACGGCGGAGAGAGAGATGGTATCGAAGATATATACATCGCCCATTGACGGTGCGGGTGGACGGGGAACGGTGGAGGAGGAAAGGGGGATGGTGGTTGTGGTTGGAGCGGCGGGATAGGCGAGGTATGATCGTTCTGAATCGGGAGATAAGGCTATGATTGCTGATTGCATCAGCACAAAGACTCAACAATGCATTGGCGACAATAGAAAGAGTCAAGCCTGACCAGGCCGAAGATTGACAAGGGGAGGGACTTTCAGAGGAGAGAACGGGATTAGAGGTCAGGACAGACGTACCACCGGGATTGGGACCAGTCTCAATGGTGTGTAATAGCTTCATAGTGGATATATCATAGATATAGATCTCAGCTTCGAGCACAACCACCAGACGTTTACGATTCATCTTGACGGCCAAGATTGACGTTGGGAATGTAAGCTCGCAGATGGTCGATTGACGCTAGGCATCAGCATCGGGATTCTGCACTCATGCACCGACTATAATCGCTCATAGAACTGACCTTGGTATTGACGATCTGTAATTTCCGAGGACTAGGAGGAGTACTGCCTGATGCATCGGCTGCGCCGACCAGGGCAACCAGGGATGTGCAGAACAGCATTTCCACGATAGCAGTAGGTCCTTGGCCTGACGGTCAGATGGGCTTATTAACGTTTCCATGTCTACATGTACCATGGTAATCATGAAAAACATCACTTGAAAGGGGGAAGGAATGGAGCGGGGAGGAGAAAGGCTTGAACGACCCCGGACGGTAGAAGTTGCTATCGAGGTCTAAGAGCAAACCGACGTACTCTTCTGGTGAACCTTGCCATATGGGTCACAGTTCAATATTGTATACCCCTTTTTGTGACCTACGGCAACGCATGAGAAGTCTTGGTTGAAGTTGCAACACTACGAAGTCAGCTCCAATGCGTCCATGACAACACAGTCAACTCACCAGGAGATCCGGGTGTTGCTTGCCCGACTTGGCCATGATGACGAGGTTTCGGAGGTGTCACACTCAAGCGCTTACTATTGATAGCTCAAAAGACAGAAGCTCAGGGTCAAATAAAGAGCTCTATCCTCAAGATGATAGAGAGATGCAGTTGATGACCGATGTGGAATAAGAGAGAGAGAGGAAGAAGGAGAGAGGGATCGTAGTCGTCAGAGGCAAGTAGGTGACGGACGGCAAAGGGACGAGCGCTTTACCGTGGCGTGGCAGTATACAGTACGTCCAAAACTCTGTCACCGTGGCCTGGCTACCAACCGACCATGCGAGAGTATATGCATACACACAGTCAAAACATATCCTCTACATTATCCTGTCATTCCAGTTTTGTCTTGCCAAACATACCCGACGCCTTGTCCCATATCCCCTTCGGTTTGGGGGTCCATTCCAGCTGACTCATCCCGGAATTACCGACACCTCTTTGCTGAGGATTCGGATAGTAAAGCTGTTGCTGTTGATATCCAGGCATCAGAGGGCCATGTGGAAGATGAGATATGTGTGATGGGAAGGTCGGAAAGGGTGGAGAGTGAGGAACAGGCTGATGTGTCATACTTTCCCGGTGTCGTGAACGAAGGTTCATCAGCGCCGAGTTACTGATACCCAAAAAGAATGCTAATGTGACAAGAGTGAATGCCTGATGCTATTAGAATTTTTCAGATGACTTAAAAGTACTCACCATAGTCTTCCAACTGATAGCGTCAACAAACGAATTGATGACGCCTGCAAATGTCTCCGCAATGACATTCGTCCGGCCTAGAATCGTGGGATCGCGGTTCATACAGATTTCCCAAGCTCTACATGGACCGTCCCTGATTGTCAGCTTGCACCTCATGATTGATAACCAGATGACGCACATAGCTGGCACACGAGTTGAGGGGTCGCATCTATTTGTCAGGTACAGATTTGTACACTCTGATATTTCCTGTAAAACCTCTACGCCGTCAGCATGACCAGAAGAATCACTCGCACAGGAAGAATAGGACTGAGGAGTGGACTACGTACCGACAGAATACTCTCGCATCTTATCCTTAACATCTCGCTGCACGGTGCGGACGAACAACACGGCGAGATAAAGACAAAACACCACCACAGAGGCGTTCACGAAGAATTGAAGGTAACTGAATATGAGATTTAGCTCTAAAAGCAGATCCTCTAGCCAGCTCACCCTAGAAGAATATATGGGATCTCTGAATGTCGTACTGGTTGTGGGGCAAGATGATACGTATGATGATGTTCTGATTTCTACTCGTTCTCAGTTTACTTCCACTGTAAACATATAGGACAGCTCACCTCTTTCCATTCTTTCTCTCGTTTCTTTCGTACTCGAGTCACAGCACCAGTCGCGATAGGTCTATCTTTTCTCTGTAACTTCTCCATCTTCTCCTCATGCCGACTGGCATCTGAACCTTCCGGCCCAGAAGTCTCCCCTGAAGTGTTCCGGTCGGAGAGGCTATATGGTCGAGCAGGACTGTCCCCGTTGGTCATTTCCACATCTTCCAGCTCGTTTTGTGATGACAGTCCATTGCCAAACGCAGATGCAGAAGGCTGGAAGATACTCGGGTCATATGAGAACTTCTTGGGGGTGGAAGTTCCAGGTGAGAGAACACGGATGGTTTCGTAGATGAACGGCGTGCGTTGGTCAAAACGCATTTGAGGAAGTGGGGTAGGTTTGAGGTCGAATGAGTTGGAAGTGTTCTCGAGCTGACTGTGTACACCTCGCATATCAGCATGGTCTTGCTGGAAGTCTCATCCATAAACGAGGTGAGACATGAAAGATGTTGTCTGATAGTAGAAGAGGGAGGACTTGAGCAGGACGTACGTTTACGAGGTCGCTCATCGTCAGGTTGAGAGAGCTGAAAGTTTCTGAGCCGGTACAGAGGGTCAGGATCGTCGACTTCCATCGGTCCTGACCTGTCACGACGCTCTGCATGGAGCATTGTATCATTGAGGGGAAGGGACGGAAGCTCAAGTTAGGCTACTTACTACCTCAACGCTCATTGATCATTGAAGCATCAGTATATATAGGAAAGAAATTTGCAAACGCCAAGAACTGGCGACTGGGACCGTGTCACAACGGTTAGTACGTTCGCCGTATAAAAAGTGCCACAAACGGCGGGACCCTATATCAGTTGGTTAGATAGTCTGATTCCAACTGTGTTTGTCATCAGAAAGTCATCCGTTCAAATCGGGTGGGTCTCAGCTTTTACCCTGTGCGAGCAGGTTGGGAAGGCATAATTTGATCAGGGCAGTCCAGACCCTCCGGCCTGTAATTAGTAGTTGACGAATCGCAGACTCCTCAGGGTTGATATCACATACACACTCGAGCGCTCTTGAAGCAGCTTCACGAGAGAGGTTCTCATTGTCACCCATAGCGGTGACTCGACCCTTGTCGGGCCAACGTCCGCTCTGCTATGGATACCTTCTGTAAGCCTTCCCAGTGTGAAAGTTATATGCATCAATGGTGTACGCGCCGTGCGATCCTGAGAAAAAAGCATACGAGCCATTATGGACCCCTTGCTAGTACGCGCGGATCGATTTCGCAACTCTTCACTTGCATACAACGATGTCATCAGGCAAGTCTAACACTCACGAGCTACAGAGTATCACTCATGACACCAGATACATCTCTACAGCCACCATCAGATGGTATATCGTCTCTGGCCTGGTCTTCAGATTCGACACGGCTTTTAGTCGCCAGTTGGGATACCGTGTGTTTCATTGTTTTGCTCTGTTTCTCGCTAACATAATAGACGATACAATTACACGATCTGACAGGTTCTCCTCAACCTCCACAAATGTACGTTCCTCTCGCTCCTCCATCATATCCGCATTTGAGCTCTTCGACGGCAGGATACACGTTCAAGACTCACGGTGCAGATTTTCTCATCCTGCTGCTGTCCTCGCTGTCACATTCGGTTCTTCCTCCTCTGAAGCTTTTTCGGGTGGGCTGGATAAACGGGTTCGTCAGTGAGTTCAGAACGCTTTATCTGCTTCGACGAAGGGACGAGCTGACGGGTAGTTGGGACTTTACAACGGGACATTGTCGTGTGTTGGGGAAACATGAGGAGGCCGTTTCGTCCATTATATGGTGTGCTGATCAGAGTGAGTTTCATCTTCATCCATACCATTCTGAACGCCCGATGGAAGATGGGAGACTTGTACTCATGAACAGAAATACTCATCACTGGTTCGTGGGATCGTACGCTAAGAGTATGGGATCCGTACGTTTTTCTCTAGTTCTTTCGATTATCCCCCTTTTCATGTCTCACGATGATCATGACATCCGAACACCATCGATAGCCAAAGCACAACGAATTCCGATGTTGTGACCGCAGACGAGAGGGAGCGGAATGAACAAGATGGAAAAGTCATGTAATCATTTAGGGACAAGTGTCGAAACTCACTTGCTAGATACTCTGATCAACCTCTTCGATCCACCCACTCTCTTCCGGAGAGAATCTACAACCTGTCTTACGCACCCGCCACGGGAAATGTCTTAGTCAGTATGGCACATAGACATGTGAACGTATACTCTGCCATTGAGTTGGCTCAGGCGCAGGAAGGACAAGATCTGCGACCTACTCAGGAAAGGGAGAGTGCTTTGAAGTTTTTGACAAGAAGTGTTGCATGTATGGCGGATGGAAAAGGTGAGCTACATCCTTCTCACTTGGTTTTGTCATAATTCCATCATTATATCAGTTCTCGGTCAATGATATACTGTTCTGCACAATGGATTCTCAAGTGTTCCCGCGAGAATCACGCGACCGGTGAACGATTGTTCGCGTGAATACAGTATGCAGGGAAAGGGAGGGGGGGAGGGCAGAGGACATTGATCAGCCAACCTGTTGAAACATGAAATATGAATTGACGCTCAGGTTGGGCATCAGGATCTATAGAAGGTCGTATAGCTGTCGAATACTTTGATCCTGATCCAGCTTCTCAAGCTCAAAAATACGCCTTCCGAGCACACCGACAAAATGTTGATGGGGTGGATTGTGTGTATCCAATCAACGCATTGGCTTATCATCCAGTGTAAGCTAACATCCCCTGTTCTACTGAATGTCCCTAATCCCCCTGTTTTGCTGTTTCACAGTCAAACCTGCCCTTAACCCGTCAGTAGTAGATATCGTCTGTGACTCTCGTTTTACTATTTGTGGGGATCTTGACGAGTGCAGCAGTGAGATATGATGACTGACCTTCAGTTTCAACACCTTCGCTTCTGGTGGATCGGATTGTCACGTATCCATCTGGGATCATACCGCAAAGAAGCGCATGAAGCTCTACTCCAAATATCCCACTGCTATTTCCGCTTTGGCCTTCTCGCCAGACGGTAGGAAATTGGCCATCGGGGCGAGTTACGAGCATGATAATGCTATCAGCGGCGTCGATGATCAAAATAGGGTGATGCTGTTGGTCAAAGATGGTGTGATGGAGGATTGTAAAGTGAGTTCGACTTCGCCGTCTCCTGTCTCACTCAACATCGCCTTTCGAATTTGGCATGTGGGATCATGTGGAGCTGCTTGCTGGGAGATCCATGTTGGAAGCTGACCTTGCAGCCAAAAGCGAAGGCATGATCCCAAGACATAGTGATGCATTGTGATGATCTCTGTTACTTCTGACTGATCGACTACTCGTCCCACCCTCCCCATCCACCTCCATCTCCTCCGCCTCCGAATACACCTCCGTCATCATCTGACTGTTCCCAAGGATCTTGCAATACTTCATCATCTCCCCATCCCTCATTCTCATCATAGCCCTCCAGTCCTTCTTGGCCGTATTTCTCTTCCCGGGATGGGCTGGTCCTTCCCGATTGCGGTCCGTATATCTGCTCATTTTCACTCATTGTCGCACCCGCTGCAGCCCCTCCTGCCATTGCGCCGACGTCAGGGCCCACCGGTGGTTGACCGCTGCCGCCGTGATGGACCTCTGAAGAACCATCTGAACCCCATATGAAGAATGGTAAGCCCATACCACTGAAATAAGCCATTCGCCCACAATGCAATCTTTGACTCACCCGCTACCAGAATGTCGAGAAAAGAAGTCAAAATCAATAGAGACAGCGGTGGCTAGAGTCTGACTCATGAGCACGGCTGAGAATCTTGGGAGGGTGAACATACCATGGCTCGCTGATCCAGCGTCAATCCACCTTCTCGTCCTTTTGGAAGTATCAAACTTTGACCCTGTACGTCCAGCTGACTTCCGGGAGGCAGGTTCAGCTCTGTACCAGCTGAATCGAAGCGTATGACATATTGACCAGTGTCTGTGAAAAGTTCTCGTCCAAACCCTTTGAAATTTCGATTGATTGAAGCAACAAGACCTGATGGTCAGGCCTGGCACGATCACAACGTACCATAAAACTCTTGACATACGGACAATCTGGGAATGGTAGAAAGAAACGTTCAGTGTGAGAAACCCTGCATGACTCACGATTATCCGCATCTTTGAGCCAAAAGTCCCAAGCGAGGAAACCAGAATCTACCCTGGCGAATTGTTTGAAAGTCTCCTCGTCGCGTCTGAGTCATCAGCTCACGTTTCTGAGGAGTAACAAGCTGTAAGTACAGACGATTGAAAAAGGTTATATCGTCTTCGCCAGGGATGCCACTCCCTTACTGTCAGCTTCAACCACTCTGTTCCAGAAGGATACTCACTGTTGAGCTTCACCTACTAATCTCCCATCTCCATCTTGAGTGGAATGAACGAATATGCGAGAGTTTATGAATGCGAATGGTCGGCGGATCTTTCCATCAGCTTGAGTTTCACTGACACATTGCCTATATCAAAAGCCTTTTCTCTTCATACACATGTGTATTTCGAATGGCTGCGAGGTGATCATTGTCGTAGGGCCCCATTGAGACGACAAGGATACATGTCCGAGGGTCCTGCATATAGGACTCACCCAAAGTATAGGAGTTCCCGTGGGATCCATGACGACAGCTCGAAATGGTCTATGTGTTCTTAACATCTGACGTGACATAGTAGAGAAGAACGATCGTTCTTCTTCTGCCAAACTACTCATTCAGCTTTCTTTTGTCTTTGTCAGCTTGACATGAAGTAACGTACAAGCCTACAAGATCACCCTGTCCGTCAGTTTTTGCTGTCCTTTCCCCAGGATCTTGCAATCTCTATGCACATCCATAAGAGAAGAGTAGTGGAATTTACGGTTGCGGACAGAGGTAATTATATTTATGAGAAGGAATGAGAAAGATACTAACTTCGGGTGTGTATATAGCATACCTATTAGCTTGTTCGAAGCCCAAAAACACATTGAGCATTTCCAGTTGTCTGTAGAAGTCAGTCTCCCGCTCTGTCTTCGTAGTTTCGGCACCTCTCAACTCACTGACACAAGTGACATGATCAGACAGCTCTTATATGGATATACCATAGTCAACTGAGCAATTGAAGATTGAAAGTGAGAAGGGTGGGGGGACCACCGGAATAAAAACTGGCAAGACGTTACTTACCTAACTATGACCAAAGTATCATGAGCCAACAATTCCTTCGCTCTGTGAGATTCTTGTAAGACCCCATGTGGATCATGAGGTACATAAGTCGGTCTTCTAGGAACTAACACTTCCCCCCTCGTCCCTTCTACAGACCCGGGAGAGTCGACATCAGACACCTGGGAAAACGGAGGAGGGCGAAGATACCGACGAGGACGAATATGGCCAGGTGGAACTACACATTATTAGATGACTGGATGATGAGTTGATACGTACCACGGTCTACCTGTCGGAGAAGGGGTGGGAAGGTGCGGAGATTGCGAATGGGGAGAAGAGGTGCTCGGCTAGATGTGCGAGGGGGGACAAGAAGATCCAAAGATGGCTTGAGTATACCCCTGGTCCGATGTAGCATCGTAGATGCTGTCACTATTTCACTGATCTGTTATGAAGGAAGCATGAAGCAGCGCAAGGTGTTGTTGAAGTGGAAACCTCTGGAAAGCAACGATGACGACGATGTGAGCGGCATCGGCGGAGTGGCAAACGTCGGTCATCACCGTCTCCGGCGATCACATTTTCACCGGCCATGGTGAGTATCAGCTTCACAGGACCAGGTCAGTTTGTAAATTTGCGTAGAGGGTGAGTATGATTGCTGGACATCGATAAAAGGTTACAGCAGACAGATGAGGAATCATGATGTCACATGGGCATGCTGAAATGTAGGTAGCCAAATACACCCTCCGAACTGCATCTGCCCCGCCCCAGCCGCGTCTAATCCAGCCCCAAGCGAAAACTCAGTTCTTCTTACGGAAAGAGCAGCCTGTCAATCAGCATCGACAAGAAACAGATCAAGTAATCGACTCACCCTCAGTCAGCTTAGCTTTACCTCCAGTTGGTTGACAAAGAGCGGTACCGCAGTTGGCACACTGGACGACGGTGGTGGCGTGAGAGAAGACAATGCTGGATAATCAGCACATGTCATTTATACGGCTCTTTCACTTTGGTTGAGATGGAACAGGGTGCAAGATTGCATTAGTATTGAGTGTAGCTTTCGAAAGGTATTTGGAGAAGGTAGGAAGACGGTCAAAAACGATAGTCGAAGGATGTATGGAACAAAATATAAACGGGGAAAAAAACTGACGTGATTTGGAAACATCCAGGACACTTAACATCCATGAAGAATGACAAGGGTCTGGGAACGAGACCCTTCAATTTGTGCAGTCGAGCCTGTGCCTCGACGGGACGGTTGAGGAGATCGATAGCAAGCGCGGTCTGGAAGTAAGCGAGGTGTAATACATTTTATACACATCCCGGTCCAGCCTTTCTAAATCGGGGAGCTCTGCATGTAACGTAATAAGTCAGATCACAATGGCCTATCGCGAAAGTGGCCTGTGGGGAGGAGAACAGATCGAACAAGAGGAGATGATCCAGCACACGACCATACACCCTTGCCACTCAATCTTTACACAATCTCCAGTATAATGATGACCTCTGTCTGACATGGTGAAAATGGGAACGACAAGCCCACAAGCTCCTCCCTTGGGATAGATAGAGCACGAGTCACCCAATGGATCGATCCATTTAGTGAAAAGATAAGAGACTTACCATATTGTCACGATTATGTCTTCTTTTCAATGTTTTCGAGTAATTTCTTCAAAGATGATCTCGTTTCTAGTGTCAGAGACTCGTGTTGGTAAGGATGATGTCGAGATGAAGGAGAGTATGGAGAGATGGAGGAGGTTTAGGTGGCGTACAAGCTCGAGATCGAAGGGTGAGGGTGGAGAGAAGGGCTAAATCGGGAAAAAGACTTGGATCGGGGTTATTGTACATGGCGGAGTACCTGCCCCAAGTCATGACACTATCTCCGAAGAAAGGGGCCTTAACCCCGAATGAACCGGCCTGACCGGGAATCTGGTCCCACTGCTTGTTCGGTTGCATGGAGGTACTCGTACGAGTACTCGAAAGATCCTAAGCCGAACAGAGAGAACGAAATGAACAAGATCGACAGATCAAACATGCATGTCTAATGATCTTTACCTTCCTTCTCACGTATTTTGAATAGACCTCCTCGTCTCACTTCCTCCACTTGACCCAATGCCCATGACCGGCATTCATGTAGTTGTTCGGGGGTACTGGCCCATCGTTTCCGGCCTGTTCGTTAGCTCAGGTACAGATGCAATATTAAGGTCCGCCGCGTCGTCAAGGACATTCATATGACCCTACTCCAAACGCATGGGTTCAGCAGGAAAGAAGAATGCAATGGGGACAGGTATGGCCACTGACCAACGATTCCCCATCCTCGAGTAGATGGCACTCTCAAGCCTTCCTTCTCCCATTCCCACCCACACATCAACCCCATCCATCCCAGCCACATGATGTATGCTTTGTACCTGCTATTCCCAGCTTCTAGACCGTCTTCAAAACCGTTGAGAGGGGTATTAGGATGAGGAGGTGGATGGAAGACCAGACGGGTGAATGTGCCGTCGAGTGTGTGAAGACAGCAGGGGAGGGAGAGATGTGGAACTGGTTCGGTTGGGATCAGTGACAGGAGGGGAAGCCAAGGCTCAAACATCAGTATCATACTTCTCCAGATCTGCGCATACGGCGTCCGGGATCTATCAGATCACAAGCACGATGTGAGTTTCAGCCACTGCATAGGTTAAAAAAATGAGCCGACGGAGATCGGATGCATGGTGTGGAGAAGAAAGAAGAAAGAAACTCACAGTCAGCTCATCAGCATGATTTCCGATCAGAAACACGCCCTCCTTGACAACACAATCCTCTTTACCTGGCCAAAAACCAGTGACCCATTCTTCACTGGTCGAAGGAAACCATCGTACAGGGTTGATGGGGAGTTCGACCAGTGCCTCTCGAGTTTTTGGAGGATACAAAGGCCAAGTACGTCTGGAACGAAGTTCGTATCCTTTTCCATGATATCCCTAGGAGTTGGCGCCACTGATTTGATTGAGTAGATAACTCACCTCCGAGATGAGGATATGCACAAGCAGTCCATTCCCCTGCTCGTTTCAGCGGACCACAAGTGTCAGATGGCATTCGGAAAGTCGATGAGGTGCCTCTCTCACTTCCTTCAACAGGGAGGTTTCAAGTGCAAGGGATGTTAAATGAACTCACACAACCGAGATCCACAAAGCCGCCTTTTGGTCTCCCCCATGTATCCCACTGTAATGTTTCATCTGCTTCAAGCGGCGCACGAGGAGGATACATTTCTTTCCACAGAAGCATGAGAAAGGCAGCTACTGCAACATCCTGTTCGCCCCAAGTTGAGAGTGAGATAGTGTCGAAAGTGCAAGAGAGATCATGTGGTAAGCCCGGTTCCTATGAGTTGGCGCGAAATCCAGAAAGACGAAGGACGGAGTATATGATGAGCGAAAACCCACCTTCCACACATGTCGTTTGACGTCTTCCACCTTGCTCGAGCCGGGTTTCGGGGCTCTGGAGTCAAGATGACGATGCTTCTCTTTCAGCTCAAGATATAAATCTTGAAAGCTCTCCCTCTGGACTACGACCTGTAACATCAGTTTGTAAATCTGATTGACGGTATTGAAACAAGAAGAAATCCTCACATCGTGTTGTCTTCGCTTAACGTATCCTACCATACTTCCGTACCCATGCTTGTACACCTTCTCCAGCAAAGCCAAAAGGGTACGATGTAGTCTGACTTCTACGCCCGCTGCAGCTCCCGTTGCAGCGGGCACTGCAGGATCTGAAGATCTCGAAATATCGCCCGTCGGTATCTCTGCTGACTGGGAGTCGGGAGGAGCCAAAGGTGATCTTCGTTTGGGCACGGTTCGAAGTGGGGAGGGAAGAAACGGAGTGGGTAATCGAGAGGGAGGACGGGAGATGTGGGCGGGAGATGATGGGGGGAAAGGCAAGTACGCGATGGAAAGTCTAGCTCGTATCGGTGATTCATGATCTTCATCGTCAACGCTTTGGGGAAAGTTCGAGAAGTCTACTTCTTCCCAGCGAAAAGCCAGTTTCTTGACTGGCGGATGATAATACGGCACGTCTTCCACAGTCTTCACTTCTGGGGTGAGGACGACCAAACCCTCCTCATAAGCGATGGTGGAATCACCTTCGTGGTCTTCGTCAGTATCGATGTTTGGCTTGAAAGGGAATTCACGGGCCAACAAACGAGAGGCCGTACGGTAGAACTGAGCCGTCTGGTCTATTCGAGAATCCCTCTTCACTTGTTTCGGCATCAACCTCACTCTCATCTCCTCCAATATCTCCAAAGACACACTGCCGCCAGGGAGATCATCGTAGTCACTCTCCTTGACTTGCTTCTTCGAGGTTTCGGAGACATCGGATGTGTGAAGGTCGAGCTGTCCGTCAGATGGAATGTGCCCCAAGTTGACATGTTCGTCCTCGTCAAAAGCCCTGCGCCTGGGGGGTAGAGGATCTGCTCTGAGGATGACAGTACTGTTCCGTTCCGGATGAAGAACTAGCTCTTTGGTCACATTCAGGAAGACTTTGAGGTCGAAGTGACATGGGGTAGAGAGAGTTTCGAGCCATCCCTCTCCCAGAAGGTCTGTGATGGAACGCCGAGGAGGGATAAGTGATGGTCGGGATGGACCTGCTTCATGAGAGGTCGATGAGTGCGCCGAGGTACCGAAGGGACGGAAGGGTGGGGCCGAAAAACCGCCTGGGGCCAGAGGGATCTTAGCTGTCATCTGGTCAACATGGAGGATATTTCTTGGAAACAATATAGAGGTGAAAGGCTAGCAGGGAGAAACTTGATCGCTGTGTGCTCGGACAATTTCACAACCTCATCCGGATTTCCTCCATGTTTCAAACAAGGAAAGTAACGCAGTGACGATAGCGCAGGGCTAGCTCATAGCACAAGTCGCTACCGACGATTGTGATACGACGTTGTACACGCGCAAAGACATGCATCTAAGAATTATCGACATTGTCCGTGAGTTACATTGCAAAAATTGTTCATAGAGTGACATTTCCCCTCATTGCACATCCCATCATCACATTCCCATGACCTTCAGTGGCTCAGTAGATGGCAGCAACAAGCCCAACAATAGCGAGCAGAACCTTCACCGCAGGCATGGCGACATTGCCGAGTGTTCCGCCAGTAGCCGCAGTGGAAGACTAGCCGTCAGTCAAAGCTCACCAAAGCCAAGATAACTTACAGAGTTGGGAATGCCACCTGAAGCGTCACCGTTGCTGGTACCGGAAGCAGAACCAGTCACGGTAGCCGACGCGGTGCTGGTAGACGAATGGCTGAGAGTGGTAGGCAAAGTAAGAGAGCTGCTTGAGCTAGACGTCGAAGAGGTCGAAGCGGATCCGTTATCGGTGATGTTGAACTGACCAGACTGGGCCAAGATGGCCGGAGTCGTGGTGGTCGATGACGTGGAGACGAAATTGATCTGGAAGCCTCGACCTGAAGGCCAAGTGCCAGAGGGATAGGTGATAGTAGCCGAGTTCTGGACGTTGGGGCTGCCGGTTGCCTGGTTTGAAACAAGAGTGACGGGTGAGTTGTTCAGAAATCCTTGCTGAGCTATGAGCGACGGGGCATACACTCTACGGAATATTTGAAAGGTCTAAAGCATTCTCAGGTACGACGTCTGGAACAGAGGCGGCATAAGGTGTCACCGAAGGAAACCCCGGATGCAGATGATGTATGTGACAGAAGTGTGCAAAAGGTTACTCACCTGATTGACCAGCTGGATTTCGAAGCTGTCAGGATCGGTAGAGACCGCTTGCCAGACCACAGTTTGCGAAGACGAGCTAGACGACCACATATCACTGGTGGCGGGCGAGGTGATCTGAATGGCCATCGCAAGAGGGGCGAGTAAAAAAAGGAGAGCAGCAGAGTACATTGTGAGAAAGAGGCTATCGAAGTTGTCTTAGTGAATGAATAACAAAGTAGAATGTGAGGGGGGGAAACGAACAACAGCTGTATCTGGATATACAGAAGAGTGTAGCGGAGTATGGACAAGAAGTGCTGAAACGAGTGAAGAGACGACGAATGTGAAAGGATGAAAATGGTCAATCTTGCCAAGGTGAGAAAATCGCATCAACACCGTCTGCACGGACGCGATCCGGGTGTTCCTCCCGCGCCCCGCGCTCCAGTACCACGTGGCTCACAGGTGGGCGCTGCTCAGGTCCCAGGGCGGAATCGGCGTTTCCAGGACGCGTAAAGCACCGGTCCGTTTTCTCCACGCCGCAATCTTTCTCCTCTCCATCCCTCTCAAGCTGCTACTCAAGTATGTCTCTCACATCCTCGAACCAACTCGGATCCCGCTCATGCAGCATGGAATGACGATCAGCCTGTACATTGTTAACAACATCTCATCTGCTCTGAGCGCGGGAAAATATATTCCCCTTCCCTACATTCAATGACGTTTTCTGATCGTGAGTTTCTCTTTTGTCGTAAATGGTAGGGCTAACGTACTCGCAGGTCTGACAACACTCACTGACGAATCAAGACGACTGAATCTAACTCTTTTGCATGTTCTTCTTCATCGCCTCATCGTCATCGTCCGGCAACCCGGCCGCGGACGAAGCGAGCATGGTCACTTCTCCCTTTCCGACCTTCAAAAGAACGACATGGCAAGCCGCAACTTCTCCCCGCGACCACCACTCATAAAATATGACGCCATTCAGCTCTCTCGCTTGCGATCATCGAGTCTTGGAGGTAAAAAAGGGGATATCCGATGACCTCTTGCGGACTAGTGACGATGAAAGGATCGAAGCAGTTTTGTACAAAAACTTTCAAGACATCTCGTTGGCGTGAGAATCATCTTCATGAGTCCGCATCATACCACCATGGGCTGTAGGTGACGCGGAGTGCAGGCAGCAAGCCCCGAATGGCGTCAGATACTTGATCATTCTGGCGTGAGTGTCAAATATAAGAATGGATTTTTATTTCTTGAACTCGGCAAGCTCGTTTCTCTTTCCCTTCAAAGTACTGAACGCACTAGAACGCTACGGACGTACCTGTCATACCGATTACATTCCTATCTCAGCCGCCATGACATCTCGAAGCTATCCTTATCCAACTTCAGCCCCGAGCGGTAAACGCCCCAGCCTCTCCTCCATTTCTCTTTCCAGCCCAGTCACTCACGTCACCAGTCCACTCTCAGCGCAGGGAGTCGATCAGTGTCGTGCCGGCGCACATGTTATCTCGTCACCGACAAGCTCTCTACCACAAGACCATGTCAGCGCAACGAGTGCACCCCTCGCGAGAGCATTTGAGACGGAGCGCGCCCCTCACCCATACCCCAGCCCCATCAGCCCCATCAGCCCTCGTACAATCTCACTCACTCATGACACTAGTCCACGCTCAGCACAGGGCTCCTATTGTCTACCGGATACTGATCCAAGTGTCGTCTTTTCGAAACCTCCACAAGCGTTCGAGATCGTACCCGGCCGCCGCCCGCCTTCGTCGCGCCTAGGTGGTGATTTGTCCCATATGAATTCAAGTACTCGGATCGCTAATGTGCCCTTGAAAGCTGACACCTCTCGTAGTGAGTTGACCTCTAGCACCAATGGGGCCCGGAAACCCGACCGACAGCAGGCAATCGCCTTCCTGAAGGGTGAGCTACCCTCGACCAACGAATTTGCAAAGACCCAATCAGAATTGGACGACCAAGCGCTCGATCATTTGATCAAGTTTGTGGCGAAAGCGGTGAATGAGAGTCTTCAAGCACCACAAGCATCGTCAACCGATCTACCAGTAACGCCGGCCGCAGACCTTACAGCTGCCACTTCAACTACTGGGAATTTGTCCACATTCACACAAAACACAAACGTGACAGGTGTTAATTTGGCCTCTGCGCAATCACCAAGTCCAACAGGTGCAAGTTTGGCAGGTACTCCATCATCATTTCTTGTGACTATGATGGGCACATTGCAATTGTTGCCCGAGAGCGACAACCTTGGTGTGAACAAAAGCATAATAACCCCTTCACAGGTGGCAACAGCTGATACTGAGCCCTCCAAAAGGCCAAAGAAAGCTAAAACGTTGAGGGGTGCTCCTGAGGGGGAACTACCAACCATAATGAACTCAACAACACCAAGAACAACTTTGATTCACAACTTCGATTCAAGTCGCCACAGTGAATCATCTGGGTCACCCCCAACACAACCTAAGCCAAAGAACAGAGAACCCTCTTCAACCATCCCATCTCCTACTCCGGGCCAGGCTCCTCTATCTGCTCTTTCAATGGCGGACGATGTACACTCCCCAAAAAAGCGCATCCAGTTCGCTAAAACATCAAGTACAGTAAACACAAAACGCCCTCCAAAGACGGTGACATTTGCGTCAGGTGCGTCAGAGGAGCACTGCTCTCAGACTCATGCAAGGCTGGATGATCCCAGATCTCCTCCTATGACAAGAGTTGCTGGTCAAGCACCACTCAGCGGTGATCACCCAGTAGGGCATAGCAGGATCTCAAGCTCCCACTCAAAAGCCATTCAAACAGCCCAGTCATCCTTTATGGGAGCCAGAAAGGATGAGAGAGTTGGGTGGTCTGGTTATGATATCAAGACTCCACCACCGCCTTCACAGCTCAATTTATCCAAACACATGCCTCGCAGGCGGCACCGAAGATCTCACAGCATGGATACCATTGGAGCAACCCCGGGAGCCAGTAGGAGAGCTTCAGAGCCAACCGAAATGAGGTCAAGTCACATGAATGATAGGCAGAGTTCACCTCTAGCTGGAACATTGCTTACTACACAGTCCCCAAAATCCCTGTTGGCTTCCAAACCCAGAACTGTCAGGCGTGTTGGACAATTTCAAGTGGGGCAGACAGGGCTTGGGTTTGATCATGCTCTTGAGGTAACTGAGCGGTCAGCGGATGGTCATTCATGGACAGCCACTTCAAAGCTGGTTATCAATGTTACAGCAGAAACTGGTGACTCAATATCTGGGCCTTTCCACACACCAGCTCAATCATTGGGACCAGGCACTGAAGACAGCATTAGGAGTCCCAAGGTAGAAGATCTATGGGTTTGGGTTTGACAGTGAGGATGTAGTGTCACAAAGACCAACTAACCAGCATTGGCTCAATATAACAGTGCCCAACGGAACAGTGATGTTAACCTGTTTGGGGAGGAGGCTGCTGTGCACAAGGCATCAAGCCCAGTGTTAATCACTGTGACGAAAAGGCCTATTAATTGGCGGTTAACCTGTCACGGCTGTCGACTAACTTGTTCCAAAGAGACCGACGGTCGACGAACCACGGCTAACTTGATGCTTCTGACTCAATGTCTCACCCAACCAGAAGGGTGCAGACGTCAAAAGGAATGTGACTACGACGTACTTCGGCGTAGTTACTCTATCTAAAAGGGGTCTTTACTGATGGCAATGTATCTTGATTTATATTGTAGCTATTTCTATCAATCTTTCACTACTGACAACAATCAAGGATTGCTGAAGAACTTCAGGGATCTTCTCAGCTAATATTATCTACTCCTCCTGATTGTTCACCCAACCCTCTTGAGCTTTGACGTACTTCAACGCACTTCGTCCAACTTCCCCAAGTCCTCGGTCATACTTCTCCCCCCTCGACTAGCTCCGCCTAACATCGCCGCACTTCTGCTCCCCTTGTCCCTACTTAGCCTAACTCTGTCTAACTTCATTGTACTTCTGCTCCCATTGTCCCTACTTAGCCTAACTCCGTCTAACTTTGCCGTACTTCTGCTCCCATTGTCCCTAACCCCCCCTAACTCCGTCTAACTTCGCCGCCCTTATGCTCCAGACCCCTGTATACCTTATTCTCTACCCCTGTATACCTTATTCTCCCGTTGTACTTTGTTGTAGTTGGTCTCAGATGTCCTAGGTTACGTGTAGGGTGAAGAGGTTAAGACATAATAGGGGTTTTGATGGTCAAAGGACGGTCGTTGATGGTGGAATATTGTTCGAAGTGTGCGACAAGTACAATTACGATGATAGTAAAGAATTGCATCGAAGACTACGGAATAAAAATCGTATGACCAATCCGTAGCGTAGTTACGTGGCATTACTAATCAACACTCCCCCTAATGACACTAACTCCAACAAACTAACATGTTCTAAACCAACTAATGAGATCGTATTGTAAAACAATGGGATCTGTATTGCAGACCTGGACGTACGGGATGAAAAGGCAGTATCACGAGCAAACCAGGAAATCTCGCGTGCACAGTACGAAGTGTTTGGTACAACGCTCTATGCGTTGTACAATTCGAGAGATGTCAATTTCGAATCGTGTGGATTGTAATCCGAATCGACAAGATGAGTGTGGGAGGTGAGGAGAGATACAGAGTGTGATATCGAACCATGTACAAGTCGAACTCGAAGACAGTTCTTTTTGTGCGGTTCTCTTGGTAGGATCTTTGTAAGGAAATCCGTGTCTTGCAATTCGGATTGTACGTATTTGAGTTTCAATTCACCATTGTATATCTTCTCACAAATGTAATGATGTTGTACGTCTATATGCTTCGATCGAGCATGCGTACCAGGATTGTGTGTGAGTCGTATCACACTTTCATTATCGCAATTAAGTCGTGTTGTAACTTGCTTGAAACCGAGTTCAGTCAATAGACTTTGTATCCATACGGCTTCACGAGCAGCTTCTGCGGTTGCGATATATTCCGCATCCATCGTAGACTGCGCAATCGTAGCTTGTCTTTGAGATTGCCATTGAATCGAACTATTACAGAACTTGAATAGATAGCCAGTCGTAGACTTTTGTGTTTCCGTACAACCAGCGAAATCCGCATCAACCCATCCTTCGAGTTGATACGGTTCTCCCCCAAGCTTGAGAACGTAGTCTTTTGTATGTATGAGATACGACATTACGCGCTTTGCAAGTGCGAGATGCGTTTCAGTTGGCTTGGCTGAGAATCGAGCAAGATATTGTGTTGCAAAGCATATGTCAGGTCGTGTCGAACTGGCAATCCACATCAATGATCCAATGATCTTGAGATATGGAGTCGTAGCTTCGAGCGGTGTCAAAGTGGTGTAGAGTGTCACGAACTATGTCGTAACATCCCTGACAACCACCATCACCGACCCTCCTTTCACCATCACCGACCTTCCTTTCACCACTACCAACCTCCACTCGAACCACTGAGTGTCATACATCACCTACTTGCCACCTAAGATAGTCTTTTCTCGTGTTCCCACACTTGAAACACATCTGGAACACTTCCCCTGACCCCCTTTGGCTTAGGTTTATTGTTCTTGATCTCCATCAACAATCCCTATTGTCATCTCTTACACTCCCACACATGAAACACCTACCCCTGAACCCCTGTGCCCTTAATCTATTGTTCCCCTGTGTGTTCACATGCTTGACACACTTACCCCTGGACTCCTGTGTCCTCTGTCTATTGTTCCTTGTCGCACACATGAACCTGTAACAGTTACCCCTGGACCCCTGGGTCCTTTGCCTATTGTTCTTAGTTTCACATGTCAGGATTGCCAATTCTCTTGAAGAGAATTGCAAATATGTTTAGCAGTTCTTCCGTAGCTTATTGTTGTAGTTTTGCAGTTCAGCCTGTTTTGCTGTGGATATAAACCCCCTCCAAACAGGTTGTTCCCCACCTATGAATCTCTTGTTGAATCTCATTCTCAACTTGTCAGTCCAGTCAGATCCAGCCTGACATCTTGCAGTTCCCTCAGTTCCCTCAGTTCCCTCAGTCCCTTGTCAACCTCTGTATACTCCTCAAGCTCTACGAGCCCGAGACAAGTATTGGGTTACAGCCCCATCTCAATCACCTTGCTTACCCTTTGGGGATAAGACCCCGCCCGTGACACTGAGACCAACTACGGCTAAGTTACGAGAACCAAGAGGGGATTTGTCACGATAACCCCGCCTAGCGGGGAACTACGGCAAAGTTAGGGGAAGGGAACCGAGGGAGAGCAGAACAGGGGAAGTTAGGCGAAGTTAGTCAAAGTGAGCGGAGTAGGATATCGGGGATATGGCGAGGTACGGCGAAGTTGAACGAAGAGGACTGAGCGTGAGGCAGTGCAGGAGTTGAGGGACATTCTACGAGAAGAGAGGAGTAGTATAGATAGTTTACAGATCGCTGAACTTCTTCAGCGATCCTTGATTGTTGTCAGTAGCGAGAGATATATTCAGTAGCTACAACCTTCGAGTTAAGGAGAGCTACCACCGAGCAGTTCAACGTACTACGGCGAAGTTAGCCGTAGTTCATCGACGATCATCTTATCATTCACCACTCGACGTATTACTACGGCGAAGTTAGCCGTAGTTCCTCGACGAGTACCCTGTCTTAGTGAGACATCGACGCCCCACTACGACGTAGTTAGCCGAGGTTTGTCAACCGTCGGTCAGTAGAGAAGAAGAAATGACGATTGTGACAGTATCAAGGATCGCTCTTACCGACGACCCGTGCAAACCTCGGAGAAGTTCGAGATTGTATGCAGCCAGAGAGGAGAGTTACAAGAAGTATGAGTAGACCAGGAGAAACAGTAGAGGAGACGGAGAGGAGGATGTTGGAGGAATTAAGACAAAGCTTGGGACCATTGCCTGGTGCAATTGATACCCCCGAAGGATCAACTCAAGGCGATGATTTCTATCCACCCCTGCCTTTTGAACCACCTCCCCAACAAACCGGACTACCAGAACCACCAGCGGTGAGGACAGGTTCCGAAGATTCGGGACAGACCCCACGACCAAGGGAAGGGAACACAGGAGGTAGGCTAAGTTCGGCCGGGAGCGAAGTAGTAGGAGGAACTGAGGAGGAGGTCACAACACAGAAGATGATGCTGGCAATAATCAACATGATGATGGAGATGAATAAGGATATGATAGCAGAGAGGAAGCGTCGAGAGGAGCAGGAGAAGAAGAAGGAACAGGAGACGGTTGGGGGAATAGTCGAGGGGATCTCGGAGGGGGTACGGCTCGCCATTGGAAGGCAAGCTTCGGCGACCCCAGGAGTTGCTGAGATGAGTGGAGGGATAAAGCTTCCCCTCCCAGACCTGTGGAGGGGCGAGAGGTCAAAGCTCACAGCATTCATCTCAGAATGTGAAGTCCATTTCGAAATCAACGCCCGGAAGTTCCCCACCGACCGAGTAAAAATCTTTTTCATGATCTCCCATCTACGTGAAACTCCTCTTCTTGCTGTCCAACCGGACTTACCTAAGGACGATCCCCCCGAACACCTTCTAGACTATAAGAAGTTCATCCAATATCTCAAAACCAATTTTGGAGATCCTGACGAAGAAGGAACCGCCGCAAGGGGAATAAACGAGCTTCGGCAGAATGGGTCGGCTTCGGCGTACTTCGCCGCCTTTCAGCAATATGTAGCGGTGTTAGGATGGAGCGATGATGGAAACCTCGTGGACCGAGCGAAGAACGGACTGAAAAGCCATTTGCTGGATGAAATCGCCGGCCATGGAAAAGTTTTCAAGACCGTCCGAGAATTAATCGAGTTCGTGGTCCCCATGGACAATCGCTTGCATCAACGAAAGGTGGAGAAGGAGAATGAGAAGAAGAGGAAGGAAGTGAAGGAACAGGGGGAGAGGAGAGAGGAAGCAAATCGAGGAGGGGAACGGGGGAGCCAGGAGAAATGGCAATCTACGGCGAAGATAGAGGGCGTGCAGCCTAAGGGCACGAACGGGGGAAGGGCGATACCAACGGATGTAGACGAACTAAATCGTCGTTGGCCGAGACCCAGTGCTGATGAGGTTTTAAAGCGTCGAGAGGAAGGGAAGTGTACTGGATGTGGAGAGAGAGGGCATTATAACCGGGATTGTCCTGTAATAGCGGCGAAGGTCAAAGCAGGGATCATCCCCTTGCGATCTTTTGGACAAAATGCTGGAGGAGAAGGGAGATTTAGCACGGGGGGGAACGCCGTCCCTCTTGGGGACAGGAAGAAGATCAATGCTGTCGGAAGGGAGGAAGCATGTGTTGAAGAGCGGGGGATGGACGAGGAGGAAAAAGATGGGGACCCGTCGCGGTAGGCGAGACTCGGCGGGTCCGCACTCATATTCTCTCGGCCACTATCCCTACCCCCAGTAAAAGGAAAGAGCTGATGAGACCAGGTAAATGTGTATATAAATCCGTAAACACCACTCCAAAATGTATAAACGACTGTCATACCCTAATCCCTTCCACCTGTAACAACCAACCCAAATCTAACGTGTATGTCGACGGAGTTGAACTAACGGCCTTGTGGGACACTGGAGCGACCTGTTCGTATATAAGTCCCAAGGCGGCCAGGAAGATTAGGAAGGAGAAGAGGAAATACCCCGTGAGTGTACCAGTTCACATGTTCGATGGCTCGGTTAGTGTGGCTGGACCCATTACGGAGTTTGTCGAAGTGAGTCTGGGTGTCGAGAAGTTAGGCGAGGTTCGGCCAATTAAGCTGGATGTTACCACCTTTGCGACGCGGATGTCGTGATAGGATGGGAATGGATGAAAGAAGAAGGGGTAATCCTGAATGGGGGAGCGAATATGATATCCTTCCCTATTCCCCAGACGAACAATAAGGAAAGCGCAGTGTCCTTTCCCCTACCCTTGCCGAGTGAAAGGGAAGAGTTATCCTCTCCCTTTCCACAGACAAAAGATGTTGCGGTCCTGGCGGCCATAGGGCTCAGGACCCGAACCGACGAGACAGACCTCCGAGGCGAAGATGAGCTTGAAGAGCTGAGCCCGGAGGAACAAGACGAGTTGTTCCAGGTAGTTCCTGAGCAATACCACCAGTACATTGACATGTTTAATCCGAAGAAGGGAGGAGAGACCCTTCCCCCTTCGAGGTCCTACGATTTGAAGTTTGAGCTTAAGGAGGGGGCGAACCTGAAGGTCGCCTCCCTCTATGCTCAAGGAGAAGATCAGAGACGCGCGCTGAGAGACATACTAGATCGCGAAATCGCCGCTGGCCGAATTCGAGCAAGTAACTCGCCGTACGGCTCACCGATGTTTATGATACCGAAGAAAGCCGAGGGACAATGGCGAATGGTCATCGACTACAGAAAACTGAACGAAGCGACCATACCAGATGCCTACCCTCTCCCATTAATAGGCCAGATTACCGAAGAACTTGGAAAAGCAAGGTACTTCAGCAAACTAGACCTAATTGGGGCGTACCAATTGTTGAGGGTGACAGAAGGACATGAACACCTGACGGCGTTCAGGACACAGTATGGTATGTTCGAATCTCTTGTCGTTCGTGATGGGCTGCGAAACGCCCCTGCTGTCTTCCAACACTTCCTGAACGAGGTGTTTAGAGAACTGCTAGGGAATGGAGTCGTGGTCTACATTGACGATATCCTCATTTATGGGAATACATTGGAGGAATTACGAGGAACTATGGCGAAGGTCTTTGAGGTGCTGCGGAAGGCGAACTTGTACGTGAAAGCTAGTAAGTGCGAGTTCGAAAGAGATTCGGTGGTATTCCTGGGTTTTGTGGTTTCCTCTCGAGGTGTATCGGTTAATCCAGAGTACATTGACGCCATCACATCCTTCCCACGTCCAAAGAATCTACGAGAGTCGAGGGGTTTCATTGGAGTCGTGAGCTATTACAGGCGTTTTGTTCCCAACTTCTCGAAGATTGCTAGACCTATCAATGATTTGACGAGGAAGGAGGTACCGTTTGTGTGGGGAGCAGAACAGGAGTCAGCCTTTAAAGAATTGAAGGCTAGGATGTGTACTGCGCCGGTGTTAGCTCGCTTTGACCCCACATTGAAGACCATATTACAGACAGATGCCTCGTTCTTCGGCTGGGGTTTCATAATTTCGCAGATTAATACAGCTGGGCAAGAGCACCCAGTCGCCATCGAGTCAGGCGCGTTCAATACGGCCCAACTAAATTACACGGTAGGAGAAAAGGAGTTCCTCGCCGTAGTTGAGGGTTTCAGAAGAAGAAGACACTTACTACTGCAGGTAGAAACCACGGTCCTTACCGACCATTTAAATCTCACTTACTGGATGGAACCGAAGCAACTCAGCCCACGTCAAGGTAGGTGGGTAGAAGAGTTAGCTAACTTCAGATTTAAAATGGTTTATCGACCAGGGACTCAAGCAAGCCTTCCAGACGGGTTGTCTAGACGGGCGGATTATCACTCGGGAAAAGGAAGTACCATGATACAAGAGAGTAACCTTATTCAAGGTCTGCCGAAGTTCGACGAAGTTGACCCCACCACGTCGGAGTTGCGCCACCTCCTTCGAGCCTTGCAAGGGACAAGGGAAATGAAGGAAAAGGATCTTGTTGACCCTATGGATCTGATGCTTGGAGTACAGGAGGACGAAGACGTAGAGGAGGTTAGAGAGGAGTTATTAGGAGTTATCTGCGCTGAGTGTTCTCATCCGACGTGTCACGATGATGTACAGGAACCAGGATCAATCACCGAACTACGCCGTAGTTCGCGATCTCCTCTAATACTTCGTGGGGGGTGGACCCCGAGAGGTTTCCTCACATTCGATGATCGCACTTATGTGCCGAACTACGCCGACGCTCGACTAAAGATCATGAAGATGCGACATGACTCGGCTTTGGCTGGTCACCCAGGTTCGGCGAAGACCCTTGAACTAATCCTAAGGGATTATGTTTGGGTTGGAGTAAGGAAGGATGTAGAAGACTATGTCGCTGGTTGTGCGGTATGTCAGAGAGCTAAGACTAACAGACAGAAGCCTCATGGAGAACTTAAACCCCTACAAGTAGCGACAAAACCTTGGTCAAGTATCTCGATGGATTTCATCGAAGAGCTCCCAAATTCCCATGGATATAACTCTATCTTAGTGGTCGTGGATCGACTGACAAAATGGGCCATGTTTATCCCAACCACGACGAAGTTAACCACAGCTGGACTATCGGAGCTGATAATGGACTATGTGGTGGCCCAGCATGGGTTGCCAGAGAGTATAGTATCAGACAGAGGATCGAAGTTTACTTCGAAGTTTTGGAAGAACTTGACCGATAGTCTCGGGATAAGACTACATCTTTCTACCGCGTATCATCCACAGACTGATGGACAGACCGAACGAACAAACCAGTCCCTGGAATTATACCTTCGAATCTTCACTTCCTACCAGCAGAACGACTGGTCGAAGCTACTTGCTCGAGCTAGCTTTGCTTATAACAACACCCATCATTCCGCGATAAACAAGACCCCATTCTATGCGAACTATGGGTACCACCCTCGATGGGCTGAAGAGATTGAGGCTAGTGAAGTCGAGGTACCTGCTGCTACAATAGCAGTAAAAGACCTAACTGAAATACATAAGGAATGTATTGAGGGGATTGAGAGAGCTAATGAGAAGTACGCCGAAGGATACAATAGGAAACACCGAACTACGCCGAACTTCGTGGAAGGTGACCTAGTGATGCTGTCATTAGAAAATATCAAGACTAAGAGACCAATGAAGAAGTTGGACGTTAAGCAAAGTGGGCCGTACAAGGTAGTACGGCAAGTAGGTTCTCATGCTTGTAAACTGGAATTACCAGGAACGATGGCAGGTATCCATGATGTATTCCATGTTTCTTTACTCCGTCCCTATCACCCTCCGGTATTTCCTGGTCAGCAAGCTGAACCACCTGGCCCAGTAGAGGTAGATAACGTAGGAGAATCGTGGGAAGTAAAGGATATTGTGGACTCAAGAGTAAATAAGAGGTCAGGGAAGTTAGAATATCTAGTGGAATGGTTAGGTTACGAAGGCTCGGATGACGCAGTATCATGGGAACCAGTGGAAAATGTGGACGGAGCTAATGACATATTGGCAAAGTTCCACGAACTTCACCCGGATAAGCCGACGAAAGGACGAGTGGTGAGATCACGAACGAGGAAGTAATTCATACAACTGGTACAACATTAGCTAAGTACAACTCACTGCTGCGAACTTCCTCCCTGTTCTTCGTTTCCCGGTGCAGGACCACTCCCAGAACTACTCTCAGTAACCTTCGGTCCCACCGCCCGTCGGAGGGCCCGAGTCTCCTTCCATGCTGTATTAAAGGCGAGAATGTGAGCGGAGTGGAGAGCAGGATCACGAGCGACACTCAGACTAGGTGATTTCCACAACTGACGAAGTGTTCTAAGACAGTCTGCGGGAAGAGTTAGGATATCGAGGAAAGCACCATCCTGAGAACTGAGTCGAGCTGGTTGAGATGGTCTTAACCAGTCCAGTGTAGGGGGGAGCATATACTCAGTGGGGTTCAGGAGGTAAGGAGAGTCGAAGAGATTGCGGTAGAAGTCGCTCATGTCCGTTGTGAGCTCTCGGGAGACTCTAGCTAACTCAGTTCGCCCTAATGGCCCTATGTCGGAGGAGTTCACAAGAGTTGCCATTGTCCGAGAGAGAGTATTCATCGCAGAGACCAGCTTCACACAATATTCGACAAGCTTCGCCGTATCTCGTCTATTGGCTTGTAATTGCGTGGTTAAGCCAATAATGACGGAACGGAAGGTGGCTAATTGTTTGTCCTCCTCTGGTATCCGAGGATCGAGAGCGATAGTGGGGTGGTTGAGGGAAGGAAGGATTTCCCCTGGTAGCTGAGTACTTTCGTCTTCCACCACAGCCGGTTCGAACTGGACAGCTTTCTTATTCTTGCCTTTCCCTTTCGAAGATTTCGGAGGAGTTTTCACAGGAGGGGCAGGAGTTGAGAGCCCAGAAGCAGGAGGGACAGATGGTTGACGGCTTCGGGTCCCAAGGGCAGGAGGGAGACTTGAAGAGAAGTCCTCTTGAGTTGAGACAGGAGTAGGACGGCTCCTGCTGGGACGAGACGGAACGGCAGAAGGAGTAGCCGGGAGACGAGATGGGCCAGCCACAGGAGTAGAAGGCCGAAGAGCTGCGGAAGAAGCACGACGAGGAGTGCGACGGGACGGACCAGCCGAAGGAGTGGCAGGGAGACGTGACGGTCCGGCCACGGGAGAGTTGGGCAGGCGACGGGCGGCGGGTGACGGCGAGGTGGGGCCAGGAGAGGAGAAGTTCGCCGAAGGAGAGCGCGAAGGATATTCCCCGTCTTGGGCTGTGGGGAGACGGCGGCGAACAGCGGCGGACGGAGTGTAGGGGGACCGAGGGGAGCAGAAGGTCTTGGAGGAATGTCCCGAGCGGTGTTGGGGGGACAGAACGAGCAGGGACCAGAAGTGCAAGAAGCACAACGGGACCCGCGATTATGAGGTTTGACCGGTCGTAGACACGGCCACTTCGCTCTCCCATACGTGATAATTTCACGGCTACTGATCAGCAGACGTGTCACGAAGTGACAAGACAGTTTGATAGTGATAGTGATAGGATGGGTTGGGTATTTAACCAGCGACCGGCGGTATGCAGTAACCGCCGGTTAATAGGCCTTTTAGCGCAGTGGTTTAGACCACTGTCTCTGAAGGGCACTGTTATATCGTCCCAATGCTGGTTAGTTGGTCTCGTGACAAGACGTATAAACTTCTAGGGAAGGAACTTACCGGCATTTATCACACGACTCTTCGATACTGGCGACCTCCCATCGCTCCCTTTCATCGATGAACAACTTCCATAGCCTATCCTGCTCCCGCAACGACGCCTTGCGGGCACTCCCTGGCTCGTGGGAAGGGGAGGGAAACAATTCAGCCTGTCCTGTAGAGGACCGAGGGGTCTCTTTGACCCGTTTCGCCGAAGGAGGGGTAACTTCGTCGTGGGCGGAAGGGGAGCGGCGACGTTTCTCGGCTTTAATTTCAGCCAGAGCATCCATCTTCTCCTGATACGCAACCCGTTTCTTCCCGAAAAAAGTCTGGAGCCGTACGCGGAATTCGGGAGAACCTTCATTATCACGAACAGCTACATGTCAGCACTTACGAACAGGGTATATGACAAGAGGACATACGGCTTAACTTTTCCAACTCTGACACCCACGTTTCTCTATCCTCAAACAGCGCTGGATCACCGAGATCAACACTGAGGACTTCCTCATCTTCATCGACCTCACCCATCTCATCATCCTCATCTGCACCACCCTTCTCACCATCATCAACCAACACACCCGTCTCTTCACCACGACGAGCACCATCCATCTCCTCATCGTCATCATCATCGATTTCTACCACAGTGGCAGTACGGCCTGACGGGTGCGGAAGGCCAACAGGAGCAGGTCTGACCTCCTGTTGGCCAGAGGAGAGAGGGGTCGTAACCGCAACAGGGGACGCGGTGGCAGAAGGAACTGCAGCGGAGGCTGCAGCAGCAGAAGGCGAGCCATCGGTGATGGCTAGGGCTCCAAAGCCCATGGACGACACATGGCGGGGAGAGTTCCCCTGCTGAGCGACTAGAACAATCAGCAACAGAGTAGCTTATAGACAGTACGAAGAGACTTACGAACAGCGGCAAAGCGATCTGCGAAAAATTTATGGGCGTTGAGCTCCGGACGAGAAGACATTTTGTTGAAATATATCAAATTGATATGTTTGGTATGGTAAAGGCTGAGAATCGATAGACGATGATAGTACGATTTAGGATTGGTACTGGGAAAGAAGAAGAAGTGGGCCGAAGTACTGAGTATTTAGTATGACTGATACGACTACTCGTCGTCAGGGCGCTGGTAACTTCGCATAACAAGTTGTCTCAGCGACAACAAACACCATGGCGACGATCAGAATTCCCACGCTACGTGTCTCACATTCATATAAGTTAGGGATACGCTGACGAACTTCGACGAGGTTTGTTGTACCCCAAATCCTCTGTCTCACTTACAATGTAACTACCACAGGGTAACAACAAGCAACCACGATGAACTTCGACGAAGTTTACTGTCCGATTAACAACAAACCATGGTATCATCTACCAACAACTGTTATATGACAAATTGTGTTTCCTGCAACCTGCTGAGTGTCTTTTTCTTCATTACATGCATACGAAGCTCACGAGGACGTTCGCGCCCAAGGAGGGGGCGACTGTCACGAACTACGTCGTAACATCCCTGACAACCACCATCACCGACCCTCCTTTCACCATCACCGACCTTCCTTTCACCACTACCAACCTCCACTCGAACCACTGAGACCAACTACGGCTAAGTTACGAGAACCAAGAGGGGATTTGTCACGATAACCCCGCCTAGCGGGGAACTACGGCGAAGTTAGGGGAAGGGAACCGAGGGAGAGCAGAACAGGGGAAGTTAGGCGAAGTTAGTCAAAGTGAGCGGAGTAGGATATCGGGGATATGGCGAGGTACGGCGAAGTTGAACGAAGAGGACTGAGCGTGAGGCAGTGCAGGAGTTGAGGGACATTCTACGAGAAGAGAGGAGTAGTATAGATAGTTTACAGATCGCTGAACTTCTTCAGCGATCCTTGATTGTTGTCAGTAGCGAGAGATATATTCAGTAGCTACAACCTTCGAGTTAAGGAGAGCTACCACCGAGCAGTTCAACGTACTACGGCGAAGTTAGCCGTAGTTCATCGACGATCATCTTATCATTCACCACTCGACGTATTACTACGGCGAAGTTAGCCGTAGTTCCTCGACGAGTACCCTGTCTTAGTGAGACATCGACGCCCCACTACGACGTAGTTAGCCGAGGTTTGTCGACCGTCGGTCAGTAGAGAAGAAGAAACGACGATTGTGACATAGAGATCCTCTACATGTTGTGGGAGGGGAGTACCGTAGGCTCGAATTGCGACCGAGTTCTCCGCAGCTGCACGTTCGATATACGCTGGTTGCGATAGGTGAATCGTACGGTTTGTACGATCGCGAACTACCTTGAGCCCTAGTATCTGTTTCATCTCCCCCATTTCTGTCATTGTCCACTTCAACTTGAGGAATCGCATGAGTCATACAATCACATCTTGAGTTCGAGCTGCGATTACGAGGTCGTCCACATATGCAAGTACAATAATAGGACCATCTGAACCTTTAGATGCCTTGTATCACATTCCCCAATCTGATTTGAGTTGTACGAATCCGTACATTGCGAGCGCATTACCGAGTTCGATCCACCAAACTCGTGCAGACTGCTTGAGACCGTACAGCGACTTGTACAATCGTAAGGTATTACAACCAGGAGCTCGAGCCATACCTTCTGGGTATCTCATGTCGATTTCTTCTTCAAGTACACCATTGAGATACGCTCCTTCAACATCTGCTTGATGTGTTACGAGATTGTACGATGCAGCGATTGTAAGTATGATTCGTAGACTGACCATACAGCTTACGGGTGCGTGCGTCTCTTCGTAATCTATTCCCAGGTTGTTGCAAAAATCCCTTCGCTACGAGTCGAGCTTTGTACTTGAGGATCTTCCCATCTGCATCCTTCTACATTGCAAAGACCCATCTTGAATCAATAGCTTTACGACCTTGCGGAAGTGTAGTCTCCTTCCATGTATCCTTCGACTTGATATTGTCGAGTTTGCGAGTCATTGCGATCTTCCAATCCGTACTCCGCGGACTACAAAGAGCCTCCCCCGCAGTCTGCGGTACGACATCACTTCCTTCGATTGCGAGTATCATTGCAACTTCACTGGCTAGACCATAGTACAAAGCCTGAACAGGGAACCAGGTTACTGCAGAGAGTGTACCTTGTACGTTCATACGATCTCTAATTTGGCCGCTTGTACGAGTGGGTTGCGGTACGACACGCACAATTGGTGCAGGCTGTTGAACCGTAGGAGTAGTTGTAGGTTCTTCAGCAGGTGTTTCTTCTACAGTTGTAGCAGGCGGTTCCGCAGGGATCGTATTCGAAGGATTCTCTACGACTGGAGTAGATTCACGTACGGGTTCGTGTACGGATTCAGGTGAATCAGGTCGTACCTGTGTTGTAAGTACAGGCGCAGGAAGTGGACCAGGGAGGGGATCAGGAAGTGTTGTAGGAGTGACTGTGGTTGTATTCGTATTTGGTACGACTGGTGCGGGAACATGATCTTGTACTGTGATCAAAGGTCGAATGTATTCCTGTGCACTTTGCACATCACGACTAATCACGATCAAACCATTCGATTTGTATCGTATGATCCAACCACTCATACCTTCCTCTTGACCAAGAACCCTTGCTAGTTCTCCTTTGTGGAAGTCACGCTGCGGCTTGCCACGTACTTCAATCGGTATCTGTACGTATACAAGTTCACCAAACATGAAAGCTTTCTCTAGGCCTGGCTTGCGACCTGTGAGTGTGAACCACGCATTCGTACTGTCCGCACTCGTACTTGTCTTCATCATCATTACGGATGCGTATCGTACAGCGTAATCCCAGTACGAATGATCGAGGGAAGCCGAAGATAGCATTGAACTAGCCATCTCTTTGAGTGTACAGTCGCTGTCAAAAGTCTCCGTACAATCCGCGCGCATCGATCATCGGTTACTCACCACTTCTTCTATAGACATTTAGATGCATTTTGGCTAGTTCAATCATGTCTACAGCCCATCTTAGTACTTGATAGCGTACCCCTTAGCATGCTTGACAGCCTCAACCCTCCTTGGCATGCTAGCCACCACCTTGTTGACAATATCCATGTCTATAGCTTCCCACTCCGCCACACAATGTTCAAACAACTGCTCCACATTTGTCGCTCTTGGAAGGCGCTTGCTAACCTTGTACTTCACCATTGACCAGAGATTCTCGATAGGATTAACATCCGGAGATGAGGGAGGGTGGATAAGTGAATGGACACCAAGTGTATCACGCTTTTGCTGACTGTGTTTTGCTTTGTGGCATGGAGCGTTGTCTTCAACTACTAGGACCTGGAGAGAATCAGCGGAATTTTGTCTTGTCTCTTGTCATGAACTCACCATTCGGTCAATCTCTGCAGACAATATCTCTTCATACTCCTTCAGCTTTGGTAAGACAATCTCGGAATAGCGAGCGGCATTGAGTCCTCCAGGAGGAAGAAGAATGAGAGGGAATTTATGATTATGTGCCATAGCACCCCATACCATGATAGACTTCCTCCCAGATCGAAATGTTGGTTGAAGATGTTTCAAATCAAACGCCTGTCCAACTCCTCGAGTTGTATAAGCACGCCTTGCAAGTCCCAACTCCAAAGACATCTCATCTGTGAAGATAACTCGGCTCCAATCCTGTCCTACATTATCCTTTGCCCAATTGATCCGCTTTTCGATTGCTTGTGGGCGTAAGAAAGGGGTACGGCGCATGACTCGGCGGTGGAGACCATGTCTGGCCGCAATGCGGCGGATGGTGGGTTCACTGAGGTTGTATGTGGAGGCAATAGAGCCGAAGGGAACTTGGGGATGATGGGTGATATCACGGATAATTCGACGAGTAGTTCTTTCCATCTTGGAAGGGCGTCCTGGGCGTGGGCGATCGTAGGCAGTGTCGTATTGTTTGTATCTTTCGACTGTATATTGGACGGTAGATCGAGGCCAGCCTAGCTTGCGAGCAATCTGACCAAGTGTGAGGCCAGCTTTGTGAAAACCAATGACGGTACCACGTTTGGAAGGGGTTCGAGGGATAGTGACCATGGTGAGGAAGATGGGTGGAGAGGAAACCCTCTAGTACCCTTCTTATGCACTTTCATGCTTCCAAATCTTGCATACACCTCCACCTCGGTCATGACTATCATTATTCAGCAATGCATGCATCAGCACGTAGCATAGGGGTCATAGGAACGGGGGATGTGACAGGGGTTGAGGACAAAACCGGGTGGTTGAGGTGTCTCCGATGATCGGTGTACGGAAACTTTTGACAGCGACTGTACAATTGAAGCCTTCAGCTACACCATTCAGTTCGGGTGTGTAGCGTGGAGAGATCTGGTGTATGATACCTTTCTCTGTGTACCATTGTTGCGCTTGCGATCCTGCGTATTCGGTACCTCCATCCGTACGAAGGAATCGTACGGTTCCACCGAGTTGTCGTTCGATCTTTGCGACAAACTCCTTAAGTGTCACGAACTACGTCGCGACACCTCGATTACTCCACCAACAATGACCCTCCTTTGGCCATCAAAACCCCATCACGCCTTAACCTCTTTACTCTACACGTAACTCAGGACTTCTGACACCAAGTACGGCGAAGTTAGACGGAGTTAGGCTAAGTAGGGACAATGGGAGCAGAAGTACGGCGAAGTTAGGCGGAGTTAGTCTAAGTAGGGACAATGGGAGCAGAAGTACGGCAAAGTTAGACGGAGTTAGGCTAAGTAGGGACAATGGGAGCAGAAGTGCGGCGATGTTAGGCGGAGTTAGTCGAAGGAGGAAGAGGATGGCCGAGGGCTCGGGGAAGTTGGACGAAGTGCGTTGAAGTACGTCAAAGCTCAAGAGGGTTGGGTGAACAATCAGGAGGAGTAGATAATATTAGCTGAGAAGATCCCTGAAGTTCTTCAGCAATCCTTGATTGTTGTCAGTAGTGAAAGATTGATAGAAATAGCTACAATATAAATCAAGATACATTGCCATCAGTAAAGACCCCTTTTAGATAGAGTAACTACGCCGAAGTACGTCGTAGTCACATTCCCTTTGACGTCTGCACCCTTCTGGTTGGGTGAGACATTGAGTCAGAAGCATCAAGTTAGCCGAGGTTCGTCGACCGTCGGTCTGCCAGAAGATAGTTGTTCGACGGCCGTGACATTAAGGTAGAATGCAACATGCTGTCGGTTCGGTGCGGTCACTACTCACCACTCGATTGACCTTCAAGTAGTCATCGTACATCGTAATGATGTACGTCGCACCTTGCCCCGAAGGTCGTAGGGGTCCAGAGATATCCGAATGTACGATTTTGCAATTACGAGTTCCGTGCGGACTGACATCCTTCTTTGGAAGTCGAGTATTCTTCTGTTCTTGACAAACCGCGCACCTATCCGTACGCCACAAGTCTGCCTTCAACTCATCCGCACTGTATCGTAGCTCCCCCGCTTGTGTGAGCTTGATAATACGATTACGACCTATATGACCAAGTCGATTGTGTTCGGTTTGTAGTGGTCCAATACGAGTTGTTGAACTGATCGTACCTGTAGTCTTGGGTACAAGCTCCCCCAGTTGTACATATGGGAAAACACTGTGTTCTTGTATCGTAACAATCTCCTTTCCTTTACGAAGTTCACCCTTTACGAAGTCTACGTCCCACCCACAAGCTTTGAGTGTACCTGCGGATAGGATGTTCTGTCGTGCGACGTTCGTAAGGTATACATCCACGATCCGTACGGTTTGACCAGAGGGGAGTCGTAGTAGAATGTCTCCCTTTTCATATACATGAACCTTGGTCGTAGTATCCGCAAGACCGAACGTGATAGCCGTGTCGAGTCGTACGATGTTCGAGAGAATCGTACAATCAGGTGTGAGATGGTGGGTAGCTCCACCGTCAAGGAGGAATTCGGGTACGAGCTTCGAGCCTACGTACTGTACGGTTGGCTCGGTAAGACTGATAGCAGCGGCCCAGAATGGATCAATCGTAGGGTTCGAAGTGCCTTCATTTGTTGTATTGGATTGTGCAGTATTAACTTGTGCTTTTGAATCCTTTGACTTCGCCTTCGATCCCTTTGATCCCTTCAATTTCCCTTTCTGTTCATCCCTAATCCTCTTCCTACAGTCCTTCTTAAGATGTCCCTTCTTATGACAATAGTGACACTCTGCTGTCTTAATCTAATCCGTATTTGCATGCGTATGCGCATGATCCGCACTTGTATTATTGATCTGAGCAGACATTGTAGGAGTAATGAGTCGTGCGCGATCTGCGACTTCAACCTGATACAAGCGTCGAAGTTCAGCCCAGGTCTTTGAAGTCGTAGGGAGATTAATGTAGAGAGATCACATGACTTTGAAGTCGCTTCGAGGAAGCGAATCGAGGAACCAGAGCGCACGAGTATCAGCTGAGAACTTGCATCCTGACTCTTCAGCTTCAAGCCAGAGTAGGTTAAACTTCTGTAGGTGTTGTGTCATCTCTGTATCCGTAGGATTCAACTTGAGCATAAGCATTCGTAGCTTGCGTTTGACATCTGTACGATGTTCGGGTGTCTGTAGTTGCATATCTGTTGCAAGGAATTTCCACATTTCGTATGCGGTTCGAAGAGATCGTAGATCAATCAGCAAACCGCGTTCGACTTTGCTCATGATCGCACCTTGAGCTCGAAGTTTGCGTTTACGCCACGATTCCCAGCGCTCTTCATCATCTGAGTCGAGTGAGGTGTGTGTGATAGTCTCCTCAGCTGTAGGTACGACTGAGCCTGCTCGAACCGTACGAGCGATCGTAGGTTGGCGGTACGGTTCGACATCCGTACCTTCAATTATCCCAAGACATCCATGGATAAAGAGATAGTTTTCTATGGCAAGTTTCCAATCAAAGTAGTTGCTTTGACTCGATAGTGCGGGTACGGATTCGAGACCAATCGTAGTCGAACGATTGTGCGACATTGTGCTTTAAATTTAGCTTATGAATCGTATTATAATAATAGACTCTCGTAGAGGACTTATCATACGCAAGACGTACACCAGAGGCCTCTACTGTGTATGCCACCAGCACGGACCGGATTTTATACATCTACGCGGCGACGTCTACGTCACAACTGAAGCTGGACTGTCCTTTTTTCCAACTACACCAGTACGGTGCTTCGTGTATGGTTCGTCATACGGTTCCCGATGTCTCGTTGGGTCGGTTCGTATGCACGTTTGTTTGTGTCACGCCTGCGGGTAGACTGCGGTTGCAAAGTACTGCCTTGGGTACTGAAGGGTTTTAGTCTCTGGCTCGTAGAGCTTGATGACTGCCTTAGGTACTGAGGGTACTGAGGTGTTGGTTAGAACCAACTAGGTGACTTTCAAAGATGAAGTTCAACTTCAAGATGAAGATACATTGCTGAAGAAAGAGGGGGGAGATGTGCTCCTTTTATACCCTTCAAAACTAAAGTAGGTGTACTAAATAAAAAGCGTGTGAGGGATTCTCTAGCCAATCACATAAATGCCTCACTGCTAAACTGCTGAACCTTCCAGGCTTCAGCCAATCACGTAAATGCCTCACTGCTGAACTGCTAAATACCATGACTCATATTTTCCTTCAATCCTTATCACAGTTCCTAGCATGAGTCATATTTCCTTATCACTATTCTGAGCATGAGTCAGACTTCCTTATCACTATTCATGACAGTTTGAGTGCGTACGATCAGTGCGATATCTTCACTATATCCAGAGGTACTGAGACTTTTAATCTGTTCAAAGTGTACAACGAGTACAATTACGATGATAGTAAAGAATGGCATCGAAGACTACGGAATAAAAATTGTATGACCAATCCATATCGTAGTTATGTGGCATTACTAATCAACAAATACTCACGGTGTCACGACGTAGTTCGTGACAGTCAAAGAGGACTATTACTGGCCACATTTGGATGATCATACTGCAAAATACGTAAAAGGATGTGAGATTTGTAACCGACATAAGAATCATCGACATCAGCCATACGGACATCTGGTCTCCTTGCCAGTACCCACACTTCCGTGGACAGACATCTCTATGGACATAGTGGGACCTCTACCAAAATCGACCGAGTCTGACGCGATTCTAGTAATACTTGATTGACTAACCAAAAATGGCTTGATTTATTCCATGTACAACCGGACTAACAGCAAACAAGGTGGCCGACATATATATCAAGGAGATCTTTTCAAGGCACGGAGTACCTCGAACAATTGTATCAGATAGGGGAATTCAATTTACAGCTGAAATTTGGAAAGGAATACGTCAGTTCCTGGGAATAAAGAACTTATATTCGACTGCGTATCATCCTCAAACAGACGGACAGACCGAGCGAGTAAATCAACAGATGGAAATCCTACTTGGGATGTATGTGAACTATAACGTGGACAATTGGGATCAGCTTCAAACGATTGCTGAGTTTGCTTATAACTGTTTGCCACATAGTAGCCACAGTTTGTGTCCATTTGAAGCATGTTACGGCTATGTACCGCACTACGACATCCATTTGCACGATATTCGATCAAAGTCAAACAAGTTGGCAAGAAAATGGAAAGATATGGGAGAACTACATGCGGCAGTTCAAGAGCAAGTCAGGGTGGCTAATGAAATTAGTGGAGAATACTACAACAGGAGACACAAGAGCATTCCAGAAGAGTTCAGAGAGGGAGAACAGGTACTGCTGAGTACGAAGTATCTGACTATGGAACGACCAAGTCAAAGATTAGAAGCAAAATATGTTGGTCCTTTCAAGATTAAAAGGAGGGTTGGAAAGAATGTGTCACAAACTACGTTGTGACACCTTG